TGCCATGAACTATAATGAAAAAAAAACAAACTCACATGTTCAAAAGGTTGTAATCATGCCACACAACCTGCGCATTGTCGACTATGTCATTGGAGTTCCTGGGAGCGTGCACCACTCTAACGCATTTCGAAGGCCCGGGTTGCGCGCAATCCTCAAAAATTTTTGAGCGGGAACAAGTGGATTTGGGCAGACATGGTGTATGGCTCTCGTCCATGGTGTGTTGTGCCCTTTAAGCGGCCGGCAGCTGGCGGGTTGACCCGTAATCAAAAAACATTCAACTATCATTTGTCAAATGTAAGACAAACCGTTGTCACACACCAATCAACTCACAACGTTTCCAGGTCCATGTTCGCTCTGAACACGGTTACGGTTCACTGAAGGGACGCTTCCAGTCCCTTCGTGAACTGCAGATCCAAATACAGATGCAGCGAGATCTTGACGAGGCAAATATGTGGACGCGGTGCTGTTTGATCCTTCATAACATGATCATTGAAATCGAAGAAAAACTTACTGCTGATGATTCATTTGGGCACTTTGCCCGTGAAGCAAGACAATGGGGTAGACGCGAAGATAGCAGGGAGGAAGAAGGTGGTGAAGATGGCGAAGACAACGAAGACGGTGCCGGAGATGAGAGCTTCATCGGTTCGGAAGGGCAGATTTTGGGACACACTGATGGGTCAGCTATTGCGCAGATCTGAATGAGCGATGCAAGGAAAGCGAGGGGGGCTCAATTCAAACACTTGGATACATGATTAGCTACAATGAAAAAATGGGCCTAGAAATGCAGTATGAATTTGTGAGAACGAACGAAAAACACCAAATGATTTGACGTGGGATGCATGACTGTTAGTTACCCTGACGAGACATCTCCTTCTCCAAAGCCAAGCGCTCTAACTTCACTTGCTCTAGCTTTATCTCCAATTCAAGTTGCTTCGTCCGTTCATCTGCCATAGCACGCTCGTGATTCTGAGTTGCGGTAGTACTGCAGAATATGTGTTCACGCTCCTCTTGGTGTTGACGGCCCTTGAGCTTCATACCAGCCATCTTGGACTCTAACTTGAAGCGCTTGTGTTCAGCCTTGGCGATAGATGACTCCTGGATGTGATTAGCAAGGGACCCTGATGCCTCGTTTAGCTTTGCACTAATTTCGGATACCGCATCACGCGGCCCGCTTGCGAGAGACAGATCTGCTAGATGTAGTCGAGGGAAAGATCAGAATCCTGATCAGATGATGTGTGGCCAAGATGACGAGCACCACCGGTTTTGCGTGAATGCATGGTCAGGGATTTCATCATCCGGCTTGCGCTTGCATCAGAGTCATCAGACAAGGGATCTATCTGCATGTCTTGAGAGACGGCGACCTTGGTCTTGCCTGAGGAAATGGTGGAATGGTAAGGGAAATTTTCGCCGGCCGTCATCAAGGTTCTGGAGAATTGAGAGAAATAGTAGGGCCTCGCTGCACTGTACAATTCGTGTTGATGGAGGATATGAATGGGCGTTGGTAGGTAGACACTGGTGGTTGAAGACCTGGGGGAGGCTGCATAACGAAGTGAGGAGTTGGACGATGATGCCTGAGGCTCGGGCTGAGTGAGCTGTGGTGACGATGGATCAGTTGGATCATCCCAGTCGGGCCAGTCCCGATCTTTGCTGTTGTGAGATGTGGAGGGGACGTCATTATCGTCCATACGAACATCGTCATCCTCGCCCTGATTCATCCCTTCTCGACATTGGCACGGTCTTCATCGACACCCACACGGTCTTCATCAACATCCGCACGGTCTTCATCAACATCTGCACAGTCTTCATCCATATCGGCACGGTCTTCATCCACATCCACATGGTCTTCATCATCCATCGGCAGAGCGATCTCTTTGCCCTTGCCTGTCCCCAAAGAGACTTGTGGCCTCGGCCGCAAAATCCTGGCCTGGATCAGCCGTCAAAAATGAGGTGTTGTACGCGGGATTGGTTCTCCACCACCCATGGAGATCAACCCACCATGGGAATGGCACCAAGAGCCGGTCTAGAACACCTTTAGAGTGTATGCTGGCATCAGAAAGGAAAGTACGAACCAAGTATGCTCTTCATCTTCTCATCTCCATTGATAGCCTCGAAAGACAGACCAGCACCAGTCTGGCCGAGTTGCATGTTGATTTCGTTATACTTTTTGCGTAGCCTAGTAAAGTAGCTAGTTAGTGGCCAGATCGGTACTGATATTTGTTGTGGTCATAACCAGGACTCACGATGTAAACCGACTTTGAATGGGCTTCGTAAAGGCAAGGGGATGCGCTCTAAAGTATTCCCTAACCTTCGGATCTTCATCATGTTGGAAAATGGTTGTCGCAAGTTGCTGCAGGTATGCATTCTTCTGTGTCGTCATTTGTTGGCGTGTGCGCCCTTCCTCTTTTGCATCCTTCGTAGAATCTGAGAAGATTTTGAGTTGAGCCTCCTGGTTGACTTTGCACCATTCAATAAGGCGAGCGGTGCGTGGACTATTTTTCTTGTCCCAGTGTATGGTAGGTGGTTTGGATCGCTCTCCTGCTCCTGCGCTGATTGGCGGTGTCTTAATAACCGAGGGTCTTATATAAATACGTGTAAGAATGTAATGACACCACAATTACACTGGATAAGACTTCTTGCCAGTCCTCGATTAACACGGTCTACGACTTTTCTTCTTTCGTGGTAGATAACGTGTGAGTTCTTGGGAGGCTCGCTAAACCAATCAGTCAGATTAACTTAGCCGGAGCTTTATTATCTCTGATTGAAACTATGGGATTGTCTAGGATATACCGTCTAGACACTTGAACTGGTTTCCTGAATATACGGTTAACTGTTGAGAAGCTGGTCTCAAATGTGACTACGTGGACCAAAGCTCGTGTTGGTCAATATACAAATACCTGGTGAGAACGCTGGTCTCACAAATAACAACAAATGACAAATAGAAAACAATGACAAATAACAACAATGACCAAAGCTCGTGTTGGTCAGTATACAAATACCTGGTGAGAACGCTGGTCTCACAAATAACAACGGTGACCAAAGCTCGTGTTGGTCAGTAAACACTACGTGGTGAGAACACTGGTCTCACAAAACTGGGTTTCTATCGCGAGAAACTTACGTAATCTCAAGGGAAACACTTTCCCTGCACTTGCCTGGACAGTTCTTACAAAGGAAATGGGCTTTGTAAGCAGCAATTTGTTCAGACTGAAGCTTCTTAGGTGAGAGTTCAATTTGCTCAAGTGGGAGTTCTTGAATGCAACAGTGGGAGATCTATTTTTTTGGGGGAGAATGGGCTCTCCTTATATACATTTTGTGTGGGAATATTATGTAAGTAAAAAGGTGATGTAATGACTTCAGAATGTGGGAAGAATATTCCAAAAACTGGAGCAGAATGTTCTAGCAGGTGCAAAAGAACATTCCAGAATATTCATGGTGGGATAATGACATCATTCTGAGTCACTATGAGTCACTATGAGTCATTATGAGTCATTGGAATGTTCTAGCAAATTCCATGGAACATGACATCATTATGACATCACTATGATATCATATCTTTTCAACCAAAATACCTGCAGGAGTGTAGGTGAAGTCCTATGACATCATTATGACATCATACCCTGTAGGTACAATTTTATGAAGCATCTGATTAGTCAGAGCATCCTAATAGAAAAGTAAAGTAAAGAAACACTAGAGAAAACAACTCAGAAATAATAGAACAAATAATAGTACACAATACGCGGGCTTTTTTTAGATAGGTTTTTGTTAGGCTTTGAACTTTTCTCTATGGGTTTCTCTAGCCAAAGTGAATAAGCCAAAGGAAAGGCAATACCTTAACCTTCATTTTGCTTCTCATATCAACTAGGTCATTATGTGATTCCCATCTCACATATGACTTTTCTTCAAAACATGGTGGATTCATGAATCACTGAGGGAAAACTGAAACTATTGGACCAAGGTTTGATACCAAGGTATGGGTTGACTAGTCTGAGGACTAAGCTAACAGACTTTGTCTTTTAGGGGGATACCTAGTAGTCATGTCCATGCATGATTCCCAAATCATGCAGGACATCGGGCTAGCACTTGGAGGAGTAGAAGATTCGGTGACCAACCCATGACTACCACGCTTCGCCGGACGACCTCGAGATCCACGTCCGCGACCCACTAACAACCCCAGCCATGATGATTACAACGACGACGACGGCAACGATGGCGACGACGGCAACGATGGCGATGACGGCAACGATGGCGACGACGGCAACGGCAATGATTATGTTCCCGAGTATGCACTGGCACTGGCTCTGTCGGAGTCTGAAGGTGCCGAAATTTTCAAGTGATGCCGAAGTTTTTTATTTGTTTGTGAGTTTTGTATTTCACTTTGAGACCCATTTATGTTTTCGAGGGTGTGAAATTGACACTGTCATTCACGGTAAATTTGCAGGGTAAATTAGCTGGGCAAATTTGCCTGGTGCAAATTCCCAGGACCCTAAGGCGAACGAAGGACAAGACTGCTAATATTGTATTTCCCTGAGTTGCTACTGTAAATACCGCATATCGTCGAAGAGCCGACAGAAGGGGTGTTCTTGTATAACATAAACAAACTGCCGCCCGCAAGTAAAGCAAAGTAGAAAGTGGGAAGTGAAAACTACTGGCGATATCTAGCGTGATTGATGCTTGTGGCATACTTCCACATATTTTCCATCAATATTGTACCAATGTTGACGACGTATGTGACCAGCCAGAGCGCAGTGACGATGCGACAGATCATGTTTTGAGAGGAAAAGCCTATCAACATCGCTGGGGGTGAAATGCATGAGGGACCAGAGAGCCTCAAATGACAGTGGGACAACTCGCCAAATAAGGAATGGACTTCGTTTCCCACATCGTGATCGCAACACGGTGAACTCTTAAGTTCACCCTGATTACTGTCTAGTACATGCATTCCCTGCGCTTTTTCAATCAATATCAGAAATCCGCTCGCCTGCAGACGGATAATTATCAAGTTCGTATTCATAGCGAAGAGTAAACGACTGATCTGGTGTATATTTTGCGTCATTCATCAACGTCTACTTGTCGTGGCGATTCCGGGAGAGAGAGGCTGTGTACACTGGCAGTTGACCATGGGCAAATGCGCAAGTACAGCGTGTTGGACGTCCATTTTCCAGAACCGCTTCCTATCAAGAGCATGTATTCAGAATTCCAACAATGCCGTGGCAAGAGCAAGCGGTACGAAAAAATCGCAGTCACAGCGCCGAGATTGTTCGAGAGCGCATCAGCCAAAGTGATCAAAGCACTAAAGGGACTCGAAGCGCGCATATGGCGATATCATGATAATGTCGACGCGAATTGCTTCCGCGTGATCAAACGCTACTGTCTCCAACGGTACTAGTGCTAGTCAGACCTTAGGCTTGATGAAGGGAAAACTGCTGTTCCTTCTTTATCGTATAGCCTGCTCCCTATGACCGAGGCCAAGGGACGACCAGAATTGACCAATTACCACCATTTCAGATGGGCCAGGAGTTGAGATGCTAACAACGTCGAAGCCTCCCAGCCCTCAACCAGCCTACTAGGCGCCCGAACGTAAGTTCTAGTAAGTTCTCGCGGGTACCTTCCAAATACCTTGGCAAGGTGGCTTATTCACATGAGTGGTAAGCAAGTCTGTTAATGAGGTTTATAATATTGATCTACATAACGTGAACCAGGCAGATCTCAGTCAGCAACTGACTAAGTCGTTCGCCAGGCCACTGATTGACAAGAATTCTGTGAAGCGATACTATAACCGAGGTCACTTGTCTCATACATAAATATGAGCATTCTTTTCGCCTTGGAATTCCTCACCCAAAGTCCTATTCAATCATCAGCATCATGTCCGAACAGCTGACTCTATACCTTCACAAGGTGAGGAACGATGGAGATTGAAGAGGAAGACTTGTCTGACCTATGATTCTACAGCTCTCAGCCCTTTAGCCAAAAGGTGAAATGACTGCTGACAACCGTTTCACCAGTCTCTGACGCGAATCGACAGGTCGAACTGGCTCTTATCGAAGCTAATGCACCCTACAGAGGGTACCATGTCGATCTAGTCAACAAACCAGAGTGGTTTACTAGCAAAGTGAACCCGGTTGGCAAGGTATGCGCGACGATGACCTATGTTAGACTATTGCGGATGATTGCGATATTAAATAGGTGCCCACTGTAACATACGGGGGACCCAGTGTCGACCCCGAGGAACCTTCGTCCTTGTCCGCTAAAATCACGGAATCAAATGTCATCCTTGAGTTCTTGGCGGACCTTTATCCAGATTCTGGGCTCCTGCCGAATGATCCTGTTTTACGTGCCAAAGTCCGTTTCTTCATTGATGCGAGCACTAAACAGGTCGAGGGCCCGCTTTACGATTTCCTCCGAGGGCACGGGTCATATGAAAATGTCCTGAAAGGCATTGAATTTGTTCAGGGTCTTCTCGAGGAGAGTGGAGATTTCGCAGTTGGAGATCGTTATCACCATTGCAGATGCCTGCATCTCTCCGCACCTCGCAAGGCTCAAGATCATCACCTGAGACTGACATAGGTAAAGTACCCGCACTGGCACCTTTTCCGAAGAAGTTGACCCTGATTAATTGAACTAGGCCAATTCCCTGTCGGTTTGGGGTTTAAGCTGGGTGAGGAGCTAAAGGGACCTAAATTCACGTAAATTCACGAAATACGTCGACCAAATACTGGAGCGTCCGAGCTTGAAGCCAAACCTACGATAAAGTGCGTATTTTCCCGCTACCGTGGTAGTAGGTCAAAATGACTGATTGCTACACTGCGTTTAGGAGGGTGTGATCGGATACTTCAAGGCATTTTTCGTGCGCGAGCAGTAAACATATACGTGATAAAAGATAGTTAGATTCGTACGACAGAGCTTACTCGCTGTTAGAAATTTGCATCCAGACGAATAATAGACAAATTATACAATTAACAATCGGCAAAGAAAAGCTGTGCGACAATGACGATAAAGATACATCGAAATCTTACATGAGCATACCAACTACTCCTCCATCTCATCTCCGCTCTCATCATCGCTGTCGCTGTCCTCGCCCTCTGCAACATCAATAGGATCCAAACTCAGATCATGATCTGCGCCAATGTACGCATCGCAGATGACATAGAGTTTCAAGGCGTGACTGCCTTTCGGTAGCGTGAACTCCAATTTCACCGAGAGATTCTTGGTGACGGTGACGCGCTTGATTGATAGCAGCTGTTTTGTGCTCGGCTCCCCAATCACCAGCCACCAGTTTGCTATCTTTTTGGTCGGGTAGAAAGGTGCGACAACAGTCTGATCATCAGGATCCTCTTCATCTCCATCGCGTGCAAGATTAACCTGCATGGTGATGGGTGCACCAGCAGTATATTCTCCCTTCTCAAGCTTGAAGGACACGTCAAGGGTCGGGTATGAGTTGACGAATGTCGCTACATCGCGCCTAGAAATGTTGTTAGAAACAGTTGAAATGAATACGTACAATAGAACTTACATTTGACGACCATCCATTTGCAAAAGCTCGCTGCGTTTGTCATCTTCCATCTCCATGACATCGTAGACAGACTCAATGCCGGCATCCTTGCAACGTTTGACGATCTGTTTTGAAATTTAATTAGTACTGAAGAGTGCCAAGAAGAATAGACATACCTCTGGTTCAAAGTGGGGGATTTGCTTAAGGGGTGAATCGGTCTCCCACATCGCCTGTACACACATCTGCGACAAATCCATTGCTCCCAGTGCATTCAGCCATGCGTTCGAGGACATGACATCCACACATGCTGATAGCAGGTTCAAAACCTTCTCCAGAACTAAAACTTGGTCCGCTGCCAAGTCTGGTGGCAGCTGGATACGAGAGAAATGAGCCTGAAGCAGAAGGAAGGTCTTGAAGTGAGGAGCTTCGAAGTCTGCACGATCGAGCTTGACGGGAACACGGTCGTAGATGCGGCGGAGAATGGTGTCTTCGTGACGCCTGATAGGAATCGACTCGAACTCTGCAGAAGAGGCAACGACTTCCAGAAGACCTTTGAGTTTCGTCCGCTCCTTCAGCGACAGGGTGTACACCTCCACAGTGACGTATGAGATATTATAGTACGCCGCTATCATCCCGAGGTTCAGTGCCGAAACGTCCATTTCATCCTCTATCGAAATGCACTTTGAGTTAACCAGCTCTTGCAAGGTGTTCTCCACGAGTTCCGACAGGTGATCTGACAAATGCTGATGGCTGACATTGTGAAGATTGTAGTAGTTGGGGTTTTGAGTCATTCGGCGGTAGAAATATGTCCACGTCAGGATATCCATCGCATCTTGCTTGTTTTCGATCGTCTTGACAGCGATCTCGGCGAGGAAATAGTCGTGCAGCAGATGGGTAGGCAGGTGAGACTCAATGGGCAGACCCTCTGCAAGGAACTTCTTGTAGAAGTCCTTGCGCGTCTGCTGGCACATGAGGACACACCGGCTGCGTTCGTCTTCCACTGGCCTACAAGCACGACCTATCATTTGTAGGACATCCATGACTGGGTAGTCGACATATCGATGCTCTTTGCCCTCGTAGTATTGCACGCCCATTATGATCACCATATAGCATGCGACGGGTAGACTCCATGCAGTGTCCTGCAGACGCTCAGTTGCTGATCAATAGAAAGGTCATGGATTACACACCTTAGATGCCACCAAAACCTGGATTGCTCCAGACTGGAATAAGCGTTCCACAATGCGCTTGTCTTGCTTATCAAGCGCCTCGTGATAATACCCAATGCCATGTTTCAGGCATTCCACAAGACCTTTGTCGCTGATGTGGTCGAGGTGGGGCTGCAAGTCAGCTTCTTCGATATTCAAGAAACGATCGGGATTGCTATCTGCTCCGCAGTGAATCAACAAGTCGTCAACTGTTAACCGGCACTGGCGTCTTGATGGAACGAATACGATGACAGGTTTGGTGGGTGAGTGTTCAACGATAGCAAGATAGGCAGGCTTAGACATGGCGATCATCAGCGAAGGGAAATGAGGGATAGTAAAGCTTTGGAGATGTATATCCATGTCCAGTGGCCTCGAGCTACAAAATATCATTTAGTAGACTGAATGTTAATTACGAACTGCAAAATATACCTAGGTGAGAAGTTGAAAATTGCATGCGATGGTGCGCCCATCCATTCGCCGAGATCTCTAGCATTAGCGAGCGAGACACCACAGGCGACGATGCGAGTCTTGATCTCCGTTTGTGCAGAAACATACCGGGTCCTAGATATCACCACTTCGTACGTCGGACCCACTTCTCCACCTACAAGTTGGATTTCATCAGCAATCAATAGACCGATGTTCTGCACATTCTTGCGCTGTCGCCATCTTCGAGACAGGATATCCCACTAGAAATGTCGGTTTAGTGAGACATTTATAATATGATTGAAGGAACTAACCTGGGATGGGGTGCAAACAACAACATCCCCCTTCTCAAGAAGTCGAAGGTCAGCGCTGGTGTCTCCTGTGAGGCTTACTATCTCTTTGCCGCCCTGCAGGCCGCTGAACTTCCGACGCCACTCTGCAACACGTTGGTCGACCATCTCCTGGTAGGGCTCAATACAGACCGCCCTGGGCTGCTCGCGTTTGCTCCAAAGGCGAAGCAGAGCAAATTCAGCACAGATAGTCTTGCCGCTTCCAGTGGGCGCGCCAATAAAGACATTCTCATCAGATGTGTAGAGAGCCTGGAAGACCTGCGTCTGGATCTTGTTGAATGTTTGGATGGTGGATGAGTAGATACTCTCGAATTCCTTGTTGTGTAGGGCAGACAGCGGGAGTGGCTGGAGTTCGAGAAGGGGAGTGGGAGGTGGGAACTTTTCTGGGAGAATCAAGTGTTTGAATGATATGGGTAGTCGGGTCTCGGCGTGCAACCATCGGTCGGAGACAACAGATATGTAGTAGTTCGGGGGGACGGGCTCAAACATCGGAACCGTGATGGTCACGTTATGTTCATCCTCTGCATAACGCTGGCGCAAGACAAATGAGTCGTGGAAAAGAATAATCTCTCCATCGACGTCTTCAACCATGATGAGGAATGTCTCAGCTGTTCCGTGGGTCTTCTCGTCCCATCGGAAGTCAGGGACAATAGACAAGTCGATACGAAGAAGGGAGCGGGTGATGGGCTGCACTTGCGCTTGCAGCTGCAGCTTAGGGAAGCTGTGCACCAAACGATGGACGAGCCTTCCGGCGTTTGGAATGCCAATAAGCTCACCAATTTCAGGAGGGTCGAGATCAAAGTAGCGATACCATGGCTGATGAAGACTTAGCACGTGCCTTACTTGAATTGATGTAAACTTACGAATTGTTTGCCCTCCGCTTTTCGGATGACCTCCTGTGGAACACCCTTAAATTGGCGAAGTGGTGTCATCGAGCCCCACCTGAAGACCAAACAATCAGTTGATAATTAACGACTTTATCAAAAGCCACCAACATTCGTCGCTCAACCATCTTACATAGGTCGAGACATGCACGCGCTGGTACTGCCCACCCTCGCTTCAGGCAAATCTCAAACATAGCACGAAGAATACTGTAAGATGTGTGAGCTTAAGTAAACTAACTTAAAACAGCACATACCGGCCGGCAGATTGCTGAACAAAGACCATATCAGCCACGAGAGCAAAACCTAATTATCCGGTCAGCACAATATGGTAGACGGCTGAGTCGTCACCTACCGTCAAGTTTAAGCTGCGATATATATGCTTGTAGAAGGACGTTGATCTTCGCTGCGGGTTCATCGACGCCTTCCTTCACTGGAATAGGCACACGTTCTAATAATTTACCAAGCTCAAGCTTCTCCTCTTGACGTACCTACAAAAATGAATATGAATGTCGAGACTCGCATTACAGACAAAAAATGTGTGACATACCGGCAGAAGTTTGAACTCATTTGAGAGCGCAAACACCCGGAACAGTTCCAATGTCGACATGGTTGGTCTCAGATGCTGGTTGTATGTAGCCATCGAGTTGTACGTAACTATAGTAGTGAGACGCAATGCGACCAAGCTCGGTGCTCTGGAAACGACCAGATGCACGTTCGTACTTGATGAGATGGCATTTCTCCAGCAGAACGGCGGCAGAATGGGCAATGTCAGCGCGTTTCTGGATAAGACCATTGTCGTCCTCCTGGTAATCGACGCCAACACCATAGAGTCCTGGGGACTTCAGCATGCGAACATAGCTGTGGGAAACGTCAGTACTTTTACTACTGTGAGAACAGGTTAGCTTACAGATAAGTGTACCCCAACCACTGGACGGCCTCGTCACGGTTACGAACAGTTCCAAGAACAATCTCTGCGTTCAAATTGTCTGCAAGCTTCGACACGAACTGAGACTCGATCGGCAGCTGCTGGTTCAGCAAGCTGAGGTAGTACTGCAGCTCGGAGTGGTTCGTGATGATGACACCCTCGCCATACGTATCATATTGCGGGCGACCAGCGCGACCGAGCATCTGCAACACATCCTGGGAGGAGAGTTCAACCCAGCGGCCTTTCTCAGGGTTATAGATCTGCGTGCCCTTGATGATGACGGTGTGTGCCGGGAGGTTGACACCCCATGCGAGCGTTGCCGTGCAGACAAGCACCTGGACTGCACCATCTGCGAAAAGCTCCTCAACAAGATTCCTGTCCTCTCTAGTCATACCGGCGTGGTGAATAGCGAACCCAAACGGCAAGAGATCGCGCAGATTGCCATCTTTGACATTGCCTGCTTCCTCCGTGAGGATCTCACGCGTCGCTGAGTCGGGACGAACGAACTGCGTTATCGTCTCCTTCTCCATGGCCATGTCGCGGATGAACTTGGCGGTCTTGGCGGTCTCCTTGCGAGAGTGCACGAAGACAAGGGTCTGATTCTTGCCCGCTTGGTCAAGTACCTTCTCGTAGCAAACCTCATTCATGACCTGGAAACGCTTGATAGCCTTCTTCTCTGTAACACCAATGAACTGCTGCTGAAGCGCACATGGACGGTACGAGGCATCGAAATAAAATAGGCCTCTCAATTCGTCCACGCGGAGGAATGTCGCAACGTCTTGGTAGTTTGGAAGCGTAGCTGAGAGGCCAACCAGGCGAACGTACTCTCCTGTTTGCTCCATCCTCCGTATCGTGCGTGCCACAACACTCTCGAGCACGGGTCCACGCTCGTCGTGCAGCAGGTGAATTTCATCAATAATCATGAGCCGAACGAGGTTTGTATAACTCGTGTCGGTACTCTTGCGCGTGATGACATCCCACTTCTCAGGTGTGGTGACAATGATCTGGGTCTCCGAGATCTGCTGTTTCGTCATTTGAGAGTCTCCCGTGAGCTCGCCAACCTTGATCCCGAAAACGTTCAGCCGTGCGTTAAAGTTTCCAACCATTTCTTGGACAAGAGCCTTCATGGGCGCGATATAGACAATTTTGAAATCGTCAAGGGCAAATTCGCCTGTAGCCTCGTCGCGATATTTGGACAACTCATTAAGGATGGTAAGCATGGCGACGTTGGTCTGTAAAGTCAACTTAGTGTCTGAAAAATGAAAAATATAACGCAACACCGCTTACCTTACCAGCGCCGGTAGGCGCACAGAGTAACAGGGGCTCATCCGTCCCGAAGGCAATTGGGTAAAGCTTGCTCTGAACTCGATTGAGCTTGGGCACGGTGAATGCCTTTCTTGCCCACTCCGGCAGTGCAGTGACAGGTACAAGCTCTTCCTCCCCGCCTTGCTTTTTCTGGGGTGCAGGGACGTGAATCTCCTCATATCCCTTGCGTGCCCGCTTGAATGAGCCCTCAGGAAGCTTGCACTTCTTGTTGGACATCAGATGCCCCCCCTGGCTGAATGCCATGCTCTCTAGATCGACCGTGCGCTTTGGTTGCACTGTAGAGCCTGGTGCAAGGGTTGCTGTCTTTGGTACCGCTAACTTCTTCTCGTCTACATCCATGCCATCATCCTGCACCTTCTTGGCCTGGCGGTCTCCAGCAAGTTCTCGCAAAATCCAACCAACACCCTTCTCTCGCATAGCAACTTCGACATTGATCCGCTCGTCTGCGTCGCTCCGCATGAGCTTCGTGCACCATACCACCACATCCCGGTTTTTAAGGAACTTGGTGATCACGTGGAAGCTCTGGAACTCGAACAGCTCCATCAACTGATTCTCGCAATCGCGCAGGCCTGATTCCGAGCCAAGGATAGAGAGGACAGACGCTGCCTTGTCCGCTGCAGTAACTGGATCCGGGTAAACTTCCGATATCTGACGTTGCACCCAGAAACCATCGATCACGTGCGGCGAGACGATGTCTTTATCTGCTTTGGCCTTTCCAGTTCCACGGGTTGACGAACCACCGATAACAAGTTCCTCATCACCTGCTTCCTCAGCCCCTGGTGTGGTTTCATCTACTTCGTCCTCCTCTTCGTCACCTTCCTCGTCTGAACCGTCTCGAATTTCATAGCCTTCTTCGTCTTCTTCCTCCTGTTCCTCGTCGTCGAATACGACTGCAACTCCGAGTTCGTCGTCAATTTCGGCGTCCTTGCGCTCCATATCTGGGTCTGCCATCGTCTCATCCTCGGCGCCATAGTCGGTAATTTTTTGCGCTCGGGCCACGAGCTGAGAAAACACGTCGCTGGAAACGGGACCCAGCACCTCCTGAATCTCTTTTTTCTTGTCAAAGTCCTTCATAGACTCATTCTTGAGTGTTTCAAGGACGGCGTCGGTTGCGCTGCGAACAATGTCCTGTGCTTGGTCGCCCAGCACGTGGTGCACCGTGGATAGCATGACTTCATAAACCTCACGGGTTTCGGCAGTACGGGGGCGGTATGAAAGTCCTTCAACGTCTTGTGTTGCGTCGATGATATCCGTGTACCCGAAACCAGCTTCTGCACGTCGCTTCACGACCTTTTCTGGGGCTTCCTGCTTGCCCGCGTCTCCTGCTTTTTTCTTCTTCTTCTCAACATCTTTTGGGGCTTGACGCTGAACGCGTGAGCCCATCTCACGAGGGTCAATCCGCCCTGCGAGAGAAGTAGGTGCGCCATCGGGCTCTCTGTCTCTCCTGGGAAGAGCAGACCTGTCAGCGGTCAAGACAAGGGATGAAATAGCACCATAGTTGTAGCCAGAAAGATCTGGTTTGCCTCCTGGTCTCCCAGACATTAGATGGATTTAGTCGGGATGGAAAAGGTTGAGAAAATCACGAACAACAATCGACTGTCGTCGCCGTTGACGCTGAAGACGAGTAGACCTAAATTTCCAGTTTGTATTGAGTAAGCAGTTGATTACGTGACCAAGTGGCTGTGTCGACAGGCTGTCTCACACAACTTCAAGACCGTCTCGAGTCTCGACTCTCTAGGCGCTCTTTTTCAGAAAAACTAGTCCTGCTTACACGAGCTATGCTGCCAGATGAGCCTAACAAAGAATCATTAAGCACTCAGTGTTTGGATCGGGTCCTGCAGGATTTATCCAATCATGATGCCCATCCCTGCAAGTACCCCCACTACTACTTATTCTAGCTTTACCGTGATTGCATGCGACAGTGTATGACATTGACCAGTAAAACGAGTTCGCTGCTTAGTTCAAGCCTACACTGGGTGCTTACACAGTCGGTTGGGCTCAATGATGTACGATGGTGCATCTCGGAGGCGCGACAACTCTACGAGGATTCTTACAGTAAAAGAACACTGAGCGAGTTTGTTTATCGTGACTAAAGGACCCTCGGTAGAAAATCAATCTTAAAGAGTTCAATGATGGTTAATGATACACAATCGTGATGTTACATATGACAATATCCTCTTCTGTGTTTATTTAGCCAAGCCGAACCTTCTCGTGAAAACCTCTTGCACGACGTCCTATTGACCAGTTGTTATGATAGCAGCAATCGTCAGCAGAGTAGCGGACGCACCTCGTGGAATGTGGATTTGAAGCTCTGCCTTGCTAGCAATCTTTGCACATAACCGTTAAATTTCGCATACTTGGGGTCCTCCAGAGCCTTCAAGAAGCTCTTCCTCTCCTCATCTTTGTAGGCACCAACTCCCTTCTGTACCAACAAGTTCAACCTTGCCCAGAACGGCGCGAATGCAATGTCTGCAATGGTGTACTGGTCGCCAACAGCGTATTTTGCCCCGTCAGGTAAAATGTCCTGAATGGCATCCACGCCAGTTAGGAGAGTGGCATGTGAGGCTTCTGGGTTGCCGGATGCAAACTTCATGAAATTGGGACTGAATTTAGTGGACACGATCTCAATGAAGAAACGGGCCTTGGCACGTAGCACAGGGTCCGCAGGTAGGATGTTGGAGGAAGGGTACAAATCGCCGATGAACTCGACGAGGATCAGCGACTCCGCCAATTTGGTAGACTCGGGAGAAGGATTTTCTGGGGCAACATCGGGACCACCATAAGCGATAGTCGGCACCTACCACGAATCCTCTTCAAGATGTGATCATTTCACAAGGAAGAGTGCGGCACATACCTTGCTGGCAGGGTTCACCTTTGGGGCGTACCACTCTGGCTTATTCCCAAGATCGATCTCGTATCTTTTGAATGGAGCGCCAACCTCGGCGAGGGCAATTTCAGTCTGGATGGGTTGAGTTATCCAACGAACACAATTGTCAAGGTTGATCAGGACATACCCTTTGAGCGTACGGGCATACCTATGTGCATGGGTAAATGTCAGTAGACGGCCTCATAGCATGTTGCAAGTATACAGTACCTTCGCAGTGTAAAGGGTGATCTGTTCTTGAGCCATGTGATGGATGTTATACGCTAGTCGTGCAGGTGGGAGATTGGATAAGTTGGATGTTGGCAATCTGAGATACTTATACTTATACTTGGGTCGCGCCAGCGCATGACTAAATGATCTCGGACTGACCGGGATATCTATAGCATCTAAACATGCGAAATATGTAAAAATCTGACGCAATCGTGGTTGCTTTATCAGCGCTGACTGATCTGTGAGAGCCTAGTTACCCAGTGTCTGCGCCTGATAAAGCTTCAGATGACATTCACTTGTCGAGCTCGTGTTGTTTCAAGGATGAGGCTCGAAACCTAGATTAAAGATCCCTGACATCGCCCTGCGGCAATGTTGAGTGGTGGCCCAGGTTCGGTGAGCACTGAGAATCAAGATTCCTTCAAGTTTGAATAGAGCTGCTCGAGGAGATACTGGAAATAATTGTGTTCTCAGATCAGACTCATGTATAGTCACGAGTCACGGGTGTGTCTGCTAGTCAAGACTCGAGAGACAGATTTGCCAGTGTGGGTTTCTCCGCAGCCACGGTACCCAAGCAAGACCCACCCTTACTATTTCCGGGAAAGGACAACTTGAAAATGCACCCTGAACATGTCACGTTCATGTCCACTTCACGTCCACCTGCTCTGATTCAACTCTTATCCATCGATATCTGCTCTCCATGCCTGCCTGGACAATAATTTCGCCGAACAACCCGGAAACCAATTCCCGGGGCCAGAATGATCATCGTCATCCAATGCGCATGAACATATACTGGGTTATGAAAGCTGTCTATCATATGTTGGACCCATCAAACGAACCGAGTTCCACAACTGATGAAGTAAAACACATCGCAACCCTCGAATACACAGTCTCGCAAGAAAATGCGGGTTCTCCTGACGTATCAAGCCTCGTCATACATCTGCGCCTTTCCACAGAGACTGATACACACTTTGATGTTATGTTGCGTGACATGCAGATCGAAGACAAGGTAGAGAACGTGTGCGTTTCGCTCCCTGGAGAGCTTACGCCGGTTCTGATGGATATCTCTGAGTTCGTTCGTGAGTTCGTCCTCAGAAGGTCCGCTATCAAGCGGGAACCCGGAGCTTCGGACTGCAGTTTTGGCGGTTGGATATGGCAAAAGATGCAAGCGGAGGTAAGTGTTGATTGTTCGTCCACTATCATGATGCAAATTGGGTGCTTTAGAAATACCGTCAACGCGTCTCTCAGCAGGAGGTTGTTGGTGTTAAAAAGACCGGTAGATGCCCTTTATGCCGCCACGGTCTTATCGACTGCAAAAGCTGTCATGTTGCATCCTGCCGGTCGCTCGGTTGCCATGGATCTTCCAAACCCCCACTTGCACGGTGCGCTGAGCATCCAAAAAATACACTATGTTCTCCGTGCCTTGAAGAGCAGGGGTCCAAGAGGGAACTAGAGAAATGTCCTGGGTGCAAATCTTGGTGCTGTGCCACGGATATAAACTCGTGTATTGGTCATCCCGTTGCCATCCCTTTGGTTCCTTGCTCCTCCACCGAACACCTTCTGCATGTGATGACTACCTACTCCCAATCAGCTAGGGTCCACCCTCCCAAGGGCGGTTCCTGCAACCAATGCGAGCAGCCTGGATGGCGGAGATGCCGAGGCAACGGATGTTGGTCAGGAGACGATGTGATCTGCCCAGAATGCGCCAGTGGTGGTACCACGTGTATGTGTCAGAAAGTATGGGCGTGCGATATCTGCGCGGAGCACGACAGTAGCATCTTTATCCGCTGCCCGCGCTGCGACAGGCCATTTTGCACCTCTTGCACCTATATCGACCAATGCAAGCAGTGCTTCCGTGTTACCCTCTGCTATGACTGCGTTGAAGAAGCGTCGGATGCAGATGACACAGATGACGGGGTAGTAGAAACGTTTGCTAAACTCACTGGGACATGCGAAAGCTGCGGGGTCAGGGTATGCAATCGCTGCGCGCCAATTGAACCCTCGTGGTTGTCATGCTCGGAATGCTTGGCGATGAAGATCCGTCGTCGTGCGCGATTGCATGCCTGATGCTGCTATTGCCAGCAAACTGGAATCATGATTAGAGATAAATGAAAGTACGAATGGATTGGAATTTCTTTTACTCCGATCACACACTGCGCGCAGCACTAGGGCTCTTATCTAGGCTAGCCGCCAATGGTCAGATCTTAGGAATCACACTAAGAACTTCGAACTGAAACTGTCATAGTATCAGTCCTAGGGTATAGCTGTGATCTTGGCAGGCAATCTAGATCAGTTCGAAGCACGACTTCAGGTAGTTCATCCCAGATCGCACATGATAACGTGAACACTGAATATAGTGTCAGATTTGAGTCAATGCAAGTGGTGGGTAGAGCCTCGATGTTACAGTACAAGATATACCAACTCAGATGGATCACTCTCACCATTTACAATGCTCCTCGACGTTTTTCGTCAGAATGAGGTCTATCCGACATAGGGTCACCGACCAAAGGATTGATCTGGTGCAAAAAGTGAGAGGATAGAGGATCGTTGGCATTATAGGATCTCCCTCCGAATGAAATTGTATGTGCCAAAGTGCCACCGAGTCTCATGGTTGGAGGGCTTGGACAGCATCCGCCAGCTCATGCAACGCGACGAAACTGTAAAGTTTCCAGATGAGAAATAAATGTTAGTTGCTTCCATTGACGGCGTGAATGTCACTGACGTTTGTTTCAAGTACCTCGGAACCAGCGTGGTGGTCCATCTTTCTGCAGGGTCTCCTTCAAAGCCTTATATTTTTCTTCCGGCGGTGCGGTTGTTGGTAAGCGTTCCCAAGGATCGGTCGCGGCGAAAGCAATGCACCGATAGCTCTTCCCTGGAGCGTTTTCACTCGACAGAGTTTGGTGTAGGCGTAAACGGCCATCTCTGTCCTGAAATCCCTCGAAGCCAGGAAAATGATCTGCATTGCGTCATCGTACGTCTTGGCCCTTGGGGCACGGATGACCCAAATCAACGCCTCGTTGGAACAACCATTCCTCTCCAACTTGAGTAGGTATCCATAGAATTTTTCCCACAACTACGATGTTTGAAGAATCATTATAATACAGAGATGGTTCGGATGGCAAGTGCGCTCACCTCAAATTCGCGATGTTTAGCACTGGTATTGAAAACGTTGAAGTTTGAACGAGCCTGCACAGTGCAAGACGGTCGCGTCAAGGCTGTATACGTAGGACGTCATGTGACAAGGCACGTGCTTCTGGCAGGTGCAACGCGGTCGCGGACTCGCGGTCACTGCAACACGCAACTGGTGAACAATATTTTGATACAACAAGTATACTACGACTATCGCCGCGTAGCGTCCACCCAAGGCCTGTTGCTATCTTCTTTCCTCCATCGAGTCAAAGACTGATCCAGCTGTTCTTTTGTTTCCTCTCTTCGGATCAAACACCCCGTCATGATCAATCTGTTGTTCTACAAGCGAGCAACGCAAAGGATAAAAATTTACTATTGTTATCCATCGCTGGAAATTCTGCAGCTCAACCGGTCACGCGCGTCGCGCACGGTGGATCGTCTTCAATGAAAACAACCTCGAGACCAACTTGAAAACGCTACTGCGAAGTTTAAACATCCCTACTAATTAAATAATATGTACAATGTGACGATCCAGTACAGTACTCATTTGCAATGCTCCTCGATTGACATGATAACGACATATATCCAACATAGGGTCACTGACCAAATGATTACTCTAGTGCAACAGGAGGGAGAGGGGGAGCTACTAGTAATGGAGGATCCTGAGTCTCCCTTCCTCAATCCAATACATGAATAGCGGCAAGGAAGTACGCTACAACAACTTGGGATTGGAGCGCATGGACAGGGTCTGTGTAGCAATTCATGCAACGAGACAACTGTGTAGGTTGGACAGGCAAAATAAGCACCAACGCTTCCACCAACGATGTGCATAGGTCACTGACGTTTTGATTCAAGGAGCTCGGAACCAGCGAGGCGGGCCCTCCCTCTGCAGTGCTTCCTTCAAAGGTTTGTATCTTTCCTCGGGGGGCGCGCTGGTTGGCAAGCCTTCCCAAGGATCGGTCGCAGCGAAGGCGATGCACCAGAAGAGTTTCCCCTTGAGAGTTTTCACTTGACGGAATTTGGTGTAGGTGTAAACGCCCGTCTCTGTCCTAACATCTCTCGAGGCCAGGATGATGGTATCTATTGAGTCATTGTACGTCGTGGGGTGCGGATGACCCAACTCAACGGCTCGCTGGTAAAACCACTCATTTGCCACCGCATATCCATAGTATTTGACCATGATTACGATGCTTTGAAGTTTGAAGAATAGCATTAGAACGCAGACGGTTCTGACGCACTGCATGCACTTACTTTGATTTTGCGATGATTAGCAGCGAATCGGTGATGCAACATGCTGAACAACTTTAATGATTGAACAACTCTTCCCTATAGGACGTCATGTGACAAGGCACGTGCTTTGAGTGACCCTCGCCCATTACTGCGTTATGTTCACGCCCCTTTTGTTTTCCTAATTTACCCATCGAATCAAAGACTGATATTTTTGTTTCCTCTCAAGGCTTGACCCTGTGATTTATCGTGACTGGCATACGAAAATGTTCAGCAACGTGAGCAAGGATCATAACCATTTGTTTATTGCTAACATCGTGATTCGTCGCAAGTCGGAAAGACACAACCTCATTGTACATTCGAATTCTCCGCAAAAAACGGAAGTCCATACTACATCATATTGCCAGTCGACAATTCAGACGTCTGAGTCATTTCCAACTCGAGCCACTGTTGATGTTCATCATGCCCCTTGGATTCTCCCTCGGCGTACTTATTTGAATCCTATGCGCATACTTTTTGCATCTAATCGAGTTCCATTGCTCCTAGGACTTCATATATTTGAACTCCTCTGCACGTCTCATTACATGCCTCGTTTGTCAGCCGTACAATCATAGTCTGTCCTCTCCCCAAGACATTAATTAATTCCTGGCATGTGGTGCACCATTTGTCAGACACATCCTGGCCCGCCGGCATACTTTTGTCGGTGAACTGAACGTGCAAGTTGAACAGCCTCCTCCGTATCTCTGTAGTACTGGAGCATGTGGGCGTTCAGTCGTTTTATCCGCCGGCCCGCCGGGGCCCTGTTAATGCAAAAATCACGTATGCACAAGAAAAGGAAAGAATTTCCTGCATTGGCATTTTTTCATGCTGGCCGATTTCGTCCTTCTAATCCCCCTCTACATTCTCTGTAGAGTCAGGGATTCTTTGGCCATTCGTTACCATCACTTTTGATTCGCTTATGAGGGCCGAGGTTGATTGAGAAGGTATGGAGAATGATGATCCAAGGTGTGAGCGATGATTGTGTTCGGTGTCGCTTCACTGAAATTCTTGATCGTGCTGCAGGGTAGAGGACTTGCCAGACGACTTAACACCTTTGATTACTCGAACAACTTTGGACCACGTTAGAGGAGGTGCATTTGGCGATGTTTGGAAATGCGATTACAATGCAGATGGCATTTCAGCCGTCGTTAGTTCGTGTTGGAGACATCATGGAAGTGGCTGACGCCCAACTATCGATCAGGTTGCTGTCAAGGCCTTCAGGCTTTTAGAGAGGGATAGTTTAGAGACGATCAACAGGTTGAGCGATAGTACTGTAACACCTGTCCGTGCTCAGGCTACTTGAACTTTTCATCTAGAATATTAGCCGAGAAATTGGCATTTTGAAGATTCTACGCCATAACAACATTGTACCCTTGTGGGGAATAGCGACAGGATTTGGACGGATGCCAGAGTTGCGCTGCTTGGTATCTCCGTGGATGCCAAATGGCACGTTGTCTGCCTACCTAACATCTAACCACAACGATCTAACAGTCTTGGACCGTTCGCGTATGGTGAGCGAAGTTCTCATTCTCCCATCCGTTCGCCCTTGCGAGACTCAATCAAAATTGAAAGCTGGAGGATGTCAGCGCTGGACTTCGTTACTGTGGGTTTCCATCTCTCTTCTTAGGATGTCCGAATACTAGCCTACCTTTGGTGCAGTACACTCCGAGTCGGTCATGCACGGAGATATAACAGGGGTGAATTCAGCTCTGCTGAGGTAGCTTATTTCTGAGAACTAACGAACCTGCAGGCAAATATACTTATCGACAAGAGAGGCCATGCAAGGCTGATTGATTTCGGTCTTTCCACTATTATCCAACCCCTTGTTGGCCAGTCGCACTTAGCTATATCATCTGTGCGCCCGGGTGCAATCCGCTATGCAGCGCCAGAACTCGTTCTACCAGACAATGCCCGTGAGGTGCCTGTGCCGTTGGAAAAAGCTGATATCTACTCTTTTGGTTGTATAATGCTTCAAGTGAGTTGTTGGTTAGATCACAAGATATTCCGAGTCGTCTGAGGCTGACTGACCAGGTTCTCTCGGGTCGGCGACCTTGGTCTGAGATCACAGGGGATCCGTTCATCATCGTTTCAATGTCGCAGGGTCGTGGACCGCAACGCCCCGATGGTCACCCTATTATAATAGACTTGGATTGGGAGTTCATCCAAAAATGTCTGCAATTCGGACCTGAACTTCGACCTTCAGCGGAAGAAGTGCTTGACTTTGTCATGCACAGGTTTTACTCCCCAGGCAAGCCTGCATAGGTCGTGGTACTTCGCTGATCAACCACTTACGGGAGCTTCAAGGTTCTTCGAGACCAGCGGACGATCCTCCCGATGATGCGCAGGATGGCTTCCCTGGATCTTCCCCGGACGAAGGTTCTGAGGGCTCGGGCATGACAAACCAACCGCCCAACAGTCCACCACCCCTCCGACGCAGGATAAGCGATGTAATCACGGACATGCGTGGGCTGAACTTGTTTCCCTCAGGTAATCCTCCGCATCCACGACGCCTTCCTGATCAACAACTTACGCGATTTTGCGATTTTTAAGGTTCTTCTTCCCCGCGTGGTGGTGCCGATATATCTACCAGTCAAAAGGGTATTGATGGTCATCTCGACAATACCCCGTTGCGTACGCCTCGTGATATCAGTGTGTCTACTCGCGATGAAGAAGCGATTCATGCAATTCGAAGTATCATTCGCACCCAACTGGAAAACGCTCCACTTCGTCTAATCAACACCTCTAATGGACGTTTGTGCAATCGAGATGCGCAGATCGACGCATTCACGGAGAGTAAAGAGTACAAAGAGCTTTTGTCTTCATTAGTGACGCATGCGCCCCTCCAAATGGAGCTCATCAAAGAAGCAGTCATCAATTACTTCAGTTGGGTCATGTTGTCCCATAGGTGGGGATCCGATGAGCCGCTACTACATGACATTCAGGACAAGGTCATATACAATTTGGACCCTGTTGGAACCGTAGTGAAGTTGCAGAAGTTTTGCGAAGTTGCACGCGATGCAGGGCATCGTTGGGCGTGGAGCGATACATGCTGCATCGACCGGCACAATAATGTTGAGCTCTCACGATCAGTCAACTGTATGTTCGTGTGGTATTCCCACTCAGCACTCACCATCATCTACCTATCGGATGTTCCGCCTTCGTCCAAGTCGGGCGCACTAGCAAAGAGCACTTGGAACACGCGAGGATGGACTATTCCAGAACTTCTGGCCCCCAAAGTCATTCCCTTCTACCAAGCAGATTGGACCCTATATCTCGACAACCGCTCACGTAACCACAAGCAGTCTGACAGTATCATGGAGGAGTTGGAGCATTCAACTGGCATAAATGCACGGGCGCTCGTCGCCTTCCGCCCGGGGATGACAGACGCCCGAGAGAAACTTCAATGGGCATCGAGCCGTGTCACCACGTTTCAGGAAGACATTGCGTATTCGTTGTTTGGCATTTTCGGTGTTCGCCTACTTGTCGACTACGGAGAAGAAAAACAAAATGCACTCGGACGGCTCTTACAGAAGATCATAGCTCATTCGGGCGACATTTCTGCCCTTGACTGGGTCGGAAAATCATCAGAATTCAATAGCTGTCTGCCAGCCGACATTTCCTCATACAAGGTTCCGTCATGTACACTGCCATCCCTATCCGAAGACGATATGCAGAAGTCGGTCTCCAAGCTGCGAAATACTGTGGTTGTGGAGTTGGCTTTGAAACTGTATACCCTCTTGAGGATCTTAGCATTCCTCGTTTTGCCAACAGCAGACTGCAATTGCCTTGCATTGCATTTCCTCTCACAGAAGTCAGCCGGAGGCCTAGTCAAGACGGATCCAAATGTTTCACTTATGATGTCAAGGCAGACGGGCTACAAGACCTACTGGTCACAACGGAAGACGAGCTAGTTCAATTCTCGCCTGCAAGTCGTACTCTGCAGACATTCCTGCTCATCCGTCCATGGACTCGTTATCTTGAGCCACCTGACTTCACAGAACTTCCCGACATTGACGATGAGAGTAGCGCAGAAGATTATTGGTCTGAGCCTCCTGGAGGAGTTGATTCGGAATCAAACGAGCGGGTATTTCGATTGATCGTTCATCTTGGACAGCCCTTTAGTGCACTCTTGCTAGCGAGCCAGCGTGGCGGGGAGTACAAGAGAATCGCTTCGGATAACAATATCATCGCACAAGTCAGGGACATATCTTCTCCTGATAACATGATGGACGTCAGGACAGTAGATATATTGTAGCTGCGTTCTTGTCGAAGAACGGGATTCCTGATGCATCTTCATTCATACCTTGACAATATCTGCATGTAACAATTCCTTCAGGCATTTGTATCGTTTTGTATTCTGACTGAGTTGCTACAGCATGGTGCGCTTTCACTCGACGAAATTTGGTGTATGTGTAAGTACCCGTCTCCATCCTGACATCCTTCAAAGCCAGGAAAATGATCTTTATTGCGTCATTGTACGTCTTGGAGTGGGCTGTTCCAAATCAACGTCTTACTGGTACAATTACTTGTCTCCCCCAAGATATCCACAATTATGTCTCTGGGTGACCCTTGGTAAACAAGGTAACATTCATTTATGAGGCCAACTTGAGAATCTGACACTACAGGACCCACTATACAACGTAGCTGTAACATTCATACATTGTTACAAATCATCCAAGGAGCACGAACAAATTACTGACAGCAATCAGATGTTACAAGCGCCACTGGTCCAGTCATGCTTAATACCTATGTTCGTATTGTCAACTCTCAATCAGATTTACTCAAGAAAGAGCCAGCTAACCCAACGAGTTTCCCGAAGCTGGTAAGGCTGATTTGAGACAGGCGTTTCCATGTCTTGCAAATCTGAGGGCCGCGCGGCGCCCGAGGGGGCTTGTCTATCAAGAAGACACAATAAGACGATCATTGCAAGTGGAAAGACCAAATAGAAGGTGAACTTACGCCAATCACAGTACCGACTGGCGCTAACGGCCCATCTAGTACAACCTTCAGCTGCACAATGCTCAGCCATGGCGATCTGTATGATGTTGACTCGAATCAGAGAGATAACAAGATCTGTTTGCGTTACAACTTAAATTGCCTTCATGCAAGTGGATTGATCAGATTATTTATACGGCGGCGGAGTGGGGCACGCCACACCTCGACCGTGCCAAAATTCTAGTCGTGCGCCACACATGCCCTGGGACAAGGTATTCCCGTCGCTATAGGTTCTTATCTCGTGACTCGGAGTGAGCCCTGAGTACGGCTGGGAACATTGACCCACACTGACCAACGTATTTGCCATCATGCATTGATGCGCCGTGCATATCAATCACCGAGCCTTGATGCATCGATGGGCCATTTGTGGCCGAACCATTTTGGGAATTGCGCAAGCTCGAGTTACTTTCCTATTGGACACGAATCTCTGGCTGTAGCGATTATATATTGCTTCGACCCGCCCGCCGCCACATCCATTTTGATGCGTGATTGATATGGATATCATGGATGACTTCGACTTCGACCGCCCATATCCACGTATCACCTATTTCTCGATGGGATAGTGCTCGCAATTGCGCGATGCGGCGGCGATTTGAAGACATGTGTTCGTTGAACCTTTGATGTATTCTTTCAGCAAGGAGTCTTCCGAAGCTGGAGTCTTTCCTGGACACGTGTTGAAATGTTGCCTGTGATTTGCGTGGCATACATCGAAATGTTCAAAGTGATAATTGAATCTCTGGACGCTTAAGTCATGTGAAGATGATATCATGTCTCCAGCCGTACTGGAAAAATATTTTTGTAGGCAAAGACGTTGGGCGAAACTTTCCCGATGAGTTGCTGACAGCTCATTCTAATTCCCTCAAGTCCTCACCAATATGCTCCGCAAAAAAGTCTCGATTCGAAACCAGAAGAAATGAGGAGGGACTATGTTACTGCCCGTGTACTTATAAAGTGCCACTTCGCGATGAAGTCCGTTACAACACCGTGACATAGCGGGTAGGATTACAATGGATGACGGGGGATCGGGTGGAAGAACTAGTGCATGGGTTCGTTGTCCAATAAAACCTGAAGAGCATATTCGGATTGATACATCCGCAGAGCATCAGAACGCCATGTCTCCCACTCCCAAAATTCGTTTCCCAACAACTGAAAAAGTCCCTTCATATGTGGCTTGCACGTCTCGGGACGATCACCATTGTCAAGGATGAATGAAATTCGGTGATAGGCACGTCCATCACGAACACACAACGCCATATCTGACCGACCAAGGGAGTCGAATATCTTTGCGAGTTCCTCTTCATCCTGTGACAGCAGGTCGCTGCCTTCATCAAATGCGAGTGGCAATAGCATTATAGGCGCAGCAAATGCGAATGACTTCGCAACAACTTTTGACCACTCCCAATCGATGATGCCAAGGATATCAAGTTGGTCGTTGACGAGTATATGATCACCCTTGTCATCTTGATGGCGCAGACAAAAGATTTCACCGTTCATCGTTTCGGCTGGCAGGATGCGGGGATAGGCATCCAGCAGAGTGCGATATATGAGATAGGATGTTACAGGATCATTGACAGCCCACTGAGAGGATTCGATGAGGCGAAGATGACAATTAATTGTGTGATCTAGATGTTGACGAAGGCTGGTGAACGGGCCCAGCAGGTTAAGTCTCTGTAAATAATTTGGTTCAAATATCACGCGATCTGCGAAAGCACCAATAGACGTATGCGGCTGAATAATAGAACCGGTTTGTCGAAATGAATGATGATCGAGTGTGATGAAGATGTTGGCTAGTTGATGGAGTACCCGACGACGCTGGTCGGGACCCAAATCGTACCACTCAAGCGGGGAAGCTTGAAGCTTATCCATCAGGATGTAGTTGACGTCGATGCCGTTTGAATCGGCTGCTAGGCCATATCTGTGAATGGTAGGAGTTGGCACTCCAATGCGGTTAAGATACTCCAATGTCGCGAATTCACTGAGCAAAATGTGGTTTTGCACAGCTGGGGGAGGTGTGACTGCGGTTGTTCGTTGAATACGAGCGAGCCAGACGACACTATCGTCAAATACGATATCGAGATGAACGTTCATTCCCCCCATCATCTTCGAAAGCTTAGGGCGGTTGGCTGTGGCTGCGACGAGAGCTGGAATGGTGCACAGGATGTCATCGCGAAGAGATGATGCAATGTTCGCTAGTTGAATGGGACTGATGCACTGTTGAAGCGCCATGAGTTCAACAGTTTCTGTCTTTACGAAGGCTTTGCAAAACACATCCCAGTCCTAAGATTCATTGATTGAGCAGGAAAATAAAAGAGTGGCTTGGACTAACATCCTCGCTCTTGGGGCAATCGTGAAAAGGAGGACTTTGGTGTTTGGAGCAAAGGCGACGGTGACAGCAACCCATAGCAATACTGCATCTGACTGGCGCATTATGGCAGTCAAGAATATCGCAAGTGAGCATCTTTGAAACAAACTACTCCCCATAGTAACTTCAAGTTAAACTTTGGAACTTACACTGATCGGAGTTTCGATGAGCTTAAAACATAGAGCCGGGCTGCGGCGGCAGCTCGAAGTAGTAATACTTGAGGTGAAGACGATCATAATGTCACCAGGTAATAGCTTAGTTGCAAGAATGCCAGGCTTTACAGGTCTATCTACTGGGTCTTTTATAGCCTTTACGGTAAGGTAATACGTGAAATAAGTAAGGACGGGCAGCACGGGCGAACACGGGAGTCGAGATAGCAGTGAGTATCAAGGAAATAAAGATAAGTAATCAGATGTTCTAATGGAGGGTTTCCGTGGTGGCCGTGTAGACGCCACACGGTCACTTCAGTACGCAAGCTGGGCAGCCCCTTGGGCGAATGGATGCGCAGACGACTCATGAATTCACTGATGCATAGAGCAGATCTCGGTTATGCACAGAGGCCGAATGCTGATAGGCTCTTGGGTCTCGTAGCTTGACAAAGTCTTCGGCGGTATATTCCTGTCTATCTGACAGAACCAGTGCTCCACGCTACATTGAGTTTGCCCCTGTTGCTACCAGTCGCCCAGTCCAACCTCTGCGATTGGTCCTGCATAGATTCAATCACTCATCAATCGGAGAAGCTTCCTGGAAAACTGCCTACCCACCACTGCGGCTCCCTGCCCACGAACTTGGTAAGTTCATCAACCTGCTTCTGAGTGGGGCACCGACGATAATTGTCAGGTCGGTCGCTGAAGACCCATGCGCAACAAGATACACCGCGCGCAGAAAATTCTACCACGTGTTGGGCCTGCTCAAGAGCGCTATGGCCAGTCAGAGAGATAAAATGACATTTGAATAGGTACTGCATCGATGGAAAGTGCGTATGTATGTACCCCGCCTGCATCAACTGCAAGGGCACAAAATTCCTGCCTATCTGACAGAACCAGTGCTCTACGCTGCATGGGTTTGCTCCCTAATCGCCCAGTCCAATCTCTGCGATTGGTCCTCCACGGATTCAATCACTCATCATTCGAAGTAGCTTTCTGGCAAATGGCCTACCCACCACTGTGGCTCCCTACCCATGAACTTGGTAAGTTCATCAACCTGCTTCTGAGTGGGGCGCCAACGATAATTGTCAGGTTGGTCGTTGAAGATGTACAACACGCTAATGAATCCATCTTCTATGCAATCCGCTGGAACCGTCTGTCCAGGAGGTACAATTGCCGAACGCACACCCAATGAATCAATTCCGAAATATGTTGAGAAGCTGTATAGGGGGTCTACGTTGTTACCGGCCTCATCGGTGGGAAGGTCGGGGTGTGCCTTAGCGAAGAGGAAGATACCCTTCTCATAAAGCCACTTATAGGGTACGCAGTAGCCATACATCTGACAGGTGCGCTTCGGTGGTGGAAGGGTTATATTGATATGCTGCCGTTCGGACCGTTTGGTATGTCCAGAATCGCCCTGTCTATCTTTCTGGACTTCACCCAGCTAAGCAAGAGTCATTGAGATAAATGTCAAGAACTAACACCCAGACATACCTGTATGTTACGCACAGCTTCATCGAGGCTTTGAAATTCTTGAGACATCTGTTCGACTCCGGGCTTGAGTTATGTTGTTGTTGGTTAGTAGACTGGTGACCAGCCCCTCTATGAGGCAAAGCCAGTCTTTAGCTGGAATGCCAATTGTGACGCGACACCCTATTTTGGAACTCCGACCCACTCTAGATTTAGCGACAACCCCTTAGGCTAAGTAATCGCATCACGTGGTCCCTTCCTAGCTTCGCTTTCATCTTTCCTGCTATGCCATTTGGTGAAGTGGTATGTGGTGCGCCAGGAAGTGGTAAATCGACGTACTGCTTTGGCAAGCACCAACTATTTACTGCTTTGAATCGCCCGATTTCCATTGTAAACCTCGACCCAGCTAATGACAACATCCCTTATCCATGTGCAATTGACATTGCTTCTTTAATTACCCTCCAAGATGTCATGGACGAACACGGTCTTGGCCCCAATGGAGGCATGCTTTACTGCATGGAGTACCTAGACGCCAATTTTGATTGGCTTGAGGCACGGCTGAAAGAGCTGGGATCCGATGCATATGTGTTGTTCGACATACCTGGTCAGGTGGAGCTTAGCACAAACCATGAAGCATTAAAACACATAGTGCAACGATTGACAAAGATTGGGTTCAGGGTACGTTCTATGATGTTGTTTCTGCAGTCGGGATTCTCTGAACAACGCTAGTTAGCTGCCGTTCATCTCTGTGATGCGCACTATGTGACCGATGCCGCAAAATATGTTTCCGTACTTCTCCTGTCCCTCCGGACTATGCTACAGTTGGAACTGCCGCACGTCAATGTTTTGTCAAAGGTTGATCTGATAGTTCAATACGGAGACCTGGGTACGTGTTGGTGACTGTGCAACACATTGACATCACTCACCCTTCTCGTAGACTTCAATCTCGATTTTTACACGGAGGTTCAGGATCTTTCCTACCTGGAGAACGCACTGAATGCTTCATCGCCGCGGTACACTGCTCTTAATATGGCATTATGCTCTGTAATCGAAGACTACAGTCTTGTGGGATTCGAAACGCTAGCAGTTGAGGTATAGCGATCGGATTCCTTATGTGGTCCGAATATTCAATTACTCTTTTGCGCAGGATAAAGCCTCGATGCTCCACCTAACACGCGCTATCGATCGAGCTACAGGATACATTTTTGTGCCACCACACGACGCCCCGGCACCAGAAGGGACACTTGAAGCTTCGTCCGTTCCTGCATCGGCGAGGCCCAACACCTTTTCACTGTTCTCATCTGCTGCGGGCCCGATGACAGGTAGCATGGGGGATGTGCAAGAACGTTGGATCGATGCTCGCGAACAATGGGATGCATTTGAACGCAAAGAGTGGAGGCAGGAAGGGGAGATGATCAGGGAAGCGAGGGAAAGGGAGAAAGCAATGCAAGGTGAACGGAGGGGGACGAGTGGGATCAGGGAGCGGAAATAAACGTACACCGATTTTTGCAAGATCCATGAGTTTACCGCTGATCAGTTGATGTCAAGGCTTTGACTACACCTGGGTCAGGATAATACCTATCCAAGTGTCGTGCGCATTTCGCACAATACTTATTGTTATGTGGTCTAAAATGTTACACAATTCGGGATTCACCATGCGATATTGATGAAGACAAATATGTAAGCTTGATCAAAATGTAGCCCTCGCTTCTGACCGCAGACTTGAGACTCGAACAGCCGTCGATTGAGGACAAACTTAAGCTTGTGCATGTAGATCTTATTACATAACCAGACGTTGTTTGGCAAGACCTTTAGAAACAAACAAATGCACTCAAACCGAGAATTTCAGTGGGAAACCGTGCATCTGTCGCTGAGGGAGAAATGCATGCCTTAAGACACGACATACTTCCGCCTAGTGGTGTTGAGTTTGCAACGACACTCAAGCTCACGCCCTCAACTATCACTGGATCTTCCAGCCAAGAAAAGTTACCTCGTGTTCTTACCAACGTCGTTGTCTCAAGATCTAACCTCTTGCGCATTTTCGAAGTGTGGGAGCAACCCCCGCAAATCTCAACTTATATTGAAGATGAGCGAGAGCGGAGGGCTCATGTACGAAAGGGCACTGAGGCTGTGGAGGGCGAAGTAGAGATGGACGAGGGTGGAGAAGGGTGGGTTAATATGGGGTCTGTGAAGGTGAATTCCTAGCTTGGGTTTAGGGAGGGTAGCTTAGTTGCATTACAGGCTGCTGCAAAGAAAGATCCTTCCATGGTGTCACGCTTTCACTTTGTGCGAGAGCACACTCTGCATGGCACTGTCACTGGCATGGAGAGCGTGCGCATTATGTCAACATATGAGGACCAACTAGATCGTCTATTAGTGTCCTTCAAGGATGCCAAGGTATGATGGCATGTATTCTGCGTCTCATGGTGGCTCTTAATCGTGATTACAGATAGCTCTCCTTGAGTGGTCAGACGCTGCACACGATCTTGTCACCGTTTCGATACATACGTATGAGCGAGCGCCTCAGATGGTCAGTACTTGTATTCATCGATGCGCGTAGATGTAACTAGTTTGCAGGTTTCATTAGACAGTCCCCTTTTCAAAACAGAATTGCGTGCAGACCCCTTGTCACGATGTGCAGCACTATCGCTTCCAAAGGATGCATTCGCCATTCTTCCGTTCTTTCAGACCCAGGCGGAACTCGACACAATGGAGCAGGAACAAAACCATACAAGGTATGCATTCTTCTGAATTCCTCCAATTCCACATCGATACAAATTCGAACAACCAACAGAGACGTACCGTACTCTCCAAGTTTCGTGCTAGACCTCGTCAACGATGTCGATGAGCGCATTCGAAACGTCATAGACTTTGTTTTCCTTCCTGGATACAACAACCCGACAGTCGCTGTACTTTGCCAATCTGAGCAGACGTGGGCTGGGTACGTGACGTAGCTTGCTTTAGTTTTCACACAATAAAATGATCCCTATAGTCGTCTCAAGGAGTACCGTGACACGGCTCGCCTCTACATCTTTACCTTGGATCTCATGAGTCGCAATTACCCCATTATCACGGCTGTCGATGGTCTCCCTTACGACAGCGTGTCTCTCATCCCCTGCGCAACTTCACTTGGAGGTGTCATCGTCCTCACAAGTAATTCCATCATATATGTCGATCAAGCAGCGCGCCGCGTGGGCCTTCCTGTGAATGGCTGGGCCGCACGCGTCAGCGATATGCCAATGCCTCCAGCAGACAAAGACCTTGGCCTGTGTCTCGAAGGTAGTCGACTCGTGTTTGTCGATGAAAAGACTTTCTTTGTCATTCGAAAAGATGGCATGATACACCCCATTGAGATTATCCTAGATGGGAGGACTGTATCCAAATTAGTGCTACTACCCGTTATTGCTCAGACGACTATACCAGCTGTCGCCAAACTACTAAATGACGACCTGCTTTTTGTGGGAAGCATGGTTGGACCGTCGGTATTAATGAAGACGGCTAGAGAAGAGGTACCTCTCGAGCTTCCTGCTCAGCAAACTGGTGCTGCCACCACTATCGATTTTGCTGATAGTATGGATCTAGACGATGACGATGGTTGGTTGCATTACCATGCTGCTTGGAAACTTCACTGATGGGTCGCAGATCTATACGGTGATTCACAGACCGCCGCACAGGCGACTGTTGGAGCAACATCGGGAACCAGTGCTGCGACAAAGACTCGTTCCGTCATTCACCTTTCATTGTGCGACTCGTTACCTGCATATGGCCCAATCGCTGATATGACATTTTCTCTTGCTAAGAATGGAGTAAGTATATGACATTCGATAGGTTGAACTCTGCTCAATTCTTCTAGGAACGTTTTGTCCCGGAACTTGTTGCTGCCACAGGAGCAGGTCATCTAGGCGGATTCACCCTTTTCCAGGTGAGTTGATGTGATATTACAGACTGTCAATTCAACTCACAATCGAGCGCAGCGCGACCTTCCGACGCGCACAAAACGGAAACTACATGTACTTGGAGGGGCACGAGGAATCTGGTCTCTTTCCGTTCGCCAGTCCCAACGTGTTAATGGTCTCTCTTATGAGAAGGCTACAGGCCCATTTTCAGCTGAAATTGACACGATAATAATTAGCACAGACGCTAATCCTACGCCAGGTGTTTCGCGGGTAGATAATCTTTTTTTTGGTACGTTTTGTTCGCTAAGCCCTCGCAGATAGCAACCCGAACCACAAAGACCGATGTCTCTATTCCGACTCGCATACCCGGGACAACTATAAGCGCCGCCCCGTTCTTCCAGCGTACCACCATATTGCATGTCATGACGAATGCCATCCGTGTGCTGGAGCCCGGTACGATATTCCCGTAGACTTTTTGTGTTGGTGACTAATGAAATGGAATCAAGACGGTAATGAAAGACAAGTTATCAAAGATATGGACGGTAGTTTGCCTCGGGCAAAAATTAAATCATGCAGTATCTGTGATCCTTTTGTGCTTATCCTGCGAGAAGACGAGTCTATCGGTCTTTTCATTGGTGAAACGGAGCGAGGAAAGATTCGACGCAAAGATATGTCTCCAATGGGTGACAAGGTATTTCTGATTTCGTTTACTCTATTCCAAATTATTTATCGCTTCAATGTAGTCATCTCGTTATATTGCGGGCTGTTTCTTCACGGATACTATCGGCCTTTTCGACATAGAGGCGACCGAAACTACCCCTGCGGCAGCACACGCAGATAAGAATACATCTACACTGCAGGCGGCTGTAGCAGCTGGCAACAGAAGTCAGTGGCTCGTGCTCGTGCGACCGCAGGGCGTCATGGAGGTTAGCCTCACATTGACCGTTTGGGACGACGCTAGCTAATATCGAGTTCTGTAGATCTGGTCACTACCGAAGTTGACTCTTGTGTTCTCAACCACTGCTATCTCTACGTTGGAGAACATATTAGTAGACGTCCGGGCTCCTGCTGCTTTGTCTTTACCACAAGACCCCCCCAGAAAGCCTCAGGATCTTGACATCGATCAAATTCTTGTTGCACCCTTAGGCGAAACGTCTTTGGTTCCCCATCTTTTTGTAAGTAATTTAACAGTCCTGTGGTTTGTCTATTAAGATTCGTAACAGGTCTTCACGCGCTCGGGAAACATGGCCATTTATGAAGCCTTGCCGGCGCCTACTTCCACCGAACAAGCAGATCCTCTTCTACCTAACCCACGGACTGCGTTTTTGAAGGTCAAGTTCCACAAAGTTGTGTCCAAAACCTTTGAAATCCAGAGAGTTGAGGAGACGGAGAGAACTGTGCTTGCAGAGCATAAGAGAATCTCGCGGACATTTGTTCCATTTGTGACTTCCCCAAACATGGAGTGTACCCTTGCTGGCGTTTTCTTCACGGGTGATAGACCATGCTGGATCATAGCCACCGATAAGGGCGGATTAAGGGTGGTACCCTCAGGACATACTGTCGTTCACGCATTCACTGCGTGTTCTCTTTGGGAGTCCAAGGGAGATTTTCTCCTGTATTCTGACGAGGTTTGTGCGCTGTGTGCTGAAAGTCAAGATACTCACTCGTTCATGCGCTTAGGGTCCCACTCTCCTTGAATGGGCTCCAGAAGTCCAACTTGACAGTTGTCTACCGTACCGCAGTGTTCCTCGATCACGTGCATACTCTAACATTGTATTCGAACCATCGGCCTCGTTGATAGTGGCCGCTTCCTCATTACAAGCCCGCTTTGCTTCCTATGACGAAGACGGTAACATTATTTGGGAACCTGATGGTTTGTGTCTCGGTCTCATGCCCGAGGCATCTTTATCTGACAATCATTTAGGGAATGGCGTTTCCTTCCCTTGTGCCGACTGCTCGACGCTCGAGCTGATTTCGCCGGAACATTGGGTTACCATGGATGGGTGTGTTTGTTCTTGATCGCAACCGGCAGCGGTATTGATATATTTGCCAGTTACGAATTTGCGTCCAATGAAACTATCAACGCCCTGACTTGTGTTTCCCTTGAAACAACAAGCACGGAAAGTGGGACCAAGAATTTCATTGCTGTGGGAACAACAGTAAACCGAGGAGAAGATCTGGCTGTAAAGGGAGCGGTATGTTTTGCCGTTGCCATGCTCTTCGGCCAATTTATTCATGAAACCAGACATACATTTTCGAGGCTGTTGAGGTTGTTTCCGATCCTAATTGGACACCGAAAAGATGGTACAAATTGAAGTTGCGAGTAAAGGATGACACGAAAGGCCCCGTAACAGCTGTGTGCGGCATAAATGGTTATCTCGTGTCATCTATGGGCCAGAAGGTAAACGGAATGCTCTGTATGCAACGTTGCGTTGATCATCCTTACAGATTTTTATTCGCGCTCTTGATCTGGATGAACGCCTAGTTGGCGTTGCCTTCCTAGATGTTGGCGTCTACGTGACATCACTGCGCTCAATGAAGAATCTTCTCTTGATCGGAGATGCCGTAAAGAGTGTCTGGCTGGTGGCTTTCCAAGTGCGACGTTTGTGTCTATTCTATGTTTCTCTTATGAACACGCGTTTTGTAGGAAGATCCGTATAAACTCGTCACACTCGCCAAGGACGTGCGAAGGAGGCATGCCACAACTGTGGACTTCTTCTTTGCTGGGGGAGATTTGGCTATTGCTAGTGAAGACGAAGAGGGGGTCCTAAGGTTATTTGCATATGACCCTTCCGGTGAGTTACGGTCATGGCTTCATGAAACTGTGATCTGAGAATTCTGGTTTTTGATTGAAAGATCCCGAGTCTCGAGGAGGTCAGCATTTATTGTGCCACACAGAGTTCCACAGTCATAAAGAGTGCCGCTCAACCATTACGATTGCTCGGCGTACGAAAGACGAACAACTCATCCCTCAAGCAAAACTGATGTCTGGTAAGGCTCGTATCCTGTCTGCATCGATAATGTAGCTTATTCGATCGACAGGATTTACGGATGGATCCCTATCAGCCCTCACACCCGTAGATGAAGCTGTTTTTAAACGACTACAACTTATGCAAGGGCAATTGACACGAAATATGCAGCACACTGCTGGATTGAATCCAAAAGCCCATCGGTGAGTTGTTTATGTTTGCACTGGGCTCCTTATTGACAACTCTGTTAGAATCGTGCGAAATGACGCCGTGTCCAAGCCTTTATCCAAGAGTGTCCTTGATGGCCAACTCCTTAGCGAATTTCAAGTCTTGGGTATCAGTCGTCAGAATGAAATCACGCGACAGATTGGCACAGAGAGAGCTCTTGTTTTGCATGACTGGTCTTCTCTCGTTGTTCCATGGTAGTGAGAATTTCAGTATCTGTTATTCTGACCTGCAATATATCATGTACGAGCGCCAAGATACAAATGAAAAGTAAAGTGATTAAGTAGTTAGTTCCATCGGGGGGGGGGGGGTGACCGCTAGCTGTAACTATCCCATCGTCTGCTGATACTTTCTGAGCCTTCCGCTCAGCAACCTTGGTCTGAAGTGCCCCATGTCGTCTTGCAATTTAGCCTAAGGGGAACTTAGCTGGACCCAGAATTAGTGATGCGGGACGCACAATTTTAGCCTCTAGTTCTGCTTTGTAAAACCCCTTGTATATTCTTTGTAATGACGATGGTTTTTTGCTGTCTGATGAGTGGTGTCCCTGAGAATGATTTGATGGTGATAGTAAGTGGCATTCTTACCAAAAGCTGCATGCCTGAAGACTTCATTAGTTCGTGGCTTCTCCGATATCTCGTAATTGCTAGCATCCGTGTCGATAGTAGTTCAGATTCATCTGTACAAATGATCAATGCGAACAACATTCAACTGAGCAAACGAAGTTGTCGAACCTGCGGATTCGTCATCATCTAGCCGTGGAGGACCAGGCCGTTACTGAACCAATAACACTCCAAAGCTTCCATATTACTGTTCTGATACGCTATCATCGCCTGTGGGTTCATTCCTACTTGGGGCATACCGCCTTGATGCGGATCTGCAGGGTGTGGGAAGGCTTTTTGACCCGCCCTTTCGCGGCGCGCCCATGACATATATAGGAGGGTCCGTGTTCTGTCGTAGTGGGTAGTGCCTGACAGAATTGTTGAAGAGAGGTGGGACGATCTCTAGAGTGCGGGAGATGTATACGTAGATGTAGATGTAAAGGTGGATGTAGATTGGTGAAGTCACAGACATATCGGACAACGCGCGAAGGGTGGTGAGAAGGCAAAAATGATGATACTGTGGTGGTGGGATTTACGGATGGGAGGTAGTAGTGAATTAGGACTAGTTGGGGGTGGCCGCCTTTGTGAAGGCGGTAGCGTCGGCGCATGCGCCATGCTGCTGTGTCTTGGGAGTTGGGTATGAAGCCGAACTTGACTTCTGCAACTCCGAGTTCCTGTAGAAAGGTCTATGAAATAAATAAAAGGGTCGGTGCGCACCCGTGTACCGCATTGGACAGGGATACATAGTGTATCGACTTTCTTGGTCTTGCCATCGGATACCGTCGTTCAGGGGCTGAGAGGGATTTGGCATGAATAAGAGGTATGTTTGGCCTTCTGTATACGTTGTAGAATTAATTAAACGTTAGCTCGCGATTAAGGTCTTTAGCACCATTCACACCTTGTGGCTTGTCGATAAAAGTTCATGGGTAGGGTTGGTTTTGGGAGGTTTGGATGGCGCGGAATAGCATGTTTCCTGCGTCTTCTAGGGAGACATTTGGATGAAGACCGAGTCTTCCAGTGGGTATTCGGGTACAGGAGCCTCTTGTTGCATTTGCTGAAGTCGAGGTTTACTTAGGCCGTTTCTTGCCGAGGCGATCGAGGAAATTGAATTCTTGATCCCTGACGTGATTATACCATCTCCACACAACTAATTATAAGCTTCTTCGTTGGACTAGGGCTAGGACAAAGTGTGGAGACTCGAAGATGTGTGATGATGTGCTACACTATGAACAGCTCTGACTGTGTGCGTGTGTCGCTGACTAAGCTATGGAGATCGCCGAAAGCCTGACTGCCTCTTGTCTATGTGCCTTCCTCTAGTCTATGCCTTGGGACCCCTGGTCCATCGTACATACTTTGTTTCATTGCTCTGTATATGTGCAAAATATGTCCACTCACTCGCGCGGGTGACCCGTATCCGCAATGCTCTGACCAGGGTGGGTATGGTAGGCCTCTGAAAATTTTGGCACCCGCGGGTTGATCGACCCTTGTGCATAATAGCTTCACAGCTCGTCCGTCGGTCGACATCCAACACAAATTTCACTCCCACCACTTCAGTCGCTTCACTCCGCACTTCCTCCAGTCTTGTGAGAATCGACCTGCGCCTTGGACCAATATGTCAACACTCAAGTGAGCCACTGACTGCAATTGCAAAGAGTCTTGCCCTAGTACTAGTAGCCCAACAGAAATTTAGATTGGATGCAGACAGATGCAGAGGCCGAGCAGTTTGAAGTTCCTGCAACTAAATTTGCATCCAAGTCCTCTTCCTGTCATCTAGTCGTTATCCCCACCAACCAATCCTCGGAGATGATGATGATCCCATTGTTGTACCAGGACAATTTGGTATGTCTGCGACTCTGCCGCACTGCGTCCAGTATTCTCCTTACGTTTTTCGTGTTGCTTTCTACTTTGCTTGTCCAAGGAACTCATCCATTTCCTTATTTCTATTTGTTCTTCAATTTTCGTATGTTCTTCCACCGTTCCATACTTCATGCGTCACAAGTCATTGTACGTATTACTCTTACGGTACTAACTGGAAAATACAAATTGAAGTCGAAATTGGGTGTACATGTCGTGGAGGTATACAGTCTCAAAGTCTGGAATATCGAAGTCCTTCAAGTTGGCAACAGGTTCCGCGTCGTGGCCATGCCTGGGTGCTATGTACATGCGAAGAAGTCGTCAGAATGCTTTAATCAACGAGGTGGGAGGACGCACGGAACTGATCATATGCCAATATGCACGAACACTATGCGCTGGTCCAAGGGTATGTCCTCGTCACAAGTTGTGACGAGGACATACCCGCCAACGACTGGACCGCTTGGTGAAGCGCTCGGGCAGCTCGTTTCGAATTCATTGTCCCATCCCCGCAAAAGATTTTGTAGAATGCCTCGACTAAGCGCTGCACGGTACTATTGTCGACTTTCCATAATGTCCCAACAACGCTCTTCACCCCAGCAAATTGTAGGCCAGCGGCTAGGTGTACTACTTCATCAGGAGTACTCAAGTCACCGACTGCGGTTTCACAAGCAGAAAGAAATGCAAATTCATGCCGAGACAGATCCGTTTGTGTGATGTCGAGAAGTGAAAGCAGTTGGTCTCTCATGAGAAATGCTGAATTGAAGGGGTCCTCATATTTCTGTGTCCCGTGGCACGAAAAATGAAGCCAGGTATTATGTTGCAGCGCGTGCAGTGCCCTCGATTTCGTTGCATCAACGCTGGTTATCTTGGTGAAGGAGACAGTTGGGGGAGGGGGTAAAAGACTTCGCACTAATTCCAGTTCAGGTTCCACACAATCCAGAGTGAATGAAGCACCGGCTGGGCAATTCTGACCGATGGCAGCAAAGAACACTGACAGGGACCTGTCATGTCTGCGAGCCTTTATCAGCGCAGCAAGCGATGGCATGTATGAAGAGATATATAACTGCGACAGCAATCGTCCACCTCGCCTGTACGCGCCAGCAGCGTGCAACGGCAAGAAATTGAAGACAGACGTCGGGCACCACCATATTCTGGAACCTGGTCGTGCAAATTTGTCCAGATTTCCGACCACCAGGCCGACGACGTCGTCCCACAACTCCATCAAGGCTTTTCTCAGTGCTTCTCCGCTTTCCCGTTTGAGTTTGACCACCAATGCCTGGAGTTTCTCGAGATTGGTAGGGAGTTGAATGCTAGTTGGAGGTTGCTCGTGCGGGATAATGATGGCATGGCAAGATGACTCGCTTGCGATGAGTATGATGATAGGCCCATCACGAGCTGCATCTTGAAGATCGGAGAATAAGGGGGGAAGGAGGAAGCGAGAGAAGCCCTTGATCTTCCGGATCTCTTCTACAGCTCCATTCCATTCCTTCACTATACGTCTGTACCGGGTTTCTTCTACTTCTACATCGACTCCTGGGGTTGCTTCTCGATCGTTCGCAGGAGGTTTATCAAGGAGGGAGCTGAGGTCTCTGAATTTCTTCATCAGGGCCGCTGCGTGATCGCCGTGTGTCTGGAGACTATCAAGAGGCGTGCGGAGTCGCATCATCTGGGTCCAGATGATCGTCCTGCCTTGTTCCAACAACTCAACAGCATGACGCACGTCACCACTGCGAAGAGCACACGATGCAGCATCCACGGCAAGCGTATTTGGGAAGTCCTTCATGATATTGTGACGAGACGATACTGAAGCTGTCGTGGACATGTAAGCATCCAGAAGTTGCATGGAAGTTGCATGAGCCTCCAGTTCAGTATCATGTGAATGTCGACGAGCATGGCGAACCCAGCTCAGACTTGCTTGCAGGCGAGATAGAGAGCCTCCAGAGACAACATTTGCTGCTGCCTTGAGATGATGGATGAAGGCATTCAGACTGCCATTAGCTTCGCCCGCACCGTCAGGCCCTGGGTGATAGGTTGATAGATAGTAGACCTTAGCTAGCGCCGTATGGGCTACTAATTGATGAGGATCATGTGGCGTCAACAGAGTCAACGCACAGTGCAGGGTCTCTCATGAGTCGTCGAGGTCTTCTTTATCGCCATGGTGCTCAAAGCAAGAGGAGAGTCGATTCCCAAGGTTACATAATAAATTGGACCGATCTGGGCGACCGACCGGGTGCAAAGCCAGCGTTTCCCTCTGAAGTGCGATAGCTTGATCCAAGTCTTTGACATTGCCTCGGTGCTCAAAGCGGGAGGAGAAATGATTCCCAAGGTTATTTAATAACGAGGACCGATCTGTGTGACCGACCGGGCGCAAAGCCAGCGCTTCCCTCTGAAGTGCGATAGCCTGATCCAAGTCTTCATCATCGCCTCGGTGCTCAAAGCGGGTGGAGAGTTCACTCGCAAGGTTATTTAATGAGTCGGACCGATTTGTGTGACCGACCGGGCGCAAAGCCAGCACTTCCCTCTGAAGTGCGATAGCCTGATCCAAGTCTTCGTCATTGCCTCGGTGCTCAAAGTGGGAGGAGAGTCCATACGCAAGGTTATTTAATGACTTGGACCGATCTGTGTGACTGACCGGGTGCAAAGCCAGCACTTCCCTCTGAAGTGCGAGAGCCAGATCCAAGTCTTCGTCATTGCCTCGGTGCTCAAAGCGGGAGGAGAGTTGAGTGGCAAGGTTATTTAATGACTTATACCGATCTGTGTGACCGACCGGTGTAGAGACTCGATCCTGAGTAGCCTCACAATGGCATATATTGCACTGTAGGTCGAGTCTACAATACTATGCATGCAACGCGACACTAGCGCGATAAACGCGACGTTCGCGCGACGCGCGCGACTTAGGCGACACTTCCGCGACATAGGCGACACTTCCGCGACTTGCGCGCGCTTTAGGCGAATTTTCCCGCGCCTAAGCGCTATAGGGCGCCTGACTTCCCACTGTGTTTTCCCATGTCCAACCAAGTTCCCAGGTATGCATTTCTCCATTTATCATTTATTTCAACATCGTACCATGTTTATTTTCACTTGGTACACATTTTTCATTACACATTTTTTACTTAACACAACACACATTACCACGGACCACCATCATCATAGACAGTCACCATCTCCGAGTTTTTATTATGTTTTGAATAAATCATCGCAAGCCCTAGTAGCAGTTAGCTCTAGTGGCCATATCCGCATCAGTTGTCTTATCAGCATCTCAGTACACGTCTTAACATCTCACTATCGCTTGCATACCGCTTTCACCCAGTTCCGCTTTTCGACGCGCGCCTATAGCGCCTTTGTTCCCACGCTTTCGCCTTATCACGCGCTTTGCGCATTCCCCCTAGAGTTGACCAGTGGATATTTGCTTTCTCCGCTTCCCCTAAGGGACGAACATATCGCACTCATATTTTCCTCCCTTCAACAATTATATCAGCTGCACCCTCAGCTGAGTTGAAGATCCTTCACCGGGCACAAAACCAGTGTTTCCCTCTGAAGTGCGATAGCCTGATCCAAGTCTTCGTCATTGCCTCGGTGCTTAAAGCGGAAGAAGAGTCCATCCGCAAGGTTATTTAATGAGTCGGACCAATCTGTGTGACCGACCGGGTGCAAAGCCAGCATTTCCCTCTGAAGTGCAATAGCCTGATCCAAGTCTTCGTCATTGCCTCGGTGCTCAAAGCGGGAGGAGAGTCCATACGCAAGATTATTTAATGACTTGGACCGATCTGTGTGACCGACCGGGTGCAAAACCAGCGCTTCCCTCTGAAGTGCGATAGCCTGATCTAAGTCTTCGTCATTGCCTTGACGTTCAAAGCGAAAGATCAGCATGAAACTCAAATTACCCAGTAATTGCCCTTGGCAATCATGCCCAGTGTTGTACCATCCCAGTGCATCATAATGAAGGGATATCACTTCATCTGATGCGCGGGGTTCGTCTCTCTGCGAATACCACACTGCTAGATAAGCAAGTTGATTCGGCAACAATGGAAGCATGGATGCAGCGGGCCGCTCCTGCCCAAGATCATTTGCATCAATGCTTCCAGCAGAATGCAGAGTGTATGTTTCGATTGCAATCAAAGCTGCTTTGTAAATGTGGCTGTCGGCATGGCAGGCATCGAGGACTTCGCTCAGTAACTCCTGAGCTGCATCGGCATCCGTTTGAAATCCTCATTTCGCGAAGCGAGAGAGGAGAGCAATGGCAAGATGAAACTGGGTGACGGTTCGGTCCGGGTGATCAGTGGGACGCAAATCAAGGGCGTCTTGAAACAGATTGATAGGGATGTTGAGGTCGAGGTGTCTTCTGGTAACTTGAACTTGGCAACTAACAAACTTTGCGGTGGCTAGATTGAACAGTGCTGTAGGGCGGTAAGGATGGTCTATAAGGCAGAGATTCGAGGCGCGTTCAAAGTGGTTTATGGATTTGTCGAGATCCCTACTGTTCTGCGTCCTGCAGTATCGCGTGAGAAGACAATGTCCAGCATTTGTCTCTACTACTAACGCATCCATATCACCGGATGTAGGCTACGCATTACAAGCCCTCAGCATCAGAATATTAGACTGCATTGATCACTCACTGTAGTAAGGGGGCAAAGAAATGCGGTGTCATTGTCATCAGAAAGTCACCGCTCCAGTGTCATGAACAGTGAAGTACACGGGGATACGACTTCCCCTTGCTTGGGCTGAAAGATCATAGCTATGAAACTCGTTAACGTCCGGTCAGATGTTATTTAAAGATGACGCTGCTAATGATGTAAATTTTCGCTGCGATCCAGTAATTCTCGGACGGAGATCTCGAATGTGCAGAGGACTTCTCCACCGAGCATGGGATCTAATTCAAATGAGGCATACACGCTGACCCGAACTTTAGATGATGGCCACGGCCTAGAGTCCTTCTCAATATGTGCATGAAAGATATTAAGTACAACATACAGAAGTATGGGCTCGTTCCATTCGACGACAGCCTGATCTACGTGTACGGGTTTGTTACTTGTCTGGAATTCAGCACCGTCGGTCTTTACTACCACATGGAAACCAGCGAGGATCTGTCGGAAACCAAGAGTGAGATCAGTTGCGCGAATGGCTTGAGGGAAATCGTCAATACAAGCTGAGTGGAGATGAATATCACAGACCAGTAATAACGACTTGTTGCACTCCCATGATGCATGTCTCTCCTGGGCACTGGGGTTGTTCTGGGTGGCTTGGCTCCTCATCCAAGGTTTGGAGGCTATCATCGAGTGGGTCTGGCACAGAGTCTGTCGCAAAACGAGACAGCAGAATAATGACGAAATGAAGTATCGCCAGAATTATGTTGGGAAATCATCAGTACGTGCCGAATGAAGACAGATGACACATACTAATGACAGGGACTCGTGGCATTTCACTGATCATGAGGTTTGTCTGTCCTGGGTCCTGGGGGCGTTCTAGGTGGCTCGGCTCCTCTCCCAAAGGTGAAGAATATTCACCGGAATGACCAGGAATGAAGCCTGACATATAGCTGAGGATGGATTCAAACTAACACTTGAGAGTTAGATGTGGGCTGGAAAACTGCAGTACCTGTGAGGTCCTGATGGACTATAAAGGAAGAAACCACAGCATGCATGTGGCATCCACACCACACAGCGATATAAAGTGCTGATGCCAACAGGACAGAAGCGACTCCCAGCCTGAGGATATCGAGCCACCCATGGCTTCATTTACGGTAGGGCCATTGTGTGGGCGATATTAATTGATTGAAGCAGCCGACATGAGGAGGTGGCACTGTGGCAGGGCCACCTTTACATCATTCAACTTTGCAAATTTGTCAAAGTCTTGTCTGCCGTCAGACCGTACATGTCAGCGTCGCGAGAAGACACAATACTTCCATATAAAATTTTAAGTATGTGATACTTGTCAATAAATATTGCTGGGGGCATTGTGCAAGGATCATGTCAAGTGACGAGTGAGGTTCTTTGAAGTTACTTTACCAATTTCATAAATTTGCTTCCGTAATCAGCCAATGAAAACCGTTTATCGTTCATCCTGTGCTAATCACCAGCGGATGCACTGCCAATAGGCCCACGGAGACCGACCAACTTGCTCGCCTTGAATCTTGCAGTGAAGCTTAGGATAGCCTCGCTCTTAAGCTGTATGTACGTTCACTGCATTGATACTATGCACCCGTTGACAACTAATCAGAGCCCTTGTATTCTCTAAATCTACAACTCCGACCAAGTAGTATCTCTGTGATATGTATGCGCTGATACTTAGTGCAATCCTCCGAGATATCGGGTCAGCAAGCCCTGCAACTTAAATGGTATCCGTAGCCGCCTCAGGCCTCCGAGTCAGTATTGATATATTGTTGATCATCATGGATGCTGTTCAAAGTGGGCATTCCCGCTTCGATCCGATCACTCTGGACCAAGGTAAATGCCCTTTCTGTCGCCGCACGATGTATCCGTTCATCCAAAGAGGTTTAGCCTCCCTACAAAGTAACAAGATCCTTCCAAGGTAGCTTCGCGTTTCAAGTGACAATAATGCATCAAACTTTGAGCTTCAGAAAATTTATTAGGTGCGTTCTGCGTCTATTATACCGGCCAAAGACTTAAGATACAACATATGTGCCTCAGAATAGAGCATGGCTACTATTGCCTCAGGTACAGAGGTGCAACCATATCTTTTATGAAGTCGCTCTCCTGCCGCTGCATCCAGTGAACCATGAAACGCTCCATCACGGCTATCAAGCTAAGCCTGCAACTCGAATGATATCCCAATATTAACACCATGGGTTCCGAACCCTGACGTGTGCATGAAACGGATTTTTTTAAACCTTTGTTTGCATCTATCTTGGCGCTATTATATCTTGCACCTTCTTCACCTTTTGGTATGTATTGGTACTGCACAGCGTGCATCAAGCCACCTAATCGTTACATAACCATACATAGTATACTTATAGACTCGTGACCAGTCTGACGTACAGTGGGAAATCTTGACGTAGCCAGACTGGTCGATCTCGGAGAAATTTGGCAGGCGAAGCACGGAGTTTGAAAATGGCAGGTGCCGTTTGTGCCGACGACATATCATATCATGAGTTTAAACATTGATTCTGTATTGTCCATGTCCATATCTGCTTTGAATGCTCTCGACAACCTTCCAACAGACTTTACAAACACGCTTTCAACCAGTTCCAGCAAGTACTCGAAGCCTTCGCAAACCTTAATTTCGTCTCGAAAGGCGCCAAACATCCGAAGTTTCTTCAACTCAAGGCTCTCGTATCTTCACTGGCAGAAAGAAATGTGATCCTCAGAGCTGCAACGGGCTCTGGAAAGACACTCTGCATGATTTTACCATTACCTCTCTCCTCCAACAAGATGGCTATCAATAATCACAGTTAACTCTCATCGCGTGAAATTTGCACTTCTGGATTACAGGTCAAGGAGTTTGAGGAGTATGGGATTCGTTCGATCACAATTCGTTTTGTCAACCACATTGGTTTTTTCTTCATCGACGAAGCGCACTTCATTTCCACTGCTGGAGAAGCTCAACCAGGCAAGAAGGTTCCGTTCCATGCAGCCATGCTAGGCTTGTCTGAGATGGTGTACAGCAGGAGGTCCATGGCTGTCATCCGCATGCCATTGAGTATTTTCAGCAAAGAGAGACTTTTTCTTCTGTGTCGAGGCCGCGAGGGTCCACTGTACATGCTAAAGATTCAGACGGCGGAGCATACTGCAGTGGTGGTGGATAATATGGAGCAAATGGTATCATTTGCAGGATCCTATTTCAATTTTAGTGCTACAGCACAAAATGAGAAAGTGCGGTACTCTATGCTGTGCGTGAACGAAAGTTTCTGTGTGATTGATAGTCATCTGTAATTAGTCTATGTGGCACTATTACTTCGACCGGTACAACCGGCACTTGTACATTTTCAAACTCTGTGCTTCGCCTGCCAAATCTCTCCGAGATCGATCAGCCTGGCTACGCCACTCGACTTGTCCGTGGTTATATAAGCTAGGCTGGTATCGAGCCTAGTATACTTAACGCTTCGTCCCGTTGTCGTCCATACCTCAGCGTTTTCTCATCACTCGCTCATATTTTTCCGGTGCACAACCTCTAGATGGAGTATTCGTCTGACGATATCGCAGCAGCGACTAGCTTGCAGTTCACTTCGGTGCGTCTCCTTGTCGATATGAGGGCGAATGATACTTGACAACTTCTATCAGTACATATACGGTACGTAGTACTGTCTGAACCCCTTGTCCTTTGCCCTAACACAATTCAGCGTCGATGGCTACATTCTGGGTAAGCTTACTATCCTGATCTATTTACGTCCGCTGTTAAACTCGCTTATCTAGATCTATGATTATGCATGTTCACTCCATGAAGAGGTAGTACACATGTTCTGTGATGCATCTCGGTTTTAACTTTTGATATCCACAATACGCTGTTCAAAGTGGATATTTTTGCTTCGATCGCGTTGGTGCAAGGTAAAAGGCCTGTATATTGTTACACGATACCTCCCCTTTATCCTTCTCACCACCAGTCTATATCGTACGTCCCGCTCCAGCACACACCGCCCCAATGATGAATTAACACTTGTTCTTCAGTGACCTTTACCCCAAATGGGAACCCAGGTGTATGTGATACTGTGGATGGTTAACGAGAACAAACGACTTACTGCATGACTTCGCTAGAAATGCCGAGTGTTTTGCAATATTGACTCAGGTACGTGCATGGTACATTCATGTATGCACGTCCTTGCTGAGGGCTGCTACTTTCCTCTCACAGGTCTTGGTATGGTATCAGTCATTTTCTCCGAATGTATCTCTCGTTCCCTCGTACTATATGTGTGTTTCTGATCTGATTCATCCAGGTTTTTTTATTCTCAGAACATATGCGCTCTGGAACAATAATAGAGTCTTGCTCGCAGCCACGGCGTCCACCTTGTTCGTGAGTTCCCAATCCACTCACCATATCCAAGCTAGTGGCAGATGCATCAGCCAGGCTATTGTCGTAGCATCCTTCAGCATTGTCTTTGCCAGTACCGTCCCCGCAGCATGTACTTGCTCTCACCTTCTCTCTGGCGTTCCACGACCACTGAAAAATTCTGTTCACTTTCACAGATTCGACTAGCGTGATCCCGGGCATCACAGGGTGCTACCAGAGTTCGACCAATTTCACGTTCCTCATACCATTTCTTCTCATTTCCGCGTACCAACTGGGTGGGTAACCAGGAACATATATATACATGTATGTTAGACGCGCTGACTGATGTTCTCCCCAGGACTCATGATGCTCACGCTCATACGCGCCATACAGAACTGGCGGATAACCCGAAGTCGTCTGTACGTCGTCCTGCTGAACCATGACATTTCCTATTATGCATGCGGTCTTCGTGAGTTAACACTCGTACGCACCGTTGCCGTACTTATCCACGATCATTGTCTTTCTTGCAGTGTTCTCGGTAACGAATATCTTCACACGGCCGCTCCTCCAGGTGCGTGAATGTCCTAAATGCCTTTTATGATCGAGTCGTTGATGTTCTGCGCCCCAGTACTCCTACCAATCCATGTTGCATAAGTATGCACCTCTACATCCTGCTGTGTATTCCTACTAACAATAACCAACTTACATCCACGTACAGTTTCCAGTTCATGATCCTCGCAATACTCGCCACGCGCATGCACCTTCATCTCTGGCAGGTGAACCGACATCCACACCGCTCTGGCGCCCTTGTGCGTATTCCAATATCCGATATGTCATCTGTAAATTCCACAGCGTGATATCTTATCCTGTGGTGTCGTTCGTGGAGCGAGGCTTGGACTGTACGAGATGACTGATGGGAGTGGGTTTAGTAGAGAGAGAATTTCTTTATTGGAAAAAGCCGTGAAAAAGAGACAGAACGCAACAACACAGTGCATGACGTGGTGGACTACATGCCGGCAGTTATTCGTGCTTATATATGTTGTAGACTTATATATATTGTAGATAGACAGATAACGGTAATCCTCTCTTGGTCATGCTATGCCGAGCTCTCGTGCCAAGATCTGGAGACCCTGTATCATAGCATTTGTCAAAAGGTATATCGACCAGCGGAGAAAGGTAGCTTACTAGGTGTTTACTGAAAAAACGTGCGGCTCCAAACGGACCCACAGCGAACCAAAGTCCCGGATGTCCAGAGGGTCGGTATATCTGATTAAGTTCTCCCTCCGAGTCAAGGCCCCACACCACAGGCGGAATAAGTCGATCGGTAACCTCATCGCCAAGAAGAGCTCTCGTGGTCTTCATGATGGGTTCGTTTCCTGTACTGCAACATGCGTGAGAAAGATCGATGAGCTACCATTCAGACCATACGCTAGGACGACGACATCTGCTGAAAGTTTAGAGCCGTCTTTAAACGTGATCCCGTCTTTGTTGAAGTGACTGATGTCTTGGCCTTGCTTTACCTAAGCGCATATCGCAACCGTCAGCTACAGCCCTCTGATAATATATACAAGTCATACCTTAACTCTGCCTTCGATAATTAGCTTACCACAGCCAATGTCAAGCACTGTATGATGCTTGAGTATCACCCGTCTCAGGAACAAATCCGAACGCACTAGATCCTGATCCCAAGCGGCCAAACAAAAATCCTTCCAGTCCAACCTCGCCACTACCGGGCGAAAGTTCCCAAGTTAAGTTGAATCCGGCCTTGCGCAAACCGTCATGGAGTTCCTTGTCCAACATCTTCACGTGTTGGATCCCACCTGATTTTGTCAGTTGCAGGGAGAAGGCTAGAGGCATTGAATTGCTGCGGAAATCCAGTTCCTCGATAGGAGTGTTGATGGGGGTAAAGCTGCCTAAAGCGGGTCTTCTCCATGGCAGCACAGGATGTAACGCATGTGGCGCTTCTTTGGACCAACGTTACCTTTTTTTCTTATAAAACTCTGGCTTCAGTGTGTTTCAATCCATACACGCACCTCAGCGGCACCATGTGCTACAAAATCTTGACATATATCCCCACTAGCATTGCCCTGATGGTCTCGTAAGTACGCGTGTAAGTGTGAGGTGCACAGATATGACTTACCGCACCCACGACGACGACACGTTTGCCTCGGAACTGCTCTGCATCTTTATGATAGTCGGAATGATACAAGGCTCCTTGGAATCCATCCATCCCATTCCAGGTAGGAATGTGAGGGCTCCCACTTCCTGTGGCAAGGACCAGATGCTTTGGATTGAGGATTGCTTTCTGATCTCCATGCTGTACTTCTACCGTCCATCTTGCGGATAATGAGTCGTATATTGGAGCTGAGGTTATGGTACTGGAGAGCCAGATACACAATTCCTGATTAACAGCGTATGTCTCCAGGAAATTGGCAAGTTTCCCCTTAGGAATGTACTTCGGGAAGTTTGTCCTAACATTATTGAGATATGCAATACCTTTGAACTGTAGAAGGCACATACGGATAGGGACTGTAGAGGACTGTATTCATTAGTACCAAGCATGTGAAAATATAATAAGACATACTGGAGCTTTGGTACGCAGGAGTATGCAGCGTGAGGGTTGGGTACCTGTTTTTCGCATTATTTAATAATGAAAATATACTATTGTTTGCACATACCGTTGTCGCCAGCAGTCTCCGATACGCGCATTTTTCTCGATTATGAGTGCACGGATCCCCAACCTACGCAGCCGCGCTGCAAACATAAGGCCAGATTGTCCACCACCAACTTTGATGACTCATCAAGACACCACGATTCATAAAAGAAACGGCACACCGATCAGAACAGTGGGGTCCGCCTCGATAGCACGGAATTTTGCGTCGACATCCCCCTCCCAAGTTATTGTTCGATCCTCGTATAGGCCGTGTTGGTCTGCGAAAGACTCCTCGTACCCGACGAGGTCCTCCATGTTTGTGAAAAGAGTTAAAGCCTTCCACTTCCCATTGGTATCTTGTGTCAGACGGAAGAAACCTCGTCCGAGTGCAGCTGGGTTCGTAATGCTAAAGGTGAAAGCGCCTTGTACTCCTTCAATGCCTTGTGAACCTGGTAATTTGAATGGTGAAGGCGCATTGATAGTGTGGTCGTCTATCTTGAAGTCACGAAGACTAGAGTGCTCAAGTCGTGACTTTCCATCAACAACCTCCGAGAGAAATCCGCGTATTTTTCCCAGACCTGATAGTGTTCTATGATCCCAAGAAAAACATAGAAGGTCTGAGAGTATTTGTTAGTGCGCCTCACTTGCTTGGACAAGCACTGACCTCTGAACCACCCGTCGGAAACGAAATGGCTGACAAATGACTTAGCGTCTCCAGTGGACGATGCGATCTCTAAGCTTTTGAGCCAGTCAGCGGAGATTGCGTGAAGGTCCTCTGTAGCCATGCTTGTACACCGGTAGATAACGAACGTTGAGTATAGCCTACGTCCCAGGTGTACCGGATGGAGTCCTTAAAACACTGAATGAAGAAGAGAATTCTCCAGCTTACACCGGTGACTCGCGCACGATACGTGACGCCACGACATGAACCCTCAATCAGCTATTAGTGGTTCCGCTATCCACTTCACTTGTGTTTTCCCACAGCATCAATGACTTGGCCAGCCTCAGCATGACGGTGCCCAAACGGACAGACACTGTTAGGTCACTAGTGCATTTAGCCATTGGCTGATCTTGAAGATGAACTTGCTTAAGAGTAACAAACCACCGTGTGCTGGCAATCAAATTCAAATCCGGCGTATTCCAAATTCTCCAATAGTCAAATCAAAAGCAAACAAAAACAAACTTTCATTTTTTTTGAATGTTCTCTTCCCCAGGCTCCGTTTTCCGGTACCTTGGTAAGAGGGTTCTTTCGACAGGAGTAAGGAGCCCTGACTCCTGTCAAAAGAACCTGGACATGTCTCCTCCTTTTGACTTCACTTGTCTCACCGTTCCTTTGACTCAGGCTCTTGTCGGTGTAGTAAAGACGCCTTCCCTCGAGTGTTGGATGAGGCCTTTGTACTGTTCACAATATATGCGATTACACTGATTATTATGACGCACTTTATTACCCCACTATCATCCCGCAATTTTTGCACTGGTGAGTCTCATCATCGCTTCTGCTTCTCGTGTCTTATCATCGCATGTCTACATTATCGCTCCTGCTTCTTTTGTTCACGAGTTGTGCTTCATTTGATGGGTTTGTCTGAATTAACGATGGTTGAATGCAGCCAGAAGGCCGGTAGGTAAAAAAGTTCCAGCCGGGTCGGGGATTGGCCGCTGCTAACGATTTAGATCTTCGACGTTAGATCACTGACAACGCCCGTGTGATGGGTTTTTCTCGGTGTATCACAGTGCATCATTCGGAATGGCAAAAACGGTCACAAAACTCTTGGGTCTGGCAAGGCACAGTCGATGGATTGCCTTGAGGATAGTATATAATAAATAGCAAGAGGAAGCAAAGATCTTCAAGCACGATGTCAGACACGACATCCTCAGCTCCTGAGCCCAAGTCTGAGAAAGGTTATGGCATTCAAATCGTGTTTGTATTATATTTGCATATCTACCTCCCGCGCTGTATATCGCTGACCTAACAACGAACAGATACCATACATTATCGGGTCGCGTCGATGAGAAACAGACGACCTCCAAATCCCCGCCAGACCCAGCGGACGCAGTTGGAAACATAGATGCCCATCTACTGAGTATCGACGAAGTGTATTCCCGGTATTCCACCCATCCCACAGTCGGTTTGGAGCTTGCCGCTGTCTGTCGCAGGGAGCGTGATGGCAAGAATATCATTAGCCCTCCACCTACCGTCTACTGGAAGAAAACCTTTAATTATATTTTCGGTGGTTTCAATTTTCTCATGTGGATCTCGTTCATCTTGACTATCGTGAGTGCCGTTGTTCACCTGCCATTGCGACTTTTCTAATATACACGTTAGCTCTCCTATGAACCACTCGGCCCTCCTGTACCTTTCACTCTTGGTATTGCTGTGCTGATGGTTCGTGACTTTCAACTCTGATGCTCACTTTTCCCCTTCTCATCAACTACAGATCATCGTTATCGTCATTTCTGCTGCATTCTATGCTTTGGTCGATTGGAACGCGAACAGAATCATGAAGTCGATTAAATCTCTAATTGCACATGAGACTGCGGTCATTAGGGATGGAAACCAGCAAATAATCAAGGCTACTGACATTGTAGTTGGTGATGTTGCCGTGCTCAACGCTGGCGACCGTGTCCCAGCCGACATGCGTGTCGTGCAGGCATCGTCCGACCTTCGCTTTGATCGCTCTCTCCTGACGGGTGAAAGGTCTGTTCCTTGTCTTATGTGCTCGAATCTGGCTGAAGTTTAAATGCAGCGAAATGGTACCGGGAGCTCTTGATGCAACATCCGACAATGCTCTGGAGACTCGTAACCTCGCACTGACTTCCACTTTTGTCGTACAAGGTACTTGCCATGGAGTCGTGTTTGCCACAGGAGATAGGACTGTCATGGGACGCCTTGTCAAGATGTCGGGAGAAACAAAGTTCAAGCTTACCACTATCCAACGAGAAATGTGGTTTTTTCACCAAGATCGTTTCATGGATCGCACTCTTTTTCTTCTGCTTGTCGCTTCTTCTATATGGCGTTTGGTTACGGACATCGTATCCTGGGTATGACACCCCGTCTTCTGCCATCGTGAATTCAATTGGCTGCTTGACTGCTTTCGTTCCCCAAGTAGGTGGCCAGCAGTGAAAGTTCGTATTCCCTTCTTAGTTGACAATTTGCAGGGCCTCCCGATTTGCGTGGCACTCTCGTTAACCGTTATTGCCCGTCGCATGGCTAAACGTCAGGTGCTGGTCAAAAATCTGGCGACCATCGAGACATTAGGATGCATGTCTGTGCTATGTTCTGACAAGACGGGCACGTTGACTGCGGGAAAGATGGTAAGATGAACGATACATCTGCTCTTGTTACCAGCTTGCTGATGGACCTGTAGATGGTAGAGAATATTGCCTTCCTCGATGACGTATTTGGTGTCGAGGAAATTAACGAGAGGGTTACGAAGGCATCAGACCCTGCCGTATTTTTCTGCGTTCAAGGCGCTCCATCAGATCGCGAGGATTTGCAACGGCGCGCAATTCGACGCAACGACTAACCACCTTCCTGTGCAGGATCGTACAATCAAGGGCGATCCGACTGATACTGCTCTTTTACGTTTCTCCGAGGTCCTTTCAATACCGGAGCTTGGTGTGAATGCCAGTACTCTTCAGCAAGACTATCACAAGAAGTTTGAGATCCCTTTCAATGCCAACAACAAATGGATGCTTTCCGTGGTCTCCAGGGTCAGCACTGCTGAAAAGAACGTAGAATCGACATGGATGTTCGTCAAGGGAGCTCCTGATGTTTTGTTCCCTTCTTGTGGCAGTGTGCTACAGAGTGATGGGACGGTCGTCAAGTTAACAAGTAAGGCGAGGCAGACGTTCGCCATGATTCAAGAGGATTGGTCAAGCCGAGGCCAACGAGTACTCGTGCTGTGGGTATGAGCACTTTTAACTTAGCACCATAACATCTGATATCGGTGCCGAGGTAATAGATGTAGGAAATCCATAGAAGAAATCAACACTGGACTTCCACCGAACGACGTGGAAGATCTCATGTACATGGAGATGTGCGATTTGACTTTGGTTGGTCTAATTGGAATTTGCGATCCTCCTCGCCCGGATGTATCGGCGTCGATTTCTCTCATTCGACAAGCTGGAGTTCGAGTCTTTATGGTCACTGGTGATTTTAAGCTCACTGCTCTGGCCATTGCACGCCAGGTAGTTTTTCTTTCTTTTCCGCTGCCATAAAATCCCTATTAACCCCCCTTTCAGGTCGGTATCATTACCCAGCATGTTGTCGACACCATCCAGGATGTCCGAGCTGCTGCATCTGAGAAGACTTCGCCGAAAGATTATTATCTTTACAAGCCATCTGATAATGATCCTATCCGCTCCCTGGTACTTACAGGGGAAGACGTCGCATCTCTCACCTCGTTTGATTGGAATGTCATCGTTGGGGCCTACACAGAGATCGTATTTGTGCGCACTACCCCTGACCAGAAAATGCGAATTGTAGAGGAGATCAAAGCTCGCGGAGACAATACAGTCGCAGTCACCGGAGATGGTGTTAATGATGCGCCAGCACTCAAAGCCGCCGATATTGGTGTTGCGATGGGTAGTGGCAGTGATGTGGCCAAGGAAGCTGGTATAGATTTCCTGACGGTCTTTCGATGACACTAATACCATCACTCTCAAGCCGCCTTGATCTTATTGAAGAATGACTTTGCTTCCATCCCTGTCGCGATAGAGTTGGGTCGACTGGTCTTTGATAACCTGAAGAAAGTTACATTGTATCTCATGCCTGTGAGTCGATTTGCGGAAGCGGTATAATCTCGGCGGGTTTGATACTCATGGTATTGCAGGGTGGAAGTTATGCGCAATTCATGGCGATCCTCGTAAACGTATTACTAGGTATGCAGATACCCCTGAACCCGTATCAACAAACCTGCTATTCCATCACCAACGATGTTATAATGTCTATCTCGTTAATGTATGAGAAGCCTGAGTGGGGTGGGTGTTCACGTATTCAGGAGTTTTCCAGTGTTCATTTCCTGTTGTAGACTTGATGCAGCGCAAACCACGCAACACTAGGACCGATAGGCTTACGGATTGGCGCTTTTTCTTCCATATCTTCCTGGTACGTTTCATGACGTGGGTGATCCAAACGTGCTCATGTATACTTGCCCAGTTCTATGGACTGATGTTGTGGCCCTGCGCGATGGCGATGTGGTTCTTATACATGAACCAGCAGGGCCTCAGTTTCTATAAGGTTATCTTGACTTTCAACCGATGGGAAGATGGCTGGCAAGGTTACACCCTCAGTCAGCTAACCCAGTTCGTCAATGTCGGTCAAGGCATTTAGTGTGTCATCATTCTTTCCTTTTGCAATGCTGATTCTAATGGCCACTAGCTATGTGACGGTGACCATCGGACAGTGCGGGACTCTTCTAGCAGTTTGTAACCGCCGAGTATCGATACTGCATTCAAATCCTCTATGGGGCCCGCGTCGCAACCTTCTGGTGCTTGTCGGCATCACGGGCACAATATTGATCTGCATCGTGAACCTCTATGGAGCTGTCTTCCAGCGGGTGTTTGGCACGACCCCTATTCCTGGGATGTTCTGGGGTCTTCCATTTACCTTTGCTTTGGGGATCTTGCTCATGGACGAAACTCGCAAAGCTATTGTGAGGAAATACCCGAAGGTATGTTTTGAGTTACACGACCGTACTGGAAATTGAATTCACACTTTTATAGTCTTTCATTGCGTGGCTGGCATGGTGAAGTCGAAGTGTAAGCTCGATGCTTACTTCCTGTTATGTTTTCTCTCCTTACACAAGACGGACACTTCATGTGATTCTTTCATTTACCTTGTATAAATATTCATATCATCATCTTGCTCGCTCGACGATGGATTTATCCTGTACCTCTATCTGTCGTACGAACATCTAGAACAGACTGCTTTGTCTATTCACTCTGTTCCAACCATTCTCGGGAAAGCACCTCTTTCTGGGAAGTTGACCCCGTGGAAAGTTTCGTCGAGCCGCAGGCTTGGCGGACACCCTTGCCATGACCAATTTTTCAATAGATAATAGATAAATATTGATTGACGTCAAAACAAATGTTCGATTTTTTTTTGGAAACCTGGAGGGAACGCGGTTTCCTCAGCCTGTGGTGTTGTATGTATATGAAAGGAGATCTCAGACGGTGGAATTGACCGCGATCCGCCGCAGAGGCGTCCGCCCTATCGCTGCCGGGGAGCGGAGTAGTTCATTGATTGCCAGCAGCAACGTCAACCCCTCTCGAACAAAACTACCTTCTCTTCTGACTGCCCGCTATTGCCCATCGCCCGAGTAGGCTTTGCCATTACTAGGAAAGGAAAAGTTAAACCATCTCAGTGGAATCACGTGACTTCACATGATGCTGCCGACGAGCTCGTCTCCTATCACCGCATGCTCCCACACCTCTGAATTTTCAAACAGAAGTTGTCGATGCTAGAAGGAAAAAAATCGGAACACAAAAATGAAGCTCCAGGAGATGGAGATAAGTCAAGAGGAGGGGGATAAACCGAAATCGAAGCACAGCACCAACGAAGAGGATGAATCAGATTTCTCTGAGTCAGAGGCTGAAAAGTCCGAGACTGCTTCAGAGGATGATGGACCTGCGAGGGAAGATCTCAGCTCGACTTATCCAACCTTGGCCATCCACCATTCGTAAGTTAAAAAAGCTCTCTACTACGTCACGAGAAACAAATTTTACTCTCTTGAATCACCGTCCCTCCCAGAATTGTTCGCATTGGAGTTATACGAGGCCATGGTACACTGATCAACCCGAGCGTGAGTCAAATGCCAGCAAACCCAGGTGCCTCGCCAGCTCAAGTTGCCATTGTCATGGATCCACGTCAAGAGGCACCACAACCTTGGAGCTCTGTAATTGTACTTTCGATTGCCTGAAAGAGACCGTGGACCGTTGGCATCCAGTCTCCCAGTACTGACATGTGAGTATCAGATACACGCCCATGTACAAAACTGTTTTCGACTCAATACCATCTGCAGTTGAGTTGTGACCAAGTATGAAATTGGCCCGCTATGATCGTGTCCGCCGCAGCAATAGCTCTCTACCGCACAGCCTAAGATCATCGGCCACCCCTGCCCCCAAGCTAGTTATGCAGACCGTAATAACGACATGCTGTCTTTGTTTGTGTGAACCAGATTACACAGTCACCGATTATCAAGGTTGCGAATGCGACACGATGTGATATGAAATAGAAGGTCCGTGAGCGTATTGTCCACCTCCAAGCTTTATGAACAAAGGAGACTTGATCCCCGCGCCCGCACTCTACTTCAACGATGTTGGGTATGTCACCTTTCCCCTATGTCTCCTTCAGAGCGCTCATGAGTCACAGTATAAAACGCAGAGATGGCAGTCAAGTCACGTCATAGTCCACACCAGTCCTGCGTGTCTATATCACGTCGGACTATCAAGAGACCGCAATCTTACGAGGTGACATTCACACCCCTGCGATCTGGATGCAGGACCTTGCTGCGCTTGCCGAGAACACGACCCGGAACCTCGAGCGCGACGCGGCCACCGGACGTTACACGATTTTCCAAGCTTGATTAAGGAATGCAACATCGGTGCGCCTAAATATCTATTCTGTGAGGTCTGCATCTCAATATTCACTCTGCTTTCATAGCACCCACTAATGGCCTCACTTGTGTAGCTATTAGCGACCGTGACATAACTGCGCCAGCGCCAGACCCCGACTCGCTTGTTCCTGGCATGTTTTGTGTCCATGGAACTAGTCTTGTATTCCATTTTGCGTTGGCAATGACTGCCGATCCTATGTGATTCTACTGTCAATGCATGGCGTTCTTCGACTCGTACTACAGACGTCCATCTTGACCAGTCTTAACCAAGTGGTAAGTAAGCCGTGACAGGACATGGAAAAATCTGTTGCAGGTTTGAAACCTGCTCAGCAATCTTTTTCTTTTTATTACGCCTTGAACATTTGCTCATTGATGGATCCTTCAAGGTCTATCTTAAGTAGTTATACCCGACTGGCACCAGAAATCTTGGGTGGTGCGGATTCAAAACCTGCCTACTGCCGATAAATGTCTCGGCACCGGGACCTTGACATTCATTCATCCGGAACAGTTCGTTGGAGGTTAACGTTCATCCCGCATCCTGGCCAAACTGAATCATTACCACAACAGAATCGAAATCTGGTTCTCTTGGATTGCGCAGGTTCGAAACCTGCCGACAAGTGTTTCTCTCTCTCGGAACACCTCATGACATTCACTCATGTCACATCTAACTGGTCTTAGCTAAGTGGTTACCACAACATAATCAAAAAGCTATTTCTCTTGGACTGCGCAGGTTCAAAACCTGCCCAACGACAAGCTTTTTTTACATCAGAACATACCTTAACATTGACTCATGGACGATTTCCTCGGATGTCCATATAACTGGTCCAAGCCGAGTGGTTACCACAACAGAGTCAAAATCTGTTTCCCTTGGAGTTGGTTCGAAACCTGCATATAGATCCTCGGAGGTCTATCTTAAATTAACTAGGTCCACTCGTTGTGCCGAAACTTCCCTTTTATGTGATAGTCTGTCCATGAAAGAGGAATTCACCTTCACGCCTCGCGAGGCTCGTCTCGGAGGCCCTGAGGACGCAAACAAGGTGAGGACGATATCCGTCGTTGTTTTAATATTTGTGATGATGTTCGTAGGTCATTGAACTCGACCCTTCGTCTTATCTCTGGTACGAACTGAACCATGCAGCTCTTCATGGAGCACAACACATGATGATGCGTTCGAGGCCTTCAAAATAATGCTCTTCAAGTTGGACAATGCATTCGGCTCGCGGATACGACGTAAGCCCCAAACAACTCGAGCGCCGACTTGAAGATGACTTACATTCTTCGCAGAGCTACGCCAGCAATACGTCAGTCCATCTGAAGTAGAAGATACTATTCGACGAACCATTCACGCTCAACTGGAAAACGCTCCACTTCGTCTAATCAACACCATCACTGGGAATATATGTGATCGAAATGCACAGATCAACGGCTTCACGGAGAGTACAGAGTACAAAGAGCTTTTGTTTCCATCAGTAATGTATGGGCCCCTCCGAGCGGAGCCCATCAAAGAAGCGGTCGCGAAGTACTTCAATTGGGTCATGTTATCCCACAGGTGGGAAACCAAGGAGCCGCTGGACCAGGGGTCCCAAGGGCAGGAGCTACGCACCAAGGGTCCTATCGGCCCTTTCCACAGCTTAGTCAGCATGTAGACTAGGTTTCACCATGTTCTTAGCTAGCATCCATCATCATCTCAGCTTGTCTGCCTTGCTCTGGGCTTAGGCCGCTGGCCCTGCTCCACCGCTGCTGCATGACATTCAAGGCAGGGACATATACGACTTGGATCCGTTGTGAAGTTGCAGAAGTTCTGCAAAGTCGCTCGCGACGCAAGGTATCGCTGGGCGTGGAGCGATACGTGCTGCATCGACTAGTATAACATCATCGAACTCCAAGAATCAGTCAACTCCATGTTCATCTAGTATCACTACTCAGCGCTCACCGTCGTCTACCTATCAGATGTTGATGTTCCTCCTTCGTCAAAATCTGGCGCGCTCGCAAACAGCATTTGGAACATGCAATGATGGACCGTTCAGGAGTTCCTCGCTCCTAAAATTGCTCTCTACAGCCAAGCGGATTGGACTCTATATCTCGACGACCGCTCCCGCAACCACAGGGAGTCTGTCGCTATCACGCAGGAGTTGGAACGTTCAACTGGCATAAATGCGCGGGCGCTCGTCGCCTTCCGTCCGGTGATGAGAAATGCCCAAGAGAAACCGCAATGGGCATCAACGCGTGTCACCACGTTGCAAGAAGACGCTGTTTGGGATCTTTGGCGTCCACCTTCCTGTAATCTACGGAGAAAAAAAGACAGAACGCGCTTGGACGTCTCTTACAGGAGATCATGGCAAAAAGGTCGGACGCAACGCTGGTAAGAAATGGCTCGCATGCTTCTGAAAGACAGAATCAATTAAATGTAATCTAAGATAAGACAACAGATGTACAATTTTGCGCGAGACTTTTGAAAACAGGTTCCTTGTCACTTGACCATGGTGCATGGTGCGCCCAGTTTACTTCGTCCCACCATAACCTGTAACGCATTGACATTCAGTCCTCCCGTATCGAACTACTCAATGCTCAGTGACGGTTGCAGGCCTTACGAACTACGAACAATATCTATCAACTTCGAAGCACAAGGAGCAGCAGACGGCAGCGTCACCTACGGCCTCGAGTTGAGATGTAAACTCGTATGTGCCACGTTCTTAGCGTTGACTCACTGTTATCGCTGATAAGCACAGAAGCATTTCGCAGGCTACCGCAGTGCGGCTGATGGAACATTCCTCACGCCAAGCATGTTGTACCGCTGAGTTTCTTGATGTATGCTCCGTTAAGACATTTTTTATCGAAATACTTGGTGGTACATGAATACTTGCAGTAACCCAACCAACTTCGCATTTCCTTCTCTTATTTTCTTACGAAAGGTCTTCTGACGAGGTCCGAATGCAACACAGCGATCTTTCCTTTCGATATCAAGTATAATGCTTAAGGACGAGGATACAGTGAAGAGTTACGACAGATGAAGTGCGGTTCGTGGAGCCATATGTTGCGAAGGCGTACCAACAGGGCAGCGCGAGCGCGACGATGAAGCAAATTTCCCTAATTCTCCGGAACTGGTGGAAGTACTATGAACTCATGAGGTCGTTGTCTGACACACTTTCAAATCGATCGTACCCACCTACACCCGCATCCAAGCCACGCTTTCGAACGTGGTAAATTCTTGGAGCCCCTTCAAACAGGTGGATCTTTATTACATCTCTGGTTTACGCATCTTATGGCTCGCAATCAATATCTCGCCATCCACACTTTCCACATTTTGTGTTTCCCATTTTCGGAACTGTGACTTATGGTGCTCAGACTCTGGAGTGAAGTAAATGTGCCAGAACGAAGGACAATGATGCCACAAAGACATTCCACTGGCAGAGTCCACGGAATCCACCGCAGCTATGTGGTGATATTTATATTTGTTCTTTTGATGTACTTACATGGCCTGTGGCAAGCCCTTCTCAAATATGTGGACCCAGGCATCCGAGCACTATATATTTCGTGTTGGCAGTGTCTCTCTTCTCTCCATCACTTTGCATCTCTCCATATATTCACCTATCTTCTACTGTCAATCCTTATGCCCAACAACGTCCCTAATCTCTATCGTTGGGGAGTCTTTAGAAGACTGGCTACTCGTCTCGAGTCTCTGGACCGTTTTCTGGAAGCTATGATTGAGATCATGAAGTTTAGTGATGCGGAAGACCGGCAAATTCGCCACTACGGCCGTAAGGTACTGTCTCTGTTATTACTCATCTCTTATAGTCAACTGACGATAATATTTCCGTGCAGATCATCTCTCTTACGGAGGTAAATATGATTTCAATTCTAGCAGGCTCTTCCACTGATGCCCTTGGTAATTAAGATTGCAAACGCCACTATGAATTCAAGTAATATTGGCGCGACCCTGCTCGTGATTTGTTCAGAGGAACAAGTGCCGTACAAAGCGGCATTTTTTAAAATGCTTGTCTTGATCAGGCGCCGGAGGTCGGCGTTCCCTGCTTACTTGAACAGTAAGCATTGGTTGTTATCGCGTTTGATTTCCTGTTCACCATTTGTATAGCTCGCATCAGTGCGCTCTTGGATTATTCCATAGAGCATAACATGGTCCTACGGACCAAAGGAATCGATCCACGTGTCCAATTGGGCATTAAGGAGTTGATAATCGTCAGACAACCACGAGCGGGGCTCTTCAAAAATAGTCAACGAGCTACTTAGTGCCTCCATTCCCTCGAAGGCTGTTTGCGCGCGACTGTCGAACGAAAGGCCGACGCTTTGAAGTTAGAACTAGGAAACAATCGTCTTGAAGTTGATATTCTTCTCGAGCCTTAGCTGGACTAATGGCTACCTTATTGTACTTGAAATTACAACCTTTTCGTTTCATACTCAGTTGTAACTATACACCTATTGCACCTACCGACGGACAATCTATCTTGCTCGGCTGCCGCACCAGTAACTTGACTTTGAAGTCTGAATTCATTTGCCTCATCTCGCCTGAAAATTCGCAATCTATCTACCCCTTTCGTTTATGACTACATCTCGGCTTGAGGCGCCTTGGGATGTCTTCTCGTTGATGATGGTGTTCATCATCATCCGATGGATTAGTAGTAATTCCCGGTTCTGAAAAGCACGTTCAAGTACTTCCTGGTCAAGTATCACAAGGTTGTATTCGGGGATCCGTGGACGTACCTGACACGGACACAACTGAAATATCTCACTGATGTCTAGACAAATAAAAGGTGTGCTGAGATTGTCAGTGAAACATGAAAGGCTCCGTCGCTAAGGGTTTTTAGATGTTTTTTCTACCCGAAAACGGTGGCATGCAGTGCGGCGTTGCAGGAGTGGGCCACCGAGGTATGCATAACCGTGAAAAAAGTAGAAAAATTAATTAAACAAATTCAATCATTGCCCCTGTCCAAGGATAGACTCAGCGGTCACCAGCGAGGTCTTTCCATTGGCTAAAGATCACGTTACTCGTCGAATGAGTCAGTCGGTCTACCGTATTGCCTCCTAAGTAGACCGACTTCACTAGGAGTCTACTACGTTGAGGATTCTCGACCTCTGCCCTGCATGCCTAACTGGACAATCATATCTCCGTGCGAGACACAATATGTCCATCCAATGCAGATGAACGTATTCCGGGTCATGAAAACTGTTGTTCGCATGTTGTACCCATCAGATGTAGGAGCTCTCCACAGTCGACAATTTGGGAGGATACACCGCGGTTCTCGGATACGCATTCTCACAGGAACCCCCAGACCTATCAGGCCTTTTCCTCTCTTTCGCTACCTCATGGATGGGTTCAGACATTTTTGTCCGATTCCGTGATATGCAGATCCAAATCCATATGCATAACGTTTGCGCTCCCGTCCCCAGCGAGCTCACGCCAGTCATCATGGACATATATGAGTTTGCCCCCGCGAGGTCCGATATATGCTCTCGTCAGTGGGACACAGAGACGGAGAGTTACTTTGCGCGTAGGATATGGAAGCAGCTGCAAGTGGAGGTAAGTATTGATTTGTGTTCTTACACTATCATGATGTGAATTGACTGCGGTAGAGATATCATCAACGTGTTTCACAGCAACAGGTTCCTGGTGGCACAGACACCAGATTACCACCAGCCTTCTGGAAATGCTCTATATGTGCCTCCGATCTCATCCATTGCAACAGCTGCCAGGTTGCATCGTGCGAATCGCGTGATTGTCGTGGATCTTCTGAACCCCCGCTCGCGCGGTGCATCACGCATCCAAAGGAAGTGCTATGTCTCCCATGCCTTGAGCATCAGGATTCTAAGCGGTTGGAACAGTGTCCAGGGTGCAATTTTTGGTGCTGCGCAAAGGATAAGTCCTTATGTACTAGTCGTCCCGTTGGCATTGAGTCCCCTCCTTTCTTATGGGGACGCTACAGCACTAATGTCAAGCTCTTGTTTGCCTACTTCACTCACGAAAGGGCTCATCCTCGCAAACCCGAGTCCTGTTTGGAATGCGAGATACCCGGCTGGCGGACCTGCTCCAACGAACTATTCTGTTGGTCTTCTCGGATCTGTCCGGAATGTGCGACCAGTGGCGTGATGTGTCTGTGCGAAAGAGTGTGGGCTTGCGACCCCTGTGCGAAGTGGTCAGACCTCTTCATCCGATGTCCGCGCTGCAACCGGCCATTCTGCATCACTTGCTCCTACATCGACCAATGCAAGAAGTGTCACCGCGTGAGCCTGTGCTACGACTGCGCCGAAGAAGCGCCAGATGCAGATGAGGTAATGCCGGCTGAAGTTGCCTCGTCATGTAAGAGTTGTTTGGAAGGTGTGCGAAGGCGTACGATCTATTCATGGGAGTGGTGGTAAATATCTAACTCAGACTCAGACTAAGGGATCCGAGCCGGAGGCCACGCGGGACCTAGTGCGTTCACTACAGCGCTTCCTATGAACAGGAGAACTGATTAGATTCGTCCAGGGTTCCGACTGTATGTTGCCCATAGTGTAATGACTCAAGCTCATGATGTATACCACAAAAAAATCAGCGCCAGCAGTTTCCCCAGTTCTTTTCTCTAAACCATCGCGTCGAAGTTCGATACAGAACGAGTCCGAGGAAATCGGTGTACCTTGACAGGGTCCTCGTACTGTTTTTGACATGAGCGCAGAACAGGACCATTGTTTTAAATTTTGACACCCACCACCCAGAACGGCATATCCAATACGATAACCTCTGTACCCTTCGCTCTGCACTTCGCCTTCAATATCTCATAATCTCCGACCAACTGCTCCGCGTTTTTGTCGCACGTCAGGACTTTAAGGCATGGAAGCACGTCCACTGCATTGATGATAGGCTGGAGCGTGTTACGGTGTATATGATTAGGATTTCTGAAAGAAAGGTGTTCGATAGTGGGCGGGAGGTCGGAGGCTAGTGGAAAATGTGTGGGCACATGGTAAATTACCAGCTCTTCGAGCGCAGTGCACATACGGAGCAGAGCAGCAGAAAAGATATTGTAGTACGCGAGACGGAGGGAGCGAAGTCGCGGGGCATGGACAGAAAGAATAGTTCGATGATTGGGTCCTGGTATATCTCGCAGTTCTAGGATACGGAGGGAGTTGGCGGATGATTTAAGCAACCAGGTTAAAACTTCTGATGTTGGAAACCTCGACAGGGCAAGCTCATACAAGCAGACCTCTGCACCAGGTCGTTGTGCCAACTCTTCAGCGTCAGTATTCCTCCGTAGCACCGGCGTGGCAGCAGTGCGCCATGGCCACGCAGCGATCTCCTTTTCAATTTTGAGGAATTGTATGTTGTTCCATATCTTGAGCAGTTGGAAAAGGATGGGCGATTGGAGTCCACACTGCAATAGTGTGAGCGCTTTCAGTTTCCTTCCTACATCTCTCAGCTTCTTCAGTATCTCCTCCTCGAATTCGTGTACTCCGATGATGCTCAGCGCGAGCTCGTACAACTGAGGGCAAGCTTGCAGAAGGATTACAAAGTCATCTGGACTACATCCGGGACCCCCATTTGAGGTTTCCCCGATCGATATTTCGAGGATTCGTATGCATTGACCCAAGTCTTTACCCCGGCCCGCCGAAGAGAGTAGTGCTGCACGAAATATGGGGATATTGTGTTGCTCGAGTTTTGTGGCGCAACGAAAGAGCAGGGTTTGTGCAGGTCCTGACCAGGTCTTGCACACCAAGGCAGCAGCTTTGAGGAGGGTATAGTTCGGGGTACGTAGCGAGGTGTAGTACCCGTGTTCTAAGATACATAAGACAAGTTCAGGAGGAACGAAAGACATCTGGAGAGTTCATCAGCTGAGATCTGAATTGCCAGACTCCGATCTGCAGTACGTCACCACCACTTGTTTCAATTGTTCGAATTAGATATCTATGCGATAATCGAATTGCGGATTTCTGGATTTCTGTGACGGTGATGGACCAATGCTTGTTGTACTAATAGTCAGAGGTTCAGAGGACGCGCAGTGACTCAACAATACGGTACCCGGTTATCCGTACAGTCATCCGATTACAAGACCAAAGTAATGATACATGTAGGCCATCTCAGCATCTGAAGCCTTCTTGCACCAGACAATCGCAACAATGAGGATGATCTGGTTCCAAGCTTAAGGGCAATACTCTCAAGTTTCAGCCCAAAAGGATCCAGCTCGGAGATGCCTATACCACCAATCACTCAGGAAACTCAACATTACTGAATCAACATTTTCCGATACCATGAATCTAAATAGTCCTGTGGATAGTAAAAAGCGAACAACAACACATTTCAAGCCGACTTGTAACAAACTTTTACATGCGAATAATGAGCTGCTTGATTGCCGACATCCACAAGCCAATGTCGTCTGTCTGCGAACCACGAGTGAGAAGGTCGACGTGGATAGACAACGCAGCATCTCGGTCATGCGCCTCCATGGCTGTCGAGCAACGCTTGAATCAGGATTGCCTAAGCGTATTGATGGGAGACACATACCTCTTGCCAAAACAAGCAACTGGTCGACCACAGGCTTGGACAATGTTTCACAATTCAAAGCATCAAATAGAGAATTGATTCGGCGCTCAAGGTCATCAGCCATTCGTCGTTGTTGGGGCTATGGAAGATGGTCACACAGGAGCTTCGATCACAGAATACAATCACATACTTGTGTCGTCTGCTTCATCTGTGTGAGTTGCTCGTTGATGATATTGAAGACGGGCAACGCAGACTCGGGGATGTGAGCCCGGTCTCCCGGGGCTAGAATCAATCATCAGCCACGTGCCTACTGCATCATTGAGAAGACGTACGATATTTTGGTGGCGGTGGACCTTGTCGAGAACGTGGAGGCTGCGTGTTGCTGACACCTCCGGCTGACGCAACTCCAGGAGGTCCCTGCTGAGGAGGTAGACCGGCAAGCGGATGTGGTGCCGGAGCCACTCGTGGTGGACCCTGTGGAATTCCACGGGGCTGCTGCTGTTGGACTTGGCCAGGAGGAGGCGCGTATGGACCTGGTGGTGCTTGCTGAGCTTGGCCGGAAGGAGGTGCATAGGGACCTGGCGGCGGCGGACCGGCTTGTCCCGGCGGAGGCGTTGCATACGGTCTAGGTGGGCCGAGTGGCTGTCCAGGGCCACGAAGAGGACCAGGTGGAGGAGTGGCACGCGCATACGGCCCAGGAGGCTGCAATTGAGCGGGCTGCATGGACGGCGAGTATGGACCAGAAACAGAAGGAAGAGGGGCATGCTGTTGCGCAGGAGACATTAACCGGTTTGATGGTGGTTGCATGCCCTGTGAATGAGCAGGAGGCCCAGAGGGAGGTCGAGCCTGAGAGGGAGGCGGTGGGTGCACCATCCACTGTGCCGCCCGTGGCGGAGGGGGAGGGTCCCGACCATGCCCACTCGTGTGTGGCGGGCCAGGAGCGGGAGGTGACGCAATTCTGGGAGAAGGAGCATTGGGGAAGGGAGACACTATAGCCATTGGCTTCTGGAGATTTAGTGAAGATGGGGCGCGACGATCATTGGTCATAACGGGAGCATCGTTCCAGCCACCGTTTGGCATGCGGTTCAGCGGGGCAGAGGGAGGCATGGGACCACGGGACGGTGGCAGATGTTGGTGTTGGGCTGGCTGCGGAACTGAAGTGGGGTGAATTGGCCTGACAGCAGAGGATACAGCATATAGATCATGTGATGGTTGAGAGATGGGTTGAGTATGCCCGTATGTCTGAGCAGGGACAACTGGAACAGATCGCGTGTAGCTGGCGTAGCCAGATAATGTGGGGGGAATAGTATGCGCAGGGATGGGTTGAATAGCAGCATGACTGGTGCCTGCTACAGGAACAGCTGGGGTCACCTTGCGCTCTCCAGAAGCCGCCAGTAGACGCTCCCTGATTCCTGCGCAGTCCAATGTGGACCCTATGTAATCTGCCGGCGTTAACTTCAAAAAGGCAACAGCCTCCTTCACCAAACCCTGAGCACTAAGTACGTCCGCATACTCAAAGTATCGATCGTACAATGCGCCGAGTTTGTACGTCTTGGCACCGGCGTCTTCACCCGGTACCTGCGCCAGATCGCCGTCCACATACTTAGTGGCATCGCGGAAGACGGTCACCTTCTCTATGAAAGTGTGCAAAGCGTGGGCATGGGCTGCATATCGCGAACTGCTTAGCTGATCTTGATCATCCAATAACAAAATCTCCTCTTCGGTGAGCTCCTCGATCCAGATGTTCAAGAGTCTCTCTAGCCTTCCTGCGGCCAGATATGTCAAAGTCGCCGTCTTCCTCAACTCAAGGGCATCATCCTCGTTCTCTGCACCGCCCTCACGTATCAGACTGCTCTGGAATTCCAGCCTGCTCCCGAGTTGCTCCGCAAGGCTCGAGAACTCTTCCTGGCTCGCGAAGGTGCACAGCACCACAAATATCTCCTGCCATTCTTGAAGATCGGCGTTCTGCACAATGTCCGAGAGATCATTGGTGACAATGCTTTGGAATAAACGAAGATAGGGATACGAGGTGGTGCGCCGTTCGAAGTAAGCCTTCTGGGTGCGTTGAAGAAGATCTTCACCACCCTTGATCGCGAGTAAGATAGCGTCCGCGTAGCGTTCGGCAGAGAGACACAGTGAAACAGCGGACTCGAAGTCGCCAAGCACCAGTGCTTTCGTCACCAGTCCATCTGTCTCACTCTCGTCTGAGGGGTAGATCCTGAACGTGTTGTTCTTCAGGTTTTCGCTTGCTAGACTCGAGGGACCAGACCCAATAGTGGCAGCGACACTTGAATCGAGACCGTAGTTATGATGAGGCACCTCGAGTTCGGGTGCAGCGCCGATTGTACTGAAGAAGTCAGCACCCGCATCCATCTGGGGTGTACCAAGGGCAGCTTCATCACCAAAGAGACTTGGAGCAGTGGTCGTGGATTCACCGTCTGTGACCTGGACGGCGTCGGATGCAACACTGGCGCTCACCTCCGAAGGCGTCTTTTCAGCACCCATTGTCGATAGATCCTCTTCACTGCCATCGCATTGTGCTTCTGGTTCTGCAAAGGACACCACTGGCTCGTGAGGTTTCGCTGGGTCCACACCAGCTTCATCCACGCTATAGCTGGACGTGTTGATTGATACAATCTCCTTCAGCTTCGCAACCGCTTCCTCGACACGTCCTTTGACCTCCTCTTTAGAATAACCTAACAGCGTGACAAGTTCGTCCCTCGAATTCGCACGGAACAAACTAAGAAGGGCCTTCCAGCCATCTTCACCAGCTTTCTCCAAGCTTACCCGCTCTTCTGCGAATGTGCTCAAGGTATTGGTATCCACAGCTTGTTGCAACCTTTGAGCCCGGTCAACAATATCTGTCTCTGCAATCACTTTTCGGATGTGCACGACGCTGCTCTGGTTTTTCCCCGAGGCTGCAGGTAAATTACCAACGCTGACAAGCTGCCCGCCGAACCCAAACGAACAGGAAGATGGGCAGCGAAGCCACTTGGGTGGTTGTTTAAGACTGAGCGTGGGAGCTGTGGTACGGGAGTAACCTGGCACGTCAAACACATCTGCACCATCGGGTTTTGGAGTCGCAGGGGGAACTGAAGCATCATTCGTAGACTGGATAGAGTGAATCCCAACCGTGCCATCGAAGAAAGCGGTAGCCAGGAGATCAGGATTTCGTGGGCACCATTCCACTTGGAAAGCCCAATTACCCGCAGAAGGAAGCTGTTTAAAGACGAAGTTAGAACATTAGACTTCAATAAATCAAGCCGTACCTCGCCGATGATCTCAGATGTCTGCGGATTCCAACAGAGGGCGCGGTTGTCCTTTCCACACGAAAGTAAGAGGTCTGCATCATGCTTGCACCACGAGAGCGACAGAACACCCTTCTCATGCCCCGTAAGGATCTAGGAACAAGAACATGGGGCGCATTAGCAATGGATGAATGGATATATTAAAAGCGTACTTTTTCCGGTGCACGTGCATTTCGAAGATCCCAAACCATGATTACGGGAGACAGGTCATCCTCGGAAGCGGTAACAAGGCGAGTTGCCTGCATTGAAACCCCAATTAGCTCCGTGGTATAACTATTAGAATTGTGAGCGCCTACATTGTCAGGGTGCCACGCAATCGCACTCATGCCGCGTCTGCCGCCAACAGCCATTCCACTACCAACGCCACTTTGGCCTGCAAGCGTGCCCGCACCACCACCGTAAGCGAGGGCGACTACCTCGCGTTTCCCTCGCAGATCCCATACTACAGTATATCCCGTACTACTAGCGCCTGCAAGCACGTATTGTACCTGTTGGTTCCAAGCAACGGAAGTGATCTCATCAAGCTTCGTGCTCCGCGTTCCTGGTGTAGGAGAGTACGGCTTCGACGGGTCATTGAGATCCCAGATATAAACCTATATCACAACAAACATGTTAGGAGGAGAATGATTTGCGATTTGCAGAAGATAATCTGCGCACCTCGCCGTTGATGGCACCAGAAGCCAGAAGGTTTGTTTGTATGGGGTTGAAATCAAGGCCACGGACGGGACCAGTATGACTGGTGTTGCGAAGGATCAGAGATTCAGAGACGCTGGGTGCACCAGTCAGCTGATGAAACCTCGTAAGAAAATGTACATACTCGGCATTAACAATGATTTTTGCTGGATCCCATAGAGCAAGTTCGCCGTTTTCCATACCAGCTGCAATGACACCGCGTGAGCGGTCTCTATGCACTTGACCCCATGCAAGACGGTTGAACCTATGACGATCATTTCACGGACTTCTATTGTGGCACGCGACTAGCATGCTCACCTTGAGCTGTCAGTGACCGCGCCCTTTGGGGCAGGCAAACCATCTCCTCCGAGATCATATTCGTTCTTGTCCATGAAATCCGGTTGCCATATTTCGAGCTGAGATTCGTTCGAGAAAGACTCATCGAGTGCGCCAGCAACCGAGCCCGTCGCAATGAGGGGGAGCGACGCGGTCGGTGACCATGCAAAAGTGGACGTCCTGTAGATTTCTTTAAGCTTCATGACGGATGTTTGGGTAAAGTCCTTCAAGACGTGTCAATGTCTACCAAAACTTGTCCGCAGTTTTCGTACAAAGTCTGCTAAACGTGGTCCTTTATCTACCATATATATATATATATAACAGTTTATACTAAATTTGTCACCCTCAGGCTACCACAAGGACTTGTTGTTATTAGTATCTGCACTCTTCAACCTCGGAGGGTTCAGAATAATATTCACGAGCACGGACACTACTTCCTGGCTTGCGTACTTCCGAGAAAACTTTCGACTCGTGGAGAATGATGATGCTGTACTTGTGACAGTTCACACAACATGCTTTCCTCGGGACTTTGGCTTGTCAAATATGTACACCTATTGGTGTAGTTGGAATAAAGCCACTCTCCGGAAAATCACTGTGTTATCATTCACGGAATTTGTACTGCCTCGCGTCACCCTTGCACTCCGTAGTCAACGGATAACCACTTCGCTGTGCATCGAACATGCCCAAGACTTTCGGAATGCATTCCCCTGCCATGCTTCCGGCTTGCCCCAATACGAGCTGTGGGATATGAGGTGTGGGCAGTTTTCAGAGGCTTTCTATTGATAATTTCATTGTGTCGGTCTTCTATCGCGCTAGCTTGCATTCTAAACCATCTCGATCAGCACTCTGCGATGTTGGCTCATCTGTTCGATCGCGAGGAGATTGACTAAGATGCCGTGTGATGTCGCTCTGATTCGTTGGCAACGTCGCCCTTTGACCCTGTGGTAGTTCTGCCAGGTTCTGCCCTGTTTCACTGGTGATTCATAGTGAAGATGGAGAAGCTCGGGAGCATTCGCTTGATCAACACTTGCAGTTCCGAAGTCCCTCCGCAGGTGCAAGTTTGTCACCTCCTTCGCCTCGTTTCCCCAATATAGCCATTTCTCCAGTCATATTTGATCAATCATTATTGATTTGACGTCTTACTTCAAAGACACGCTTTACTGAAAATGACGATCAACTCCCCGAAACGCTGGTCTCAACCCTGGCACTGGAATCATAATAATAAGGTTTGCGTGCTCTCAAGCTCCGAAGCAAGGCAAGCTCATGAGAGGATATGACTCTAAGTGCGGCGCACGTCTATGTTTCCACGTTTATACGAGCGTCAAGAGTAATTGACCCTACTTTTGCTCTTGGCCAGACTGCCGCTCAATCACTAGCCAGCCTGTATTTGCCAACTATATACTTACAAGTACTCTCACTATGTATTGTGCCCATCGTCCACAGGTAAACTGGATCTCATTTCTCGCGTACGCATCAGACCGCGTGTTTTACAACCTGTTTGTCTCGTGTACAGTGCCTCATGGATATCCTCGCCAATGATCCTCTTATGTGTTCCTCCAGTTTAAAAGCTGCGTTCACAAATCACCCATGTAGGAGCCTCACCCGCTCACAATGTTTGCTTCCTCTTTCAATCCCGCTGTCCGGCCTCCCTCCCGTGGTGGAGCAGCCAAGGTGCGAAATGTGTTTGTTACCCGTATGCCTCACGCTGATAGCGCTGTGCTGTGCAGAATTATTTCCTCCCGGTCCCGTCGGGCTTCTCTCTCCAGGTCTTCAAGGCCCCGACGATGTCTGCACGTCCATATGCAGCGAAAGTCGACTCAGACTACCGTCCTATGACACGGGCGAACTCTCAATCCAGACAACAGTCTGGACACGTTCCTCGCCAGCAGGAACCCACGAGGAAGCTATTAAAGGCTCCTCCGCCCGAGGAGCCAGGCTTCGCTAAGCGATCGTACGAGCACAAGCCTAGCTCCGGGAGATACGCTATTCACGCCGGACCTGTGCCCGACACATACATTTATGAGCGCTCGATATCGTCCAAGGCTGGATACCCCTACTCGCCTTCTGACGTGACGAGCGAATGCGACTCCATATTCTCAGTCAACACACAGATCTCCTCCGGCTCATCGAGCAGCAGCGTCACGGATAGCCCCCCAAATACACGGATGCTTCAAATCAGAGCTGCCTCGCCAAGCTCTGAACAATTACGTTCGCGTTCACACCACCCCAGGGGTATGTCGACTTTCCCACTAGGGCATTCGTGCCCCTCATGTGGTGAGGCGAGTCCTCCGCCCAGAACATCATCCATGACTGCTAATAAGGGGAACCACATCCCTTATCCTTCACGTCCACTCCCTACGCCCCCAGTGAGCGCCAGAGTACGTAAGGACAGCATTCTCCTGGCGAGCGAACGCTCTATTATGTCATATGACACCCGCCAGCACTCGACATCCCTGAAGCATGGTGAACGCGTGCCGTTCCCGGCTCCACCGGTAGATGAGCAAGGGAGAAACAGCATGGGCATGCAGCCATCGCGCTCATCGTCCCTCAAGGGGAACCTCTCTATTACCATCCCACCACCTCCGGGCTTAGATTTGGTCCCCGGTGGTCATTACGAGTACCCTCCCGTTCAGGGACCCGTGCTGGACACTGAACCACATCGCCGGAATTTTGATGGCGACCATACACAGGCCTTGCCGCAGCGGGCGTTGTGCCCCGCTGCAGTTGCACGGTCTGTGCGGTGGTGCAATGATTTGATATGTCCATCGCCTATATTCCCGAATCAGAGAAGGAAGGGATGGTTCAATCGCAGAGGGTTTGTGGCACTTTGTTGATGTGTATGAAGGCTAACCCGTAGTTCTTTAGAGACCAGCTATGGCGAAACGATGGTTGCTACCGGACACCAGCACCACAAGACGCATACCCTCCTGATCTTGAGGGCTATCCAGAACCCGGAAGTGGGTGGCAGAATGAGGAAGGAACTCGCATTGACATCAGTCATCGTTTGATACCCAAACCTCCCCTGCGCTCTGTATTGAAGCCAACGAATTATAAATGTCAGGATGGTATTATCGCTGGTTACCTCACCGCCGCCCCCTCCTCGCCGACCTCTGACGACGAGTGACAATCGGATGCATCATGAGTCCGCTGCCCCGCTTCATCATTATCTAATACGGACGCTATGCAAAGCTCTCTCCGATCAACTTTTCGCTTTCGATGTTTTATTCGTTCAGGTGTTCTCCGCCACATTTTATCGGAGCTGGTATACTGTCTCTAGCATTATGATGGTGATAAGTTACATCCTTGCATGTTTGTACATTAGTCTGATGAGAGAGATATGACCTCATGTTCATCCCCGCTCGTCCTTCTATTTAAGCTGGCGGGAATTCCCTTTGCCTTCTCTTCACCCTTTCGCCGTTTCTTAGTTGGCTGAGGTGGTCTAAGTGAGTAAGCCCAGTCCGCATCGTCATCATCGTCAACATCCGATTCCTCGGCATCAATCATCTTTATCTGACTCGTAAAATCTTCTCCATCAACTTCGTCCGGGTCCGATAAATCTTCATATAGCCTTTTCTTTCTTGGTGGGGCTGGTTTCCTGATTCGTGAAGGGCCAGAAGTGGGGTCTTCTTGAAGATCCAGACTATCAGGAGATTGCCTGTCAATAGCAGTCTTCTTGCTCTTTACTTTGCGCCCATGTCTCCTGAAGGAGCACTGGATTCTAGGCCCGGCTCCGTTGACGATATCTTCACAAGTGAAGCGGGTGAGCCGGAGCGCTTGATTACCGGGTGCGACGTAAACATTCACAGTGTATGCCGTCGATGAAAAGGCCTCCTCAAGGTACCGCAACACAAGCATCTGCACAATTAGCGACTCCATGTCCTTTCACAATATCTCAGATCGGATCAAATTCGACATGGGAAACAAGAACTCACGTCCTTTGAAAGCCTCACTTTTCCGCCAGCCACGGAATCATAATCAATCTGTATCTTCTCTTTAGCATTTCGGCGTTTTCCGCCGCCACCAGTTTCGAATGAACCACCACCCAGACCACGCGCCAGGTCACTGAGACCAGCAATGGTCAGGCGCCCGCCACTACCTTCTACAGCTTCAAGTATCTTTAGAATCTGCCACGCTTCAACTGTCACATCCTTGTGTTCCACGTTGGCAGGAGGCCTCGTGCAATTGTCGCAATGCCCACATCGGTCCATTGCATCTGATTCGTTCGTGGTCCATGAGGCCATAGAGAGATCGGATGATGCCGAAAAGTATCTAATGATCACCGAACGTACATGTGAGAAGGTAGACACTAGCACGAATTAGGCTTACTTTGCAAATAAGATCTTGCGGCATTCTTGCATATCTTGTGCAAAACGTAAGATGTCATGCACTACGGGAGACACAGGGAAGTCTTGCGTGAGTTTATATTTAAATGTGGAAATGGCTCACACTTCACCACGCCGTCCTGATCACTGCACGTAATGGAAGCTTGGCGAGTAGCATCTTGTGGACGATAGTACAATACGCAGTCTGCGTCTTGGCCGTCTCGTCCAGCACGTCCTGACTCCTGATAGTACCCGTCAAGAGACTTCTGTGTGGTGAGCACTCAGTGAATGCGCAGAACATCCCTTTGAGGCTCCACGAACCGATATCTTAGATGCCATTTTAGTAACGTAACCGCAGGAAACACCTGAAATGAAAGACGCACTGTATGGTGGAGTACGAATCGAACGTCACCCTTGTCAATCCCTAGGCCAAAAGCTACCCCGGAGTTCATCAGGACCCGAAATCCATGTGATGTGACACATGAGGCAGACCTATTGTAGCGCAGACTACCTGAACTTTCCCTTCCCTCCATTGCATGTGTAGCCTTTCTTTCTGCCCATCCTCAACATTCGCGTGATAGACGCCTGTTTTGATGCGGCCGTTGCTCACCGCTTGAATGCTTTCAGCAACCGATTCAGCATCCTTCAAAAATGTGAACTCGATGTCCGTGATGCCTTGGATTAAAATACCTTCTTTGCGAGGCAATATATGATGCCACTATCATTTCTGTGGTTTTGTAAAATGTAGTCCGACATTGTCGCGATGAGTTCTTTTGCTGAAGATGGTTTTGGCAAGACAGTGTAATGCAGATTTTTGCGGTACAGAGGCGCAGAAAAATACACCGTCCCATCCGGTGGGGCAGCTGTGCGCAGTAGCATGTTTGTTTCAGTTGTCCGTACATTCAAAAACATGCACACCTTTCCCATCTACCACCGGTTTCATTCTGAGAATCTTGAGAATATCTTGGAGGACTCTTGGGGGGCAGGTTGCAGACAACGCGAGAATGGGCACGTGGGGAAAGAACTGGCGAAGGATGCTCAATTTTCTGTAGTCTGGGCTGATGCGCGATTAGTGAGAGGCTTGTATGTCCATAGGGATGAAATTGTACCGAAAATCGTGACCCATTTGAGAAGCACAGTGGGCTTCATCAATAACGATCCGAGCTTGTGCAAACTAATCATAAGATTTCCATGTTACGGGCTCGGCACCTACCAAGCTTTCCACCTTCCACAAGCTTGCGCAGGAGAGACATAAACGTCTTGCTTTTAGCTATTTTCTCTGGCTGAGACATAAATCAGCACGAGACCATTTTTCGGTTGCTGTATTACCGTGACGTAGCATAATTTAATGTCCCGACCTTGATGTCCATGCACCTGAGATGATGCCATGGACGACAGTCTTTGCTGAATCTCATTGAGGAGGGGACGTGGAGTTCCCCCTGTCAACATCACAGCTTCCACTAGAAGAACCTCAGTATTGAAGACAGGAAATTTCGGATAAAAGCGAATATACCTCCTGACTCCTTCAGATGTAGAATCTGATCCGTCATCAGGGAAATGAGGGGGGATATCACCAGTGTACACCCTGGCGTCAGGAGGGCAGGAAGTTGATAGGTTAACGACTTGCCACCTCCTGCAACAGCACGTTAGCAACGGGCAAAAGGTGTCATCTACCATCCTACCGGTGGGCATGACACACACAATATCTCGGCCATCCATATTAGAATTACAGACTCTGTTATTGGTCCTTTAAGATTCAGGAAGCAAGTCGAGCACCGCACTGACCCTTTCTGGCACAGTCGAAAGTTACCAATATTAAAAACCTTCTTCATTGTCAACTGCAGCTGTGTTGACCAGTCGAAGCTAACAGTATAGTCAACTGTAGCTGCTTTGCCCTTGCCCTTAGTCTGGACAGCGTCATTGAGCCCCCTTGACGGTTGCACCAGGTTGATACGACTGCGTTCTCGAGTGAGGTCATCTTTTTCAGCAATTAAGGCCCCACGTAAAGCAGTCAACTTTTTGATCTGTTCGTCTATCCCTTGTATTTCAACCTCTAGAGAAGACAACCGGGTGTTGACATCATGTTTCTGAAGATACGACGGCATCTTCGCAGATTTGGATGCAACATTAACAGGTGCACCGGGACGTTGGTCCATAAGCGTCATCTCAAGAATCTCTTCCATCTGCGAATGTAGGCGTCAATTCGGAAGATCGCCTGAAATTGGATCCTGGTACCCACGTCGTCTGATCCGACATGGTCTGAAAGGTAGTTCAACTTATTGTGAATCATGTACCGTCGTGCGCTATCCTTGTCTAGATAAAGTCAACGCGGCAACAACTAGACAGGGCGCAGTCAGCGGAGACTCGGAGTGGTGCACCAAGGCAGTGAAAACAGACGCAAGCGGCACGTGGGAAAATTTGCGCGGAACGGGGACGTCGGATGTGTCTATTTGCTTTCACTTTAGTCTGTTTGCTACTAGAGGCTACTAGTGACTCAATAACATCATGAACATGTCAAAGAGCCAACTTTCTTTATATTCCATGTAAGCCATTTCAGATACCTATAGATTTGGTGAATGACACTGCTGAATCCTGCCATGCAGCTGGTCTATATAACAAAATCATAACTGCCAGTTAAACAGTTTCGCCGTAACTTTCGTTGCTGAGCCTCAGAGAGTCACAAAATCCACTGCAGACTCACAGAGCTTCTCCCAGTCCGAATCCATAAATTTTCAGCTGAATGATTGCAGCATCAATCTTGGTCTCAGACCTAATCCAGTCGTGCGTCTTCATTTCCGCTTAGACTCTGTTCTGTGACATTGCAACTATGAGTTTCCCGACAATACTATCAATACTCTATATCTGACATTTACCACGGAGTGGACTTTCCGGGCTGTGTTTTCTCGTCCGGGCTGTAAACCTCTCCTCCAATAGGATCACTGGGCCACCGGCCTTCAAGCAGATCCGCGGCGAGCTTCTACGCAATAGAATTCAGTACTCGTGCTTTGGTTATCGGGCCGTCATTCGGTTTACGTTTATAGTGACATGGACATGAAGCTTACACGTACACAGCGGTCCGTGAACCCTTGAGCCCCAAGTAGGCTGTTCAGGAGACCTGACATGGTTCATTTTAGTCTAGTCGCATGAGGATGCATTTTCAAGCGTAAGTAATGCCTTTTCCTATTAAAATCTTCCCTTGCAATGACCACATGACTCCTTTTTATTGCCTGGCAGCAATAGTAATGCTATCGACGGATCCGAACATGATATATGTCGACGACCGAGTTGTCAAATTAACTTGTTATCTTGGAGCAGGGTCAATCATGATCATGTTTTCTCCATTCATCGTGCTATGGAACGTGCCAGGCGTCTAGACCCACTTGACCACGCCACTATGTACAATCACTCCGCCTGGCCGGTCATCATCACTGACCCGGGATTCCTCCTACTTGTGAGATATCCAGAGGCAAAGGTGGATAGCAATGATGTAGGGGTTGGTGGTGCCATGTAATTTGTGGTTTCTGGTGCTCACGCTTTCCAAAGGGATTCCCGCACTTGTGCTGTCCCCGGTAGCACTGAAACTACTCCTATCGACAGTGTCGGCCGAAGTCTATTCTTGACCTCGCCTCCCCGAGACGAAGATGAAACGTCTCTTGTGACATGCTTGTTATAGATGAGAAATCATGTTGGTATTACTCATCCATGGGCTTTATGGTTTAATGGGCGAGGCATCCCGGTCTACTCCAGGGGAAGACCCTGATACCCTGACTCCTTTCAATTTCATTTATTCTCGGATTCCTCCCCCATTAGCATTTAAAAGCACATCCAGCTTTTGGTAGCGAAAGACCCGGTTTTGATGATAATGGACGATGCCAGTAAACGCATCAGCTCATCCTCGTGTACAACTCATGTTCCACAGGAGCCTGAGCAAGAGTTGATACTCGTAAGTCATTATCATATTTCATTTCAAGAAGGTTTACGTTGGTCAGGTTAAATTCGACGAAGGGGACCCACGCGATCCACAAAACTTCTCTTATGCGCGGAAGTGGGCCATCACGCTGACATGTTGTGTGTTTGCTGGAATTACGGGTGACTTCGGATCTTGGTGTCGATGTCATTCTATCTGATATTTGCAACAGCGGCATCAGCGTCATCTTATTCGATCAGTTATGAGTCGATGATGCATGACCTAAATTGTACTCAACTTCAGGCGACCGTTGGACTGAGCTTGTACGTGCTAGGTTTCGGGATTGTCCCTTTGATTTCCTCGTCATTCAGTGAGGTAAGAAGTGACCAGTTTGCGGTCGTTGATCATTAATTGGCATCTGTATTTTAGGAGTGCGGCAGACGACCCCTTTACATCGTGTCATCCGTATTATTTATGCTCGCTGAAGTTATGAATGCGTTGTAAGTTGTCGTGTAATTGCTGCGACAAACGGGCGCTCATCACTGCCAGGGCACCAAACATACAAGTTGTGATTGTGTCGCGTATACTACAAGGAGTCTTTGGCTCGACTGGTGCATCCTTAGTCGGAGGTAGCATCGCTGATATATGGCAGCCGCATGAGTAAGGCAGGATACTTGCGGTAACGTAACTCCCTTGTTGACAAACGTCCCAGACGTGGATTGCCGATGTCTTTGTTTGCATTCTCATCGATATTCTCTTTTGGCCTCGGGTCAGTGTTTGGGGGGCTCATTGCTACCAGTCCACACCTCGGTTGGCGGTGGGTGCAATGGGTGCATGTCATGTGTGTCGAAACAAACTACGTCCTGGTATCTCTTTGAACGTTTCTCTCAGGGTTTCTGGGGCATATGTTCTTGACGTCATCCTGGTGATGAACGAAACCCGTTCGTCTATTGTTCTGGCGCACATCGCGAAGGACACCAGAAAGACGACTGGCGACCCCAGGTATCGGTCCGGCGCTGAAATTGACAGACCAAGCATAAAATCTCTGATGAAGACGTCGTGTACACGGCCCTTGCGTACGCAAAACAATTATTTGCCAAATTTTTCCTAACCTCACAACCATAGATCTACTCTTGACTGAACCTATTGTGCAGAGCTTTAGTGTCAGTGACCATCGATAAGTACCGTCAATAGTGGTTGACGATATTTGATGACAGATCTGGTGTGGCTTCACCTGGGGGGTCGTGTACTGTTTGCTCGAGTGAGTGCCTGTTGACTCCTGAATAGACGTCAGTGGCTAAAATGACTTAAACAAAAGATCGATCACCACGGAGTTTCAGTCTGTCTACAACTTCAGCGTCAGCGAAACAGGATTTGTATTCCTTTGTCAGAGGAAAGTTATTTTATTGCACGTGTGCACCGTATTTGATCTCTCGTCTCAACAGTGTCGGAGCCGTCATTGGGTTCATGGCGAATATGTACCAGGACACCTTGTACAAGTAAGAAAGTCAGTACCAAACATTCGACATGGCTCATGCTATTCAGAAAAAACTTTTCGATAAAAGGCCAAGAAGCACGACTATACATGGCGTGTGTCGCTGCCATTGTCCTGCCCGTCTCAATGTTTATCTACGCGTGGACAGCATCACCTACCATTCCTTGGATAGTGCCTTTGATTGCATTAACTGTACGTCAATTTCTCAACAGTGCTTGAAGTCGATTATTTGACGGATTCACAGGCATTTATGTCTGGCGTCTTCGTAATATTCCAAGTTTCATTTTTGTATCTTGCAGACTGGTATGTGTCTCGCCACACCTATCCTGCAAATGTCTGACGGATAAATCTAGCTACGGACCATATACCTCCTCGGCCCAAGCAGGGCAGAGCTTGTCTCGTGAGTCTGCACTATATATTCATTTCTTCTGCTGAACCAGACTACAAAAGGCAATTTTATGGCTTTGATCTTCCCGCTCTTCACGCAGCAAATGTTCGCTGGTATGACATATAAGTGGGGACTGACACTCTGGGCGCTGATATCGGTGGCGATGGCACCAATTCCATGGGTGTGTAAATTTGCATATATTGTGATTGATGGCGAAATCTTAGAGGTTTCAACGTTTTTCATGCAGGTCATTTTCTTCTTTGGTTCAAAGATCCGCTTGCACAGTAAAGTCTCGCGCAAAATTCTCGAGGCTGAACAGCAGCAATTGGATGGCGAGAAAACTATTGTTTCCAGCCCAACCGAGGAAAGAAGTATACAAGTGTAACGAATTCTTGCTTGGCATATCACCACGACTGTAATGACCCTTCACGTGAACGTCAGCTCATGATTTGATCTCCGATAAATTTCCACAATATATAATCTTATGATGACTTGGAGCGCGGCGTCCACCCGCGTGCGTCTCACGTGCGCTTACTTGACCAATTTCTACTACCACTACCATTCAGAAGCCTACTGACGTTACCATCATTAGCTTCGCTCCATCACTTACAACATTGCCGAGTCCTCGTGCTCACGAAATAAAACTCCACTTTACTTCATTTGGTTGCGAGCACATCATCAATTCCTTATAAGCTGACCCTTTCATCTGCGTCATCTTGCTGTTTGAACACCGCAGCTCCAAAACATGTCGACGTCATTTACGCACAACGAAAAATATAAATTCTGAGTCGTTCTTCATCAGTTTGCCCACGCATCATTTGTGTTTTACGACTTGATCTATTATGCCCGGTTCATCCATGAATCCGTCTTGATGATATTTCACACAGTCGTATACTACAGTGCTGACACTGTAAAAGAAGATGATCAGCTCATAGCAGATCACCCTGAAGCGACACCTGATTTTCTCGCAATTCTCTCACAAAATGGAATTCCAAAGCACGAACTTTATCTCAAGCAGGGCTGTATTTGCTCACTTAGGCGCAATATGTCTGTTCAGAAGGAACTGGTGAAGAATGCACGCCTCATCATACAACAATTGCACCGCCGTTATGTCAAGGTTCGAGTCATCAACAACAGGACAGGTCAACTTGGAGATACTCAATACATCCCCCGCATCCACTTCGAATTCACACCCCCACGCGTAAGTTAGACTGTTCATCGTCTACAATTTCCCCTCCGTCTTGCATATGCAACGACTTTCAATGGTTGCCAAGGTCTAACCCTTGACAAGACCGTTCTCAACCTTCGCTGCGAAGTCTTCGCACACGGTCAACTGTACACAGCCCTTTCACGGATCCGTCAACGAGACGATTCACGCATCCTATTTTCAGAAGACAAACCAAATGACGATTTCAATACGTCCAACGTCGTGTATAAAGAATTGTTATTAGATTTGAACTAGATCCATCCAACGAGCCGCGCAGCGGCAAGCACTTGTATGTAGTATAGGTAAATGCACGCGCCCTCCGATGATGACTATGACTATGACTGAATGGCCATCTACGCCCACATAAGCTCAGATACCTAAGTACGACGCGGTCAGTAATGCAGCGTACATATCGAAATCACAAGTCTCGGTCTTTCCAAAAGTCAATATTATAATAAGTCCCCAGCAATCCCATAATTACACCACACAAAAGCCCACGGAGAAAGCCATTTTCTCACTGGCCTGTAGACATCAATAAGTTAGAAAGAATTTCCTAGACATATGGGTTTCTTGACTATGATGCACCCAGGATGTAGACAGTACAGCTCCGTACTCCAGAGATAGTCACGGTATCTGCATGAGGTATTGTTAATTAGATGGGTCAAGTGAAAGGCAAACAGCAAAACAGAATGTCACACACCGCACTTGGATCAGTAAATAATTGAGCGTGAATTCAAGTGTGTCTCGGCGCCGATCCAAAAATGGATCCACGCTGCATGTCATGCTTACTTACTGCTCGGATTATGTAAATTGATTCGATCAGCTGGTGAGGATCACTGCTGCTAGCAGTAGTAATAGTAGGACGCCGGGCGATAGTGACTCATTTGCGTCGTGTCATGGACCTGCACCTCGTGATCACCCTCGGTGTGTGGAAGGAGGATTTCCGAGCTCTCTGCCGGTCTTTAGTTCCAGATGGCGGTCCATGATCAGCTGGTCCGTACTTCTGCTTCAAGCTTTAATAGTTCACAAATATGTGATTAGTCATACTCGTCATTTCATTGGCTGTCCGGGATCGCGCCAACAGTCTGCAACAAAGGACCTTTCCATCGATCATCCAATTGGATGGCTTGCCGTGGGTGGGCTCGAAAAATGTAGGATGGAGGAAGGCAGCCGCGATGCCGAGCTTCATATACGCTCGATTTGTAATTCAACATTATTTTCTACCCTCCAATAAAACCTTATGTAATCAGATTTTTCAGATTATAATAAACGTACTCTTACCATTTCAGGCCACTAACGCCTGCGATATCAGCTGACATAATGTTGCTACCTTACTACACCCTACTGCGCAGCTGCTCTGGTGTTCCCATGACGAGCAACTTGGCCTCGAGATCTTCTTCCAGGACGTGCATCACCATTCAAGGTGTTAATATCTACACGGGAGATAGGAGTAGTGTACCACTTTTGTGTGAAACCTGCAGTGAGCAAGTATCTGAATGTTGCAACATCAAAACCTGTTATCGTAATAAAGCCACGATCATTTTGACTGTCGTAAAGGGCTTGCCATGGCGTACCCAATCGTGGATTTGGCAGCAGCTTGCAGGGACGAAGGTAAAGACGACTTGGCCGTCGACTTTCGATGTGGTCTTGCCTCGATCTCCGCACCATGATACAAGTATTTGCAAGTCTTCATCCTCTTCTCGCTCTACCATTTCTTCATTGTCCATCATCACAAACTGTAGAGTTTCAGCGTCCGTAAAGTGGATTTATTATATGTTAATCAATGTGAAGTGACTACGGTTTAGAAAGCTGCATAGATTATCGGAATATCAGTGATTTCCAATCGTTTTCAAACTCCGGTATAATCTATTCTGCATTATTTTGCCCACGGCAAGTCCATTCTTAGACTCAGATCAGGAAAAAGTGACTACGTCAACCTACATAAGCATCTCAAAGTAAGACTGGTTATGAGTCTAGCTTGGGACATGCCATGCATGCTCCCCAACGGACGGTGACATCAACGCCACCTCACCCTCACGAGACCGCACACATTTCCTACCAAAATGCATACTTCTGCTTTGATTTGATTCGCCGAAAATCGAAAATTGGAAAACAGCATTGGTTAAGTTAAATGCAAGATGGAACGATCTGACGCCTGATGAATGCCAGGGGCCATCGCCTCAACAGGAACACAACCTTGCTGCGAGATCTTGTTGAGTGCTTTTGGTCCTGAGTCGACAGCTGATTGGAAACATGAATGTTCAGTAGTTCCACACCAAATTACTGATAGATCCTTATAGCTGGCAAGAACTGCTGGCATTGCAGAAATGAATGCACAACTACGTAGGTAAGAAGAATTTCAAAAACCAATATTCAGCGCATAAAAGCCAGCCGTCTTCCTAATATTTCCTTCAGAATGATCTGATCCCACATCACACAAGTCATTAACAATGTGGTTCGTCCTCGCCGTCATTGCTGCTTTAGCATCATCAATCTTTGCCATGCCCGCTGACATGACTGGCGCCTGGCCCCCTAAATGTCCTACTTTTTGCTCCGCTGATGAAGATTGCAAGGACTGCTGTATGCCATGCGTGAGTACAGTAGTTTTCCTGGATTCGAACTTTGATGACATGCTAGTCACCTGCATAGAACCTCGTTTCGAACATCTGCACGTGAGTCGTGTTTCTGCTTTCACATCGGTGCAGTAAGGCCATTGGCACTGACGCGTGAGTTACTAGTGATTGGAACAGTTGATCAACGCGCCGTCAGGAAAACATCGGTGTATTTAGCGTAATTTTCGGTTTTAGAAATGTTAGATGTGACGTGTAAGGACACGAAAAGAATCGCGTGTTGATCAGTACACGGCGCAGTGTCAGTGACTGTTGCTCCTGCTGAATCACCGTGGACGGGCTTGTAGATTGTACAATCATATGGAAACATGGATATTCAGTAGTTCCACACCACATCTACAACATCTATAAGCACGAGATCCCGCGTCCACCACGTCATGCTGTGTTGCTGCGCATCCATGCTTCCTCTTCTTGTTGCAACTCTTTGCTCAGCACCATATATGGCGACTTCTGCTTCATTTCACGGCGTTGTCGGTCTTCAAAACGGAAGCAGCCTAGCAGGTATCAGATTGATAAAAAGAATTTCTGGCGCTATGACAGATTCAATATCAAAGGCGAGTCCTTGTTACTAATAGACCTTAGCTGGCAAGAACTGCTGGCATTGCAGAAATGAATGCACAACCACGTACGCAAGAATTTCAAAAGCCAATATTCAGCACATAAAAGCCAGCCGTCTTCCTAATATTTCCTTCAGAATCATCTTATCCCACATCACACAAGTCATTAATGATGCGTTTCGTCCTCGCCGTCATTGCTGCTTTAGCATCATCAATCTTTGCCATACCCTCTGACATGACTGACACCACTTATTGTCCTGCGGTTTGCAACACTGACGCAGATTGCACGAACTGCTATGACTGGCCATGCGTGAGTACAGTAGTTTTCCTGGGTTCGAACTTTAATGACACGCCAGTGACTCACCTGCATAGGACACTTTTTGGAACATCTGCGGGTGAGCCGTGTCTCTGCTTTCACGTCAGTGCAGACTGCTAACCCGATAAAGGTTTTATAGCTTTGGTTATGACGAGTGAAGAGGTTAGTTAAATGGATCTGCGATTTTGGAAAGGTAAGGGTTAATATACTAGGAGTTAACTGGGTTACAAACTTTTCATTGCAATTAGGGACCTGGTTCCTGTGACCCTCTCCATATATATTGGCTTGGATATTTCACATCTGTATTCGCACTGTCGCATCTGTTTTCAATACCGTCAAATTCTCATTTGCTCGTAATGCAACGTACGTATTGAAATCACAAGTCTCGGTCTTTCCAAAAGTCAATATTATCATAAGTCCCCAGCAATCCATAGTCACACCGCACAAAAGCCCATGGAGAAAGCCATTTCCTCAGAGGCCTGTAGACGTCAATCTAGAAAGAATTTCCTAGACGCATAGATTTCTTGACTATGATGCACCCAGGATCTAGACGGGTCGAGTGAAAGGCAAACACCAAAACAGAATATCACATACCGCACTTGAATCAGTAGATAATTGAGTCAGCTTCAAGTTTGTCTCGGCGCCGATCCAAAAATGATTCCACGCTACATGTCATGCTTACTTACTACTTACTCGGACCAAATTGATTCAATTGTAGTGATAGTAGGACGCCGGGCGATAGCGACTCATTTGCGTCGTGCCATGGACCTGCCATACCTCGTGTTCGATCACCCTCGGCGTGTGGATTCTGGAAAGAGAGTACTTGATTTCCAAGCTTTCTGCCAGTACCTTTAGTTCCATATGGCAACCCATGATCAGCTGGTCTTCTGCTTCAAGCTTTAATAGTATGAATAGTCATACTCGTTATTTCATTGGCTGTCCGGGACCGTGCCAACAGTCTGTAACAAAGGACCTTTCCATCGTGTAACCGGGCCGAGTTATGTCACTATCAATGATTATGTAATGTTGATTCGGGCTTGCGATTTACGTGGTAGGCCGCCGTCCGCTTCACGAATCACGACACACACGTAGTGACCACCATCATGATGATAATGCCACTTGCCAACGAACGTAAAGCATACAGTACCGTTCTGCCTCATCTAAGCTTTTGCCGGGGCAATATGATTACTATGGTGGGGTCTCTCGCGACCGCCTTCACGTCCCCGCAAGTAGTAGTGGCAGATAGTCCGTAGACAGCCTATCACACTGAATTTCCATCATTCAGGTGCGTGTAGCATTCTTGTGCCCTGATTCAGACGATGACTAACCCTCTAAGCTCAGCTTAATAATTTTTTTGACATCCACTCGCAGACCGCCTCGGCCCTCGATTTCTCAAGCTGCGGTTGATAGGTACCTTCGTACACTCATGCATGAACTGCTGCATACCTTACAATAAAAACTGAGTTTCTGGCCACTAGCCCTGCACTTTCATGAAGTCGGTGCAGATTTACTTGTTGTGTCCAGTTCGGTGAAGGAAGGCAATGCTAGTTGTGGTAAATGAAACATCTTATCGGTTCAGCATTTGTGCTCCAGAACACTGACGTAGTTGCAGCGTTATTTCCTTCTGGGTCGTCTTAACAGAATCGAATGGGTCCGCTATCCTAATGAGGCGATGGTGGCGGCCTCGTGCCAATAGAAATTCTATAACGCGTGTGGAGTGTTGAGGTATTTGATTTCTATATTATATTATCCTCCCCGCGGGCGTATGCCGGATGTCCCTGTATACTCTTGCAGTATGTGGTCGGTGGGTTTCCTGGATTTACTAATCGCGTTCTGTTCCTTAGGTAAGTTATCAGTATTTGCCCTGAGTGCGATAAATCATTCTCTATGTGTTGCCAGTGGAACTGATTATCTTCGTAACAGGGTGAATATTGTGATTTTTATCTATATTTCGAGCGCGCTGTCAACGACACGAGCCGAATAGTTGACTATCAAACTTTCAAAAAGTCCCTAACAAGACAGCTGTTATCATGCCGTCAGGTATTTGTCGTCAAAAGTAGCCTGCTGCTGCGACTCTACACAACAGAATTTTTGGTTATCGGCCCGTTGTTCGTTGTACGTGTAGTGTTGCGGGCCTGAATCGACTTTTCTGGACTCACACGATTCATGCTTTTTAAGCGTAAGCACACTTTCCTTATGAGGAACCTTCCCTTATAATGACCCTATGACTCCTTTTCATTACCTAGTAGAAGCAGGGATAGGCGGCTGATAGCGTCTGTAATGATGACCTTGACAAATTGATAGACCTGTGCCAGGGGTTTGCCAGGGTCAATCATATCTACCCCAATCACTGCAACTCGATCACGATACCTAACAAGATTATTCATTGTTCTAGGTTCTGTCATATTTGCTCCATTCATCACGCTCCTCCGCACAATCGACAAGATAGAATTGCGGGTGCTACTATTCATCCGTATGACTGTACCTGACGGCATCCTGTTCCAATTTTGCTAATCACCGCCCCGCATGACATCCTCAGGCCAGAATCCCCCCTACTAGTGAGATGGATAGAGGGGAGAAATATACAGCTAACATGTAGAGGTTAACGGTGTCATGAATTTGTAGTAACGAGCTCACGCTTTGAAAAGGGACTCCTGTACCATTGTCGTTCTCGGTTACACTGCTCCTACTCCTATTGACAGTGTCGGCCGAAAGTCTAGACTCAATCAGAGTCAATCTCGCCTCCTCAAGACAAAGACCAAAAAAAATTCTCGTGATAGGTGAGGGATGCTGGTATTACTCATGGATGGGCTTTATGGTGTAATAGGTGAGGCATCACGGTCCACAACATGGAAAGACCCTGATACCCTAATGTTTGTCGCTATTATAGACCCTGCTCCGTTGACTGTTAAAAGCCCAACCAGCTTCCTATCGAAAGACCAAGTTCTAATGATAATGGGCGACACCGGTAAACGTATCAGCTCAGCCTCACGTATAACTCATGTTCCACAGGAGCAAGAGTTGATACTTGTGAGTCATTATTGCAATTCTCTTCCACATCCAGAAATGTTGACATTGTGCAGATCAAATTTCACGAAGGAGACCCACGGGATCCAAGAAATTTCTCTTATGCGCAGAAGTGGACTATCACTCTGTTAGCTTGTGTATTCGCTGGAATCACAGGTTAGCTCGGTCGTCAGTGTTGGTGCGCTTCTATCTAATAACTCCAACAGCAGCTGCATCGTCATCATATTCGATCAGTTATGAGTCAATGATGGGGGACCTGAATTGTACTCGACTTCAGGCGACTTTGGGACTGAGCTTGTACGCGATAGGTTTCGGGATTGTCCCTTTGATCTCTTCGTCATTCGCTGAGGTAAGAACTGGCCCTATTTTAGTGTCGTTAGACATAACCGCATCTGTGTCTCAGGAGTGCGGCAGACGACCTGTTTACATCATGTCGTCTGCTTTGTTTTTTCTCGCTGAAGTTATGAATGCGTTGTAAGTTGTCATGTAATTGTCACAACAAACAGGTACTAATCACTGGCAGGGCGCCAAATATACAAACTGTGGTTGTGTCGCGTGCACTACAAGGAGCCTTTGGTGCATGTGGTGCATCGTTGATTGGAGGTAGCATTGCTGATATATGGCAGCCACACGAGTAAGGCAAAATACCTGTGGTAGCTCCATTATTGACACTGCCCCAGACGTGGATTGCCAATGTCTCTGTATGCATTCTCGTCCCTATTCTCTTTCGGTCTCGGGTCAGCGCTTGGAGGACTCATTTCTGCCAGTCCGCACCTCGGATGGCGGTGGGTGCAGTGGGTGCATGCCATGTGTGTCTACAAAACTACATGTTTTAGACTCTCGTTAAATTTTCTTGTCAGGTTCACTGGGGCATTTATGCTTGGCGTCATCTTGGTGATGAGCGAAACCCGTTCATCGATTATTCTAGCCCACATTGCGAAGGACACCAGAAAGATGACTGGTGACCCCAGGTATCGGTCCAGCGCTGAAATTGACAGACCGAGCATGTCATCTCTCATTAAGACGTCGTGCACACGGCCGTTGTGTAAGCAAAATAATCATTGGCGGAGTTCTCCCTCACACGACTCCAGATCTTCTTTTCACAGAACCTATTGTGCAAAGCTTTAGTGTTAGTGACTTATGATCGCTGTGTGCCACCAATGGCAGTTAACGTTATTTCATGGCAGCTTTGGGTCGGTTTCGTTTGGGGGGTCGTGTACTGCTTGTTCGAGTAAGTACCATTGATTTTTGGATAAAATTTTGGTTGCTAAAGTGAGTGACGCGAAAGATCCGTCACTACAGAATTTCAGTCTGTCTACAACTTCAGTGTTCGTGACACAGGGTTTGTACTCCTGTGTCAAAGGAAAGTCATTATATTGCACACATGCAGCGCATCTGATCTTTTATCTCAACAGTGTCGGAGCTATCATAGGTTTTTTGGCGAACATGTATCAGGAAACCTTGTACCGGTAAGACAGTCAACACATGACATTCGTCATGACTCATGCTATCCAGAAAATACTTTCCGATAAAGGGCCAAGAAGCACGGCTATACATGCCATGCGCTGCTGCTGTTGTTCTTCCCGTTTCGATGTTCATCTATGCATGGACGGCATCACCCAACATTCCTTGGATCGTGCCTCTGATTGGGCTAACTGTGCGTTGCAGACATGTCGTTTCTCACAATGTTCAAGTTCCTGATCCGTATTCACAGGCATTTATGTCTGGTGTCTTCGTAATATTTCAAGTTTCATTTTTGTATCTCGCAGACTGGTATGTGTCTAGACGCATCTATCCTGCAAATGTTTCATGTATAAACCTAGCTATGGCCCATTTGCCTCCTCGGCTCAAGCGGGACAGGGCTTGGCTCGTGAGTCCCCACTTCCTCCTCATTCATTCTATTTAACTAAGGAACCAAAGGAAACATAATGGCATTGAGTTTCCCGCTCTTCACACAACAGATGTTCGCTGGTATGACATATAAATGGGGACTGACGCTCTGGGCGTTATTATCCGTGGTGATGGCACCAACTCCATGGGTGGGTAAATTTGCCTACATGGCGATCAGTGCTCACAGGTTTCACTTTGTTTTTCACGCAGGTCCTCTTCTTCTATGGTTCAAAAATTCGCTCTCGTAGTAGGGTCTCTCGTAAGATTCTCGAGGCTGAACGGGACGGCGACACAACTGTTGCTTCTACTCCTACTGAGGAAAAAAGCATGCAAGTGTGACGAATTCTTGGTTGTCGTATCAAAACAGCTGTAATGCTTTCATGATAAAATCACGACCTGCCCCTGTTAGATATATGTAGACTGCAGGTGAAATGAAAGACTTCCCGTAGGCAAAATATTATCTCCGAAAACAATTTCCAGATTACCCAATAAGATATTCATACGAAAAACCAAACCGTTGGTCAACGGAGTATCATGGATGAATATTATATATCAGTATCAAACGCCCCCAAACGAGATAGAGATGGAAGTAATTGAAGAAGAATCTGCACTCATTGTTGGAGCTGCTGTACTGGTGGGAACCCCTTCCAAATCAACGGATGAGTACCACGTATGCCACACGCACAGAAGGTAGAGTGGGAGAATAAAAAAATTTCGAGGAGACTTCGCATCGGACGCCAGTTGTCCGTCCTAGGCTGCCACTGTGATGTTGAAACATAAGGAGTAGTACCGCTGTCCCTGTAGCGAGCGCTAAGGTCAGGCTCAGAATTCAACTCATCATAAAGCGTCCAAACCAGTGCCTATAATCATAGCACTCAGGCAGTATACTAAGCCGGAATAACGAGTGGAAGGATTTGGTACAGTGAAAAGGATATTAATCGTCGGAGGAGTTGAATATGTTGCACTGGCATACATAATTCTTCGCGATGTACGGATGCCTCAAAATCACTCATACCGTGTGTTGTGGACCCATAACAATCGTTTATCCTAGTCAGACCTTTCGGGACGGATGAAGACAGTCGTCCCCTGTAAAATTTCTAAAAGCATTCCAACAAGGAGCATAAAGATCGAGAAGATTCAAGGAGGGTCGGAACTACTCACACTGTGTACTATTGTGGACCTGTGTTAGAGTTGTGACATAACGTGGTCTCCTGCCAGATCTTCGGGGCCGGTCGATCCTTATAAAGGCATGACACATGGCACAGTGATGGTATGCCGCATACAGGTTGAGACCCAAGGAAGTCCAACACGTTGTGTACTTTCGGGGTTCCAATGGATAGGTTCTTCCTAAAATGCATACCCATAACCACGAAAAATATAAGTTATTCAACATATAAAAGCAAAGTTCCTACTAACCCTCCGGATTTATTTGATCACATTGCATCCTCACACACAATGCGTTTCTCCGAGTCCTTTGCAACTGTCCTCGCCTTCGTTGCTGCTTTAGCATCATCAATATCTGCCATGCCCACTGATACTAGCATTGGGTACTGTCCCGTGTTTTGCCACAAGTCTAGTGAATGTAAAACCTGCGTTAACTACAAATGCGTGAGTTTCAGTGGTTTGTGTCTTGGATTTAACCACATGACTCACCGGCATGGAAGACCTTTATCGTATGCACGACATGACTATTGTTAGAATTTGGACTACTGCACGAAGGGAGATGGGTTTTGTCGAACGAGCAGTTCAAGGTTGACTGCAATTCGTGGGAAAGCTGGTGTCACTTGTGAAGTTCGTTCACTTCAACATTTAATGGTTCTAACTTCTCTGGTCCTACCATATTAATATAGACTATGCGGCAGCGCTCAGGCTAGTGCTGTTAACAGAGCTCTGGAGTTTTGCCAACTGGTCTGGCAAAACTGGTTGTGCCTGGCCCACGGCAGAACTCAGGTGCAAAGGGGGTGGCAGAACGTGGAGGGCATTCAAGACTCGCAGAGATATAATTTAGGCTCTGTATGATGACACAGATGGGTTGAATTCGATAGAGCCCAAAAACCCACTGTTGACTAGGACTCCCTAAGGTAAGTCTATTGGCGGCCAAACAGACAGCATTTCCTGGTGGAAAATCTATCCAATCAATTCCAAAATTCACCCACTCAAGGTCTTTGCTGTGATGATCCTCTCAATAAGTTATCAGGCATGCAGGCGAAGTAGAGCGCACATTCTCTGATCTCGGTACAACACAATCTGCGCAAGGGTGTCATCTCTCAGTCGACACATTCAAAACACTTGGAAAAAAACGTTCAAACCTTCGACACCACAACGTATGCGTCGTTTCGGCTACATTGGGTACGTCGAGTGTCACTAATATGGCAGTTATGGAGTGCATATAGTATTCGTGACAAGACCGACTAGTTTTTTCTCGATGCTACGTCATGCCAGCAAGGAGCATGCAGGTCAAGACTCAAAGAAGTTCAAAACTCGCTCACATCATATACTTTAGGGGTTCCGATGGATCAAACGATAGATAGGCTCATTCCAAAATACATACCCATAACCACGAATAACACTATAATAGCAGGGTGTCTTCCCACTAACTTTCAGATTTATTTGAACCCATATCATATCTTCACTCATAATGCGTTTTTCTTTTGCAATCGTCCTCGCCGCCGTTGCTGTTTTAGCATCATTAATCTCTGCCATGCCCGTTGAAGCGGACGGCGAGAGATGTCCATTCTTTTGCATTACGAATAAACAGTGCAAAAAATCCTGCCAGCAAACCGAATGCGTGCGTTTCAGTGGATTGTGTCTTGGATTTGACGACGCAACTCACCGGCATTGAAGTACTTATTTTATCATGTTCGACATGGTGTTATAGTCACGGTCCGATGCAAAGTTCAAATGGAATTCCTGGTGGATATTATGCTAGAAAAAGTCGGGAGCAGAAAGTCGAGACCCGAGACTCGTATTTAGATCTATAGCTTGGAAGTTGTAGTTCATCACGGTACCGGTGGAATAGGACCAAGATGTCACTGCATCGCCTACATTGGGTACATCGAGTAAAAGATGTAGGCGGGTGTCACTAATATGGTAGCTATGGAGCGCATATATTTCCGATCAGGCCGACTACCGATGCTTGGTTTTTCCCTAATGGACTAAGTCATATCAGCAAAGAGCATACAGGCTGAACGTTGAGACTCAAAAAAGTTCAAAATTCCATACTTCACTGGTTCCGATGGAGGATAGGTTCCTCCTAAAATGGATAGCCATAATCACCAAGTCCAACATATAAAAGTAAGGTGTCTTCCTACTAGCCCTTCAGATTTATTTGATCCCACATCACGTCCTCACTCGCAATGCGTTTCTCCTCTGCAGTTATCCTCGTCGTTGTTGTGGCTTTAGCATCATCAATCTCTGCCATGCCGCTCATTGACGAGCCCGACCAATGTGGGGCTTGTACTAGAAATTATCAATGCAACGGCTGCGGTCGCGAAACATGCGTGAGTTTCAGTGATTTGTGTCTTGGATTTAACGAGATGACTTACCGGCATGGAAGTACTTCAATCATTGCATTTGATATGGTATGGCCCGATGCAACGTTCAAACGGAGTTCCTGACGTCCGTCATGCCAGAAAGAGTCGAGAGCAGAAAAGTCGAGACAGCGTGGAAGTTGTAGTTCATCGTGGTAGCGGAAGTTGTCACTGCAGCATCAGATGAAGGAGCGGTCATGGTGTTCTACGACATTCAACTTGACTTGGAATTGATCGTTGATGTCATGACAACTCGGAGTGACTCACAAAGGTTCGGTTATGACTCAACCAAGGTCTCGGACTCTAGTTTTGATGTCCAATTACACGTAGTGGACGAGTACTGGACAGGATTTTCTCGACAAACGTACAAGCGAATGGACTTGTTGCTTATATGGCCCGGCCCGGGACATGGACGGACCATATATATCCACTAGCTTCAATTTTAAGAGGATAAGGTAAACATGCCGAAATTCAACTCGGTTCACTGAGCAGAGAAATGAAAACTTTATCATTGCTGTGACGCGGCAGTCATACCTGTGAGTTTTGTTCTGATAACAAGTCGCACGGCACAGGCACGAACAAACAAACCATTCAAACCGGAACGACGTCGCAGTGAGAAGACAAGTTTCATTAGACCGAGCCGACGTAAACTACTCGAAACAAACCTTAGTGTCGACAACTTACGTTGTGGAAATATTACTCCATATTATCACAGATTGATATTTTGTTTCTGATAACAAGTGCATCAGCGCACGATCCAGGCGCCAACAAAAACTCACGGAAATATTCAAGTATCTGGTATGATGTTTGAGAAGGCAAGCTGATTTACTCGAAGCGTTCTACAACTACATAGAACGTCAACAATTTTGCCAAATCATTAGCGGCTTACGTCGTGGTAGAAAATAGAAATATGGAGAAGCCGATAGCACTGAGGCCAATAGATCGGAGTCGTTCAGACACCGCGATGTGCGCCTCGAAGGATGAAACACACACATCTCGAGACGTGCAACGCGGTGAGAAGCGGGGGTGTGTGGAACCAGGAATGGAAAATTTGAGGACAATAACACTGTGATGAAAGATGAGGGTGATAAAGCGTGGTTTACGATGTTCGGTTTATGCGCTGGCGGCTGGATAGAAGTTCATAATAAGGTCGTTTCGAAGATATAGTCACGACGATAATAATGAAATTAATGATCGCGACGAGACTGAGCCGATGAAGAACGTACGATAGGTAGGCAGCGATAGAGGAGTGATTCGATTGGGGTGGAAGTACTCGTGCTTGCAGTAAAGGTATGTGAGAGAGGAAGTGTTAAGTTGATTTGCAGGCTGCGGTGAAAACCGTTCATGCCAACAAAGGACCCGCAGCTGAGCGCTGAGCCTGGGAGTGAGGAAACAATGAGTGCAAACGAAGATCAACAATAAAAAATTTAAAGTCAGCGAATTACGAAATAGGCAAGTGTTGTTGTACATACGAAAAGAGTACAATGGTTAGAACGACAAAAGACTGAAGTATGTTATTGTTTCTATTCGAGAGCTTGAATGGATATATACTAGACCTCACTGCGAATTTTCATCCGCACTTCAGTTCACATACAACATGAATACACGTGAGTTATGACTCTATAACTTTGAGGACCAAGTAACCTAACCTCGTTATAGTTTTCGCTCGTGCATCATTGAAGCGCAGCTCTCGTACTCGCACCAGAAAGAACTCAATATCAGACGCTGGCTGTCCACCATCCTGCTCAAATTCAACAGTTCTCCAAATAATACCAGAGTGCTCAGAAAATGACTCCCCACGCGTCACTCTCTCTGCATTCACATTCTCCATCGACGATGCCTTACTCATGCTCAATGACGCACCTCGTTCACCCGCTCTCTCTGCATCCTCTTCCACAGATGACGGCAACTCCGAAATGCTCGCTACCCCAGGTGCATCAGACGACGACGACTTTGCCGACCTACCTCTCCCAACTCCCCGTCTGAGACCAAAGCGCATCAGCATTCGTCCGCTCTGCATAACCAAGACCCATTCTGTCGTTGAGGACGTCTCAGAGACCATCGATGCTCATGAAGAGGAAGACGAGTACGATTTCTACACACGCCAATTCGAGGACTTCATCTCCATATACTCGCCCTCTTCTAACCCCATCTCTGCACCAGCACCTGCACGCCCAGACTCTATCATCCTCTCACCAGAAGTAGCACCCCAGTTGCCTGTCGAGGTACCTAAACCACGCGGACGCAGCCGTTTCTCAAAAGCTCTCCCACTCCTTCCTCTCCCTACCCCGCCCCCAACAACTCTCCCACCCGTTCCACAGCTCCCAGCCTCGGTATCGACCATCCGAAGAAAACGCGTCATCCCACCCTTGCCCATGTACCCACCTCCCCCACCTCCAATCGAAAGCCGTCCCCCTCCTCGTATGGCTGTCCCCTCTGACATCGAAGACGATATCTTGTTCGAGGAAGAGAACCAAGAGCCCACTCGTCCACTCGTCATAGAACAGGTATGGTTCGACGACGAGGAAGATTCCATCTATTCCCAGCCTTCCTTCGTACCAGGCCAAAACATCCACCCCATCTCACCAGCAGTCCCCGAAACATCCATGAACGAGGTGTACCTCCCCCGCGCAAGCACCGACTCTGATGCCCCACGCTCGTCTCTCGATTCTTTTTCAAGCAGCCAGTCCCACTCCTCTTTTTCATCTTCAAGCTCGTTTGAAGAAAGGAGCCCCATCTCGCCATTCTCCTTCCCTCCCACTCCAAGATCTGAGACCCACCAACTCCGCAGTCGATGGAGCTGCTCCACGATATCCTCACTGGCTGCTGAACCTCCACGTACGATTCTAAGTCCGTTGCGTGGGGTGTTTGTGTCGAAATCGAAATTGAAGTCGGGATCAGGATCAAGGCGGGCACCTCTTCTGCTTCCGATCATGTCTTCGCCTCCCCGTTCTCGCGCATCACCCAGTTCATCGCCGCTACAAACGCTAACCAACACCCAAACCCAAACGCGTACGCAGAGTCCATACACAATGCCTCTAACGCGAATGGTATTCCCCGCAACGCCCTCTCCACCCAGTACACCCACCCCCAGACACATCCGCCGCCAAAACTCGCGCTCATCGACGTCTTCTGGATCGTCTGAAAGCGGGAGCTGTGAGAGCAGCGGTGGTGCGGGGTTGAGGAGGAAGCCGATTCCTGTTGAGATGTTTTTAAGGGCTTGAGGTATGGGGTGGATTCCATTTTCGTGGTTGTTTTCTTCGGCGTTTTGTTCTTTGTCGTTTTTGCTTTTGCTTTTGTTCAATGTTTTCGATGTCTCTTTGCTCTCGTTTATGACGATGACGACGATTCGTAATTATTGTATTCATCATCATCACTCGCAGCTCGCTTGTTCACGCATATTGTTATTCATACTGTACCTGGACCCTCTGTCACTTTGCATCTAGTCTTTCGTTGATTTCTGTTGCATGTCTTTCCAGTCTGAGTCTCTTACACGTTTCCTCCATCTCTGACACGTCTTCCCGTTCGTCACGTTTCTACACACATTCTGTCTCTGTCTCCATAGCATAGTCTCCTTGTAGCCTAGTTCATACTACGATGAAATTTATCCGATGTTTCGATGTTTCCTTGCAGGACGTCTTCGTTTAGGGGCAGTCTGGGGTCACACCGTGGGAAAAAGTGACGCTTGTTCAACCCACCACTGAGGATACCTAACGCGAGGTATCCCTTGCGTATTTCGTGGGGCCACACAATACCTGTTCCGAAAAATGAGTGATTGGTGCTAACATCTTCTACCAAGGCCGCATGACTGATAGTACCGATTATGCGGTAGTACCAGTTATACGGCCTTGGTAGTCTGGTACCGCTCACCCCATCTACCAAGTACTTGGTAGATTCTTGATTGTGTAGAGCATGTTCCAAGCTTAAGCTTAAAGCCCTGCAGAATCAAAAATCCACACAGATGCTCATTAACATTGCTCATAGTCAGACCAGGCAGCTTTCAAATTACTAAAGCTCAGTCTGACCATGAGTCCTAACGAAGAATTCGACGCGTTCTGGAAGACTCGCCCGCATGCAGGTGCGTTTTGACTGTTTGATGTCGTGTGCATTTAGACAACATGCAGCTAGGTCCATTCCATCCAACTCGAAGGTGCCGGCCAACGTGCCTGGACAGGCGCAACCGCAACCGCAGCCGCAGGTTCCCAACAACCTGGCTACATGAATCAAGGTGCTCATGGTGAGTATGGACTCAGCACACCCCTCCTCTCCTTCCAAGGAAGAGATGGATGCAGTGTCATTGTTGAGACGAGTCAAAAGTCGATGTTAGGCCCAGGTATGTTTTTCGACGGTCATCGATATTGTGCATACACGCTTGAAGCAGCCTTCCCTCTCAGATTCACATTGTGCCTATCTACAGTTGTTGAAAAAACAATCATACGTCAAAAGTCAAGACCTAGGTATGTTTTTTATTAGGTCCATCGTGCATTGTACGTTCTACAAGCCTGTCCAAGGTGATTCGGCAGGAGCAACAGTCACTGAAACTGTGCCGTAGAATAAGTACGCTCCTCGATAGGATTCTTTGTGCCCTTACACATCATATCCAATATTTCCCAATCGAACGAAAATGACGCCGGCTCCACCGATGTCTTCCTGACGGCGCGTTGATCAACGACCAGGCTCGTTGCCACTAATAACTCATGCATCAGTTCCAACAGACATACTGCACCGATATGAAAGCAGAAACACGACTCACAAGCAGCCGAGCGAAACGAGGTCCTATGCAGGTGAGTCACTGGCATGTAATCAAAGTTCACACCCAGGAAAAGTACTGATACTCACGCAATTCGGCACACTGCAATAATCGCAATCTGAGTTTTTTTGGCAAAAAGAAGGACAATAATACTGGGGGAGTTTAGTCGCGTCAGCCGGAATGGCAAAGATTAATGATGATAAAGCAGCAATGACGGCGAGGACGAAACGCATTGTTTATGACTTGTGATAATATGGGATCGGATAATTCTGAAGGAAATAGTAGGAAGACGGCTGGCTTTTATGTGCCGAACATTGTTCTTTGAAATTCTTCTTGCATACGTGGTTGTGCATTTAAATCGGGGGTAAAATTTGTTTTCGCAGATTTAATCTATGAGGCAATTTCAACGACCGTGACCGCGCATCGGCACGGTCCATACACCGCTGTGCTTACTACGTGGCTTCAAGCCCCTCTCTTGGTGTATATCTGGGCACCTGCGCTCAGGTGAACCGCATCTTTTCTGTTTTGCCGCCGTGAAGTAGAAAAATTTCGCTACCTAAGTACCACATATATATGCCTCTCCCTTCTTTTCGTAGATAGTGATTTACACTCTCGACTCGGAACTTAGTGCTGAGGGTGTCGCGCTCCTCCTACTTCATGTTCTCGATGCTAGACTTGCAAGTCGAACGTAGAACTAATTAACAGATGCATATCTGAAATGCCAGCAGTTCTCGTCAGCTAATGTCTATTAGCAATTTGGTGTGGACTTCGCGATTTTACGGATGGCACTCCTTTGCCACCTTATATATGCAGTGTACCGAGTAGAATGAGGCAAAATAAGCGCACCGACGTTTTCTTGATGCAGACTGTCTGTACATTGTTTTTTCGGTGACATTATCTCCTCCAAATGGCACTTCGCCATGTAGCGCATAGATACGAGTCTAGCTTGGGAGTACGAACACAGTGTGACAGTGACATCAATGCCACCCTGGCACCGTGACGAACCAACTTCCGATCGTCCTCAACTCTCACCCCGTCTACCAAGTGCTTAGTAGATTCTTGATTGTGTAGGAGTGTTCGAAGATAAAGCTTCAACTTTTGCAGAATCAAAAATTCCCACAGATGCTCATTAACATTGCTCACGGTCGGAACAAGCATCTTTACCAAAGTTGCTCAGTCTGACCCTGAGTCCTGACGAAGAATTCGACGCGTTCTGGAAGACTGTAGCCTGCAGGCAGGTCAGTTTTCAACTGTTTGATGTCGTGCGCATTGGATAACCTATAGGTCCATCGTTGGTGAATCGAGGCCAACGTGCCTGGACAAGCACTGTAACAACCTCGCCGCATGAATCGAGGTGCTCACGATGGGTGTGGTAATATGCTCAGAGCGCATTCCAGATACACCCCCCCCTCTCATTCCAAGGAGATCTCTTGGAAGAGATGGATGCAGTGTCATTATTGAGACGTGTCAAAAGTCGAAGTTAGGCCCAGGTATGTTTTTTGACGGTCATCGATATCGTGCATACACGCTTGAAACAGCTTTCCCTCTCAGAGTCACATTGTGCCTATCTACAGTTGTTGAAAAAACAATCAAACGTCAAAAGTCAAGACCTAGGTATGTTTCTTTTATCAGGTCCATCGTGCATTGTACGATCTACAAGCCTGCCTAAGGTGATTCAGCAGGAGCAACAGTCACCGAAACTGCACCGTGGACAAATAAGCACGCTCCTCGATAGGATTCTTTGTGTCCTTACACATATCCAACATTCCTCGGTCAAACAAGAATGACGCTGGCTCCACCGATGTCTTCCTGACGGCGTGTTGATCAACTCTCCGAACTACTACTAACTCATGCATCAGTGCCAACAGACATACTGAATCGATGTGAAAGCAGAAACACGACTCACGTGCAGGTGGCCGTAGCGGCATTCTATGCAGGTGAGTCACTGGTATGTCATCAAAGTTCACACCCAGGAAAATTACTGATACTCACGCATTGCGGCAAACCGCAGCCATTGCAATCTGCGTCACTGAAGCAAATCCAAGGACATTTAGGGGCGTGAGTCACGTCAGCTGGCATGGCAAAGATTGATGATGATAAAGCAGCAATGACGGCGAGGATGAAACGCATTTTTAATGACTTGTGGTAATATGCGATCAGACAATTCGGAAGGAAATAGTAGGAAGATGGCTGGCTTTTATGTGCTGAATGTTATTTAAAATTCTTGCGTGCGTGGTTGTGCATTCAAACAGATGCCAGCAGTTCTTGCCAGCTAAGGTCTATTACACAGCAATCTGGCACATGTGGAACTACTTGTCGGAAATTTACACAGGCGCCTTGTAATGTTTCCATCATTTAGCCGTATTACATCCGCGATGCAAGGTTCTTCCAAGCAACACCGGAGGGCGCAAATACACGCACGTCGCAAACCCCTGCATCAAGGTCCAATGTCAATATTGTAATGAGTCATACACATCTAGAGGCATCAAGTCGCACGAGCAAACTCCACGATACCTTCATGCACGATTCTAAGTCCATTGCGGCAGGTGGGGTGTTTGTGTCGAAATCGAAGTTGAAGTCGGGGTTGGGATCACCGGGTGTTACCTCCTCCTCTGCTTGCGCTCATGTCTTCATCCCCCCGTTCTCGCGCATCACCCAGTTCATCGCCACTACAAACGCGAACCAACACCCAGACCCAAATGCGTACGCAGAGTCCTTACAAAATGTCTCTAACGCGAATGGTATTCCACGCAACACCCTCTTCACCCAGTACACCTACATCCTCCGCCAAAACTCGCGCTCATCGACATCTTCTGGGTCGTCTAAAGGCAGTGGTGGTGCGGGGTTGAGGAGGAAACCGACTCCTGTTGAGATGTTTTTGAAGGCTTGAGGTGTGGGGTGGATTCCATTTTCGTGATGGGTTTCTTCGGCGTTTTGTTTGTTCTTCGTCATTTTTTTTTGCTTTTGTTGAGTGTTTTCGATGTCTCTTTGCTCTCGTTAATGATGATGACGACGATTCGTAATTATTGTATCCATCATCATCACTCACAGCTCTTTCATTCACGCATATTGTTATTCATACTGTACCTGGACCCTCTGTCACTTTGCATCTAGTATCTTTCTTTTTCGTTGACACGTCTTTCGTTGATTTCTGTTGCATGTCTTTCCAGTCTGAATCTCTTACACGTTTCTAGATACACATTGTCTCTCTTTCAACAGCGTAGTCCCCCTGTAGCCTAGTCCATACTACGATGAAATTTATTCGATGCTTTGATGTTTCATTGGAGGGTTTTTTTAACACCATCGTCTAGGGGTAGAGGTCGGTGATCTGGCATGAGTAACAATCGTTGAAACGCTGTGAACTGATCAGCACGCTCCTCAATAGGATTCGTTTTGTGTGCTTACGTGTTATATCCAAATTCCTTCGGGACAGTCGAAGGAAAAAAAAGTGGATCCTCGAACCGGTAGTGTTTTGACGGCGAGTTGTAGCACTCTCTGTACTATTAGTAACTCACGTGTCAGTGCCAACGGGTACTGCACCAATGTGAAAGCGGAAACACGACTCACGTCAGGTCCGGGAGTCCCAAACGACCTTCTATGCAGGTGAGCCACTGGCATGTCATCAAAGTTCACATCCAGAAAAACTACTAATACTCACGCGCATGTCTGAAAGGACCTCCTATGCAGTTGAGTCACTAGCATGTCATCAAAGTTCACACCCAGGAAAACTACTAATGCTCACGCGCATTTCGCAAACGATGTCCTATGGAGGTGAGCCACTGGCATATCATCAAAGTTCACGCCCAGGAAAACTACTAATACTCACGGATTGGCATTGCGGCGTCGCGTCAGCTAGCACGGCAAACATTGATGATGATAAAGCAGCAATGACGGGTCGGCGAGGACAAAACGCATTGTTTATGACTTGTGGTTATATAATATGGGATCAGATAATTCGGAAGGGGATAGTAGGAAGACGGCTGACTTTTATGTGCTGAATGTTATTTGAAATTCTTGCGTACGGCCCGTGGTTGTGCATTCAAATAGATGCCAGCAGTTCTTGCCAGCTAAGGTCTATCACACAGCAATCTGGTGTGGAGCTACTGAACAGGGCGTAGCTATTTTGACGCGGTCCTGCCGCGCCTGCTGTGGTCGTGACGCGGCACTGATGCGGCCACTGACGCACTAGTGCAAGCATTCCTTTGAACAGAGCAGGTAATATTTTCCTTACTTCAAGTCCACTCTCGCTGCAATCTCTTCCCAGAACCCACTGATTAGGAATGCAGGGTAGCTTATCATGAGATCATCAACCCATTCTCCGAGCTACGCAATACTTCATGTTAAGAGGACCAAGTACATAACCAGTCAATGTCACTCACGCGAATCTCACGTCTCTTAACTTGGTCCTGTCAGAGTTCGTCCACGAGATCTCCTTGCTCGGCAGAGTCACTAGGAGGTGATCCGAGACTGGATGGGAATTTGCAACTGCGCCACCGAACCCACCTGCCAGCGTACTCGGTTGCGTGAGATAACAGGGAGACAGGTTGCAAAGATGTTGGGGAGAACTTGTCTGAATCTGTCGTGGTATGAATAGTGCTTGACCTAGCCTGGCTGAAGCTTGACATTGCAAGGTTGGGGCTTGACGTGGTAGTACAGAGTACAGAGGCTGCATCAGACTTGACAAGGTGGGGTCGAGGTTTGACACAGTGAGACAATACTTCACACTGCTATCTGACAACAAACATTGGAATCTGGCATTGCATATGAGGCTAGGAAAAGTAGACTGCGACTCACGAAACCGTTGAGAGGGGGTTCATAATGCAGTCACTACGTGCATATGAGTCAACACACACAGGCCTGGAGTCCTTGGTCGCAAATCGTAGTTATTGGATTGCATATTAACAAATTCCGTGGTCCACTTTATCATCCCCAAGGTAAAAATAGGAGGGTCGGCGTAACGGTGTCTTCGTTCCTGCTCCAAAGGGGTGTTGCTATGAGAGCGATCGTCATTGGAGGAGAGAATACGGGGTCTTGATGTCTGCGAAGTTTGACACGCCATAGTTTGAGAGGAACTGACGGAAGTAGTACTATTTGGTAGTCCCTCTGTCCTAGCTCAGCAACCCCTATAGTACCTTTCCATCTCACACCTCCATCATGGGCTCTAAATTATCCAAAGTTGATGATAGCAAGTCCGTGTCTAATGCACCTCATCCATACTCCACAACTTCCGAATCTACACCTGCAGATTCCGCAAGTACTGTTCAAACTTGCATTTTTGACATTGTCTCCGCCCCTGATTTTATGGTGAAGTGCGCCACCGGCGTTTAGCATAGTGCATCGGCCTCGCTCAAGGCAGCCCCGAGCCGGTATGATAGATGAGTCTATTGGCAATTTCACGAATGTATTATCCACAAATCTTAGTTTTAATCCATTGCTTCTCTTCGAACAAACGAAGATCAATCTATGGATTGTTCTCTATGGTTGAGAAACCAACATTCACACTGGCCCTCATGCGGTCACCATAACGAATCGTCAAGAAAACAATCCTAAGAAGAAAAATAGAGCTAAGTATCCTCAATATCTTGCAATCAAAAAAAGACCTCACCCTTGTCCAATGAGTGCAAGGATAGCCGCAATGGTGTTCGTCCACCCAACACCTATACGCTCGATCGATGGAATGACAAGAGCAGTCGCAGCGGATATAATAAGTGACCGGGCCGCTCTAGTAGGTAAATGATTGAGTTCAACTTTGATAGCCGCACTATATGATTGAGACTGACGCATTAGCGGCTGTGGCCTCCACACTTCGAGAGTGCATTACATCCACATTATAAGAAGAAATTGGATTAAGCACGAAGCTGACCTATAAAAACCAGTAAATCACGTCACGCACAGGTGAGAAAACGTAGTTGAGAGGACTGACCCCCATTCCATTCACAAAAAGACATAATAAATTCAACGAAAGGCCGATCGTGCCCCCAACATATGTCGTGATCAACCCCGACGCCCCAACAGACAGCGGGACCATGAACAACCCTCCGATCCACGTCGCTCTCAAGCGATCTTCTGGAAACCATACTCCTTTGCGCTTCTCCCGCCATCTCCTGACTACAGTGTCGGATAGGCGGCCAGCAATCGGTGCTCCAACTGTTAAAGATAGCGTCGGTGAACAGTGATTACCGTAGTGTATACTTACTGAAGTTTCCCAGTCCGTTTGGGAGAAAACACGCCCCGATGATGGCCTCATTTACGATGTCATACCGGACGCCCTATACAGCAGTCAGGATGCGAAATGGAAGGTGATTATCAGCTTACAATAGTAAGCGCCATGGGTACGAGGAGAACTACATTGTTTCATGTGAGAATGCACCGCGCAATCAATATCAACGCACCATAGTCACTGATGAGTACTAGAGACTGCACAAGCATCTAAATCTCAGAGAATTAAGAGTTATATTTAGCGCACGGAAATGCACTCACAACTGCGAATAGGTTCGGACTCCGAAGCAACCAGAGACTGCTCAGAGGATTTACCCATGTGATATGGATCCATCTTCTGCGCGTTAGTTTGCCTATGCCCAATGTGCCAGGATGGCTAGTCTCAGGAAACGAAAAGTATATGAGAAGCATCTGGAGCAAACCCCATGCTCCAATGGAATACTGCAAATTGCGCCAGGACCAATACTGCGCCGCTGCACCTGTTTAAATATATCGCTAGGGTCAGCATACATGAACATCAAAAATGTATTTACCTCCAAGAAACGGGGCAACAGCCAACCCAAAAAGTGCAGCCTGAGACAACCAAGTCAGCACTAAACCGACAAAAGCATCCAATCATCAGGATCACTCACACCAAAGAATATTCCAATAGCAGTCCCCCTCTCCTCCAATTTATAAATGTCACCGATAACACCAGCACCCAACGGTAGTCCCCCAGAACATCCAAACGTCTGTACGAACCGCCAGAACAACAGGCCCCGCAATGAAGTCGACATCGCGACACCACAGCTTCCGACGCATAAAAATGGCACGCCCCACAAATACATCGGTCGGCGCCCATCTGCAGAACTGTAGTTAGGAATCGAAACTACCACGAGTTCACGGCATGCTATGGATGCACTCACAGAAAGCCGAATAAGCAGCCCAGACCAATGATCCGACAGCAGCCGCCAAGATCGACAGACTGACGGTCAAGCTGGGAAATTGCTCGATCGAAAAATGTTACATCTGACGAACATGCAACACGCACCTGACGGTAGCATGGGTCGAGCCAAGATCTTTAGTTATCTGAGGGATGGAAGGCACGAATGTCGCTGAGACGAACACTGTTCGCGTTCATCAGCATCACACCACCATATAAGCAATACACTTTAACTACCGGCACTCACTAGGCAACAAACCCGCAAAAGAGACGAGAAACACGATCCACCTTTTCTGGTTGGGCGCAAACCTGTCATAGATAGCTTCATGCGTAGTGGACGCCAGCAGAGGGCTTTCTTCTGAAACCATCGCAGTGAATTGCAGGTGCGATCTCGCATGCAGCTGCGCGGAAGAGTTATCTATCGTGATTAGCTCGGATCCGAAGACGCTGCGTTACGTTCATTTTGCACCGGTTCTCAGATGCCGTGACCATGTCAACTCTCCTCCTCTCCCACGGGATATTACATGGTCGAGTGCGCCGGCTGCTAAGAGTTTGTGAGTGTAGATCATCATCGAGATATACGTCTATGCCCCCAAAACTCCAGCAAAGCGCAAGTTGTGCGTTTGTCTCCAATTTGAATTTCAGCACCTCATCGCAGACATGTAGGGAAACGTCAAGTTCGTCGGCAATGTCCAGCGGGGTTTGAATGTAACTTGACACTTTCTCGGGACAGGACCGGGAAACCGAGCTTAAGGCGTATCATAGGTCGCGTCTAGATTCATTTGTGTTTGAATCTAAACTCATTTAACTTGACACGATCTATTACTTCGACAGCCGGCATCGGTCCCACTGGCTACCCTTTACAAAACAGGTGAGTCGTCAGCGTGCGATGATTAATTATTGGCTAGCAGGGATTACCAGTACAGTTGAAATAGTCAATATAATGCATATCGGCAGCGTCAAAAGTTCATGCATTTCACAAGGTACAACGCTGGATGCACCGTGACCCTCATCCAAGTTCTGCCTTGATGCAAGCCAGGTGCGTCACATCTAGATCCTACGAAATTCATCAGCTAATGCATATATATCACAACAATCCGAGATTCTGAATCCATGGCACAGTACTCTGCATTCGTGTCTCTTTCAAGCTGATAGTTGTGCAGCTTGCCTTCATTGCCGTAAACCAGGTACTTGTCCTACGCCTGTATACGAGTAAGGAGGAATCTCGCAAAAACGAGGCACCCACTACCCTCCGATATAATGTCAAGAATTTAATCATGCAGGTCGTATCATAGGATACCCACCGGCTCATACCACTCACTTTCAGTGACTCCTTACTTTCTACCTAGGCATCAAACTACCTTTTGAAGTTTCGTGTCTTGCAGAAGACTCGGGGTTGATATATCCTTGGATCGGTGCAGGACGAGGCAGTGAATAATGGGCAAAGTGCGTCTCGTCACTTACCGTATTTTTTACTTGAACTTTTTGACATTCTCTCCTTCCACGCATACACAGATAGCCAAACACACTAACCTCCAAAGCGTCATCGTCACCACCCCCTCCCTCCCTTCTGATTGGAACCTGTGGGAGTGATTCACCCAAATTCACGGTAAATTAGCGTTAATTGACAGCCTTGTAAATCTACCTTAATTTACACTAGTGAATCTGAGGGCCTCTGGGCACATTGTGAATTTACCCTGTGGACGTCGGAAGATTCGAAATTCGCCGTACACTACATTGGATCAATGGTTAGAGGCAACACAACTTGAATACAAACACAAGATGCACACAACATTCCCGAGTAGTACGAACACAGAGGACAAGCACCGTAAAATTGGTGAGAGGTGAATGCAGCACTCCAGGGCCTGTACGCAGATGGTCATTATGTGTTTGATCATTTGGAATTCATTTGGAGCGACGTTTGAAGTTTTGAACTACCCATGTTCATTTGTGATGGTGCCGCGTCACGCGTCACGACCGACCTGACCCTATTGCATGTCTTCCAGTCTGAGTCTTTCCTCGATCTCTGATATGTCTTTCCGTTCCTTCACGTTTCTACACACACACTTTGTCTTTGTCTCAATAGCATAGTCCCCTGGTAGCCTAGTTCATACTACGATGAAATTTATTCGATGCTTTGATGTATCATTGCAGGGTTTTCCAGGGGTCACACCGCGGGAAAGAGTGACGCTTGTTACAATCAGTCAACCCATCAACTTCCGATCGTCCTCAACGCTCACCCCATCTACCAAGTGCTTAGTAGATTCTTGATTGTGTAGGAGTGTTCAAAGATTAAGCTTAAACTCCTGCAGAATCAAAACTTTCCACAGATGCTCATTAACATTGCTCATGGTCGGAACAAGCAACTCTACCAAAGTTGCTCAGTCCGACCGTCAGTCCTGACGAAGAATTCGACGCGTTCTGGAAGATTGTAGCCTGCAGGTAGGTGCATTTTCAACTGTTTGATGTCGTGCGCCTTGGATAACCTATAGGTCAATCACTGGTGAATCGAGGCCAACATGCCTGGACAAGCACAACCGCAACTGTAACAACCTCGCCGCATGAATCGAGGTGCTCGCAGTGGGTATGGTGATCTGCTCAGAGCGCCTTTCCAGATACACCCCCCTCTCATTCTAAGGAGATGTCTTGGAAGAGATGGATGCAGTATCATTATTGAGACGAGTCAAAAGTCAAAGTTGGGCCCAGGTATGTTTTTTTTTTGATGTTGTTCATACATATGTTTTCGAACGTACATTCACAATCTACAGGACCATCTATAATCTATAGGCCCATCTATAATCTAAAGGCCCATCTATATTCCTGCGCTTGCCTACAGTCAGTGACGCTGCGCCGTGGACGTTAATAAGTATTCTTACGCGTCACATCTAACATTTCCCCAATGATGCCTACTCTGCCGATGTTTTCCTGACAGCTCTACAAATCACTAACCATTTGCTTGTCAGTGCCAACGACCATACAATGTGAAAGTAGAAACGCGACTCACTACGCAGAAAAAATATGCCTGCCATGCAGGTGAGTCAAGTTATCAAATCCAGGAAAACGGCTGATACTCACGCAACTTCCCCAGCGGCAGTCCAGGCAATCTAGTTCACTATCGCAAAAGGTGGAACATTTTTCGGTGTTCGCATCAATGGGCGTAGCAGAGATTGATGATACAGCGACGGCGAGGATGATTGCAAAGGAGAAATGCATCGTGTGTGAGGATGTGGAATGGGATTTGAAGGGTAAGTAGGAAGACATCTTGCTTTTATATGTTGATAACGTTCTTTATGGTGTTAGGAAGAGCTTATCTACCATTTATCCCCTTGCTAACCTCGCGTCCAAGCTTTGAAGCCTGCGTGGTTGTGTCGCATTCGACCAGATAGGCCTGCTCGGCAACCGAAGTCTGAGTACGATTTGTTTCTCGCTGGTTACACACCAAAACTACGTTCAATCGAACCAAGTAGACGTTCCCATCAAAACGTCAAATTTACCTAACCAACGCGTGGGCTCGACAAAGAAGTTCAATTTTGATGGTGTATCTGCTTGTGCTTATCTCTTATCTCTAGCTTCTGTCCAATTAATTTACGAAATCGTCCCGCCGACAAAGTCCCGACGACCAAATTGAAAGTGCCGAGTGCAAGCACGAAGTTCAAGATGACGCTGGGGTAAGCCAGTTACAGGAAGGTATAGAAATATTCATCTGCCGAAACATGACATGTGTCGTGAAGGCCACCTTTGATAAGCTTACGGAGAAAAGTATAGTGGTACTATAGCGAGAAGCTGCTTGGTTTGGCAGATTTCGATGGTCTAATTTTCTCTCGCATCAATTGAACCTGACCAGCGAAAAACAAACCGGACTCAGTGGCCGAGCGAGGCCATAATCATATCTGCTATGCCAGCAGGCAGGGTCTTTTGGCAATTTGGTCTAGAGCATCCTTCCGCCGGTGAACGTTTGAACGTTATCCTCAAATCATGGTACCTACATGCATCATGATTAAAACCAGGACATTTTGATCCCAGAATATGAGTCCCGGGCTCCTCCGACCCCATCCAAACATCCAAACCCTATCTGCGTCAGCAGTCATCGTTCCCATGCACATATAGATTATATTAGATAGTCGAATTCCATCTATCCTCGATACCCCTGCACACATTCTTCTTCCTCGCTGGACCCTATTCCTCATCCCCCTCTTGTCTCGATACCCCAGCGTTTATAGACCAGCAACCGCAGTGCACAATTGAGGCTCTTCAGGCTGCCATTGACATGTGCTTAATGACGCTCGCTACCAAACCTCGTAGATTCTTGATCGTGTAAGAGTGTGCGAAGATTACAGCTTCTTACACTCCTGCAGAATCAAAAATCTACACAGATGATCACTGACATTGCTCACGGTCGGACTGAGAAACTTTACCGTGTACTGCCAGTGACGAAGGATTCAACGTGTCCTGGAAAACTCGCCTGCAGGCCCGTGTAGGTGCGTTTTAACTATTTGACATCGTGCGCATTCAGTTACATCTGGATAGCCTCTGGGTCCATCCTGGTAACTGGTATCCAAGATGCCTGGAACTGGACAAGCACGACTGCAACCGCTTCGCTGCATGAATCGAGATGCTCACGGCCGGTGGGTATGTTAATATGGTCAGAGCGCCTTTCCGAATACACATCACCCCCTCCTTCCAGCCTGGAAGATATCTCGACGCAGTGTAACTGGGAAAAATGATGATTGTGTTGAGTGTTGAGACGAGTCAAAAGTCAAAGTTAGGCCCAGGTGTATGTTTTTTGACGACCATCGATATCGTGCGTACGTATACTTTCGAATGTACAATCACAATCTACAGGCCTGTCTAGATCTTGGATTCTGTGCTTGCCTACGCAGAAGCAACGGTCACTGATGCTGCACCACGGACCGATCTGCACGGCTAAGGTATTCTTTTTGTCCTTACATATCTTATCTACCATCTCCCAAACGAACGAAAGTTACACCAACTGCATCCTTGATTTCCTGACGGCATGTTAATCAACTCCATCGATTACTAGTAGAGCAGTGCATTCGGAACTGTGTCCCCTAACCTAGTACCCCATCCACTAGCAACTTGCACGTCAGTGCCAACAGCCATACTGCAACGATGTGAAAGCAGAAACACGACACACTATGCAGAGGGCAAAATGTTGTCCTATGCAGGTGAGTCACTGGCAAGGTTCAAATCCAGGAAAACTACTGATACTCACACATAGCGTCAATCCACAGGTTGTACACTCTGCACACTGTAGCAAAAAGGGGGACATTCATGAGTCTCATCAGCGGGCATGGTAAAGATTCATGATGCCCAAAACAGCGATGACAATGATGATGAAACACATTGTTTATGACTTGTATGATATGAGATCAGATAATTCTGAAGGAAATAGTAGGAAGACAGCTGGCTTCTATATGCTGAACATTGTTCTTTGAGATTTGTCTTGCTATGTACGTGGTTGTGTGTCCATATCTGCTATGCCAGCAGATCTTGCCAGCTGGTAAGGTCTGATATCAATTTGATGAACACTGAGTCGAAGGAAGGAGCTGTACATATATGGGACCTAGGTGTATTTTCTGTGCATTGTACGATCTACAAGCCCGTCTACAGTGATTCAGCAGGAGCAACAGTCACTAAAACTGCGCTGTGAACTGATCAGCATGCTCCTCAATAGGATTCATTTCGTGTCCTTACACGTCATATCTAACATTTCCCAACCGAATAAAAATTATGCCAACTCTACTAATGTTTTCCTTACGGTGTCTTGATCGACTCTACAGATCAATCAATACTAACTCACGTGTCAGTGTTACAGTCTAAGTACGCCCCTATTCATTTTCCTCTCTTACTTTGTATTACGTCATGTGCTGCATGATGCCGCTGCTAGACTTGTCTTTTCTTATCTCATCGTTGACTCATTGTATTACATCACGATCGCTATCACGCCATCGCTAGGTGATCTATTCTCTTATCTCTGACTCATTCTGACTCGTCTCTTATCTCTGACTCATTCTGACTCGTCTCTTATCTCTGACTCATTCTGACTCGTCTCTTATCTATGACTCATTCTGATTCATCAAAACGCCTGCCCTAAAGCAGCTGTCATTCACTATATAAACCCATCTTGTACATTGTATTTCTTTACTTTAATCTTACTGGGTTTTACCTGGAATTTCCTTTGCTTAAGACTCCAATCTTAAGTCGTCTGAACCTGATTCAAGTCGAGGACACTCTCCTTGATTTGTCTTACAAATTTCTACATACGTAGGAGTCTTTGAACCGACCTTAGCTGATATTGCTTATCGCATTGCTCATCAGCAAACTAGGGGGTCACTGTACAAGCTTGTACAAGCTTGTACAAAGAGCACAAACCCACAACAAAGTCCCCTCTTTACAAGTCTGTCACAGAGTATCACAATCTGTACAAATAGCCACAGACTGCACAGATTGCACAGATTGTACAGATTGCACAGACTTAGACAAACTCGACAATGTTGACAAAAGACAGTTGAATAGACGGCAAAATAATGATGCAATTCAAAAGACTAGTACTATATAATGATATTGACATCCTCATTGGCTGAGCCACCATCCGAATCATTGCAAAGCCAATTCATCATCCCAGACTCAGCCCATTCCTCCAACATCTCTTCAAGCTGTCGACGACGCTTGGGGATATCCATTAACATATCAACAGATTTTCGTAGGGAGTTGAAATCGGACCTGCATTTATCAGCAGAAAGATCTGGGGCTTTGTCTATACTGGTTTCACAGAACCCAGTTAGAACACCTTTTGCCTGTAGAGACTGATCAGCAGCAGAAATAAAATAAAATAATCATACAACAGTGGCCACGAGAATGACACCATTAACGGGAATCGAGTGTTGGAATTCGTCTGTTAACTTCAGCGCTTTTTGCCGTTGCTGTAGTAAAAATCTTGGCATGCGTCTTTAAGAACCTGTGATACGAAGTTCTTGTACTTGCCCTAAAAAATCAATACAACAAGATGTTACCCCACACAGTCATCACTCACCTCAGACAAGTCAGGAAGCCGAAGGTAGTCGCCGGACTTGATCAATTTAGATGCTGCTTCAGTAACATGTTTCTGCACCGAGTGCTCGTGCATCATGCTGCCCTTTGGACAGATGCCATATAATTGTTTTGCAAGAGAGATGATGATTTTCTTGAGCTCTGTACGAAATGTAAACAAGTCGTTGCAAAGCTAATAACTTGTCAGTAAGCACACTTGTGGACAGTAACCTTTACTCACCAACCACGACATCTGGTCACGATATTCTGGAAAATATCCTATGGACATCAGATTGGAACCTCCAACAGATGGAGGGGACCTACCTTGCTCCAATCCAATCTTCTTTGAGTGGTACTTCCATAACACTACATCCAGGACTTCTCGTGCGAGTTCTACAGCGTCAGAATGCTCTGGAATTGGATGTGTCAGTACTGCCTGCAGGCGCATTTCCAACTTTGCTGCCTGAAGAAATGCCTGCCAATATGACGGGTAAAACCTGAGCTTCACAGGATTTGATTGATTCTTAGTCTGTTCCCCTTTGTGTTTGGGTTGGTCACAATTATCGGGTGCAAGACTAGGAGATCAAGAACGGCCTGAAATGGGAACGGGTGAAGGCTCATGATCTGACTGACCAGCACGACTAGGTGAGGCCCGTGACAAGGCGCGCCCACGAGAGGGGGGCTGCATGCGACTGGACACTGTGGCTGAACGACAAGGAGATGGTCTATGGGTGGAAGCACGAGAAGTATTTGTGCGTGGAGACTTGGAGCGACCAACAAGGGTTGATTGAGTCGGGGAGCGCTGACGAGGAGACAGTCTATGAGTGGAAGCGTGAGATGCATTTGGGTGCGCAGACTTGGAATGAGTGGCAGAAAGATGATCAGATCTATGAGCAGAAGACTTTGTAAACAGTGCATTTCGAGGTGCGGGCTGAGGAGATTTCACGCGACCAGATGGAGCACGTGTACTCTGAGACGTCTAGAGTCAGAGGTAATCAGAAACAAACTTTGGTAAAAATAAGAACTTACATGTTGGGATGTATATTGACAGGGAGACTGCGATTGAGCAGGTGTGCACGAGTATCTACGAGAGGACTAGGGCAGGTCAGTATTTGCAAATTCAAGTGTAAAAACTGGTTACACTTAACAGACGACTTGGTGAAGGAGCCTTGTGCCGTCCATTTTTTGCTTGGTGGCGCTCAAGGACATCAAAAATGCCTGGATCATCACGCTCGTTATTGGCCTGGATATTCGAGTCTTGGGCTTGGTCTAATTCCATTAGATCATTGTCATCATGATACCTGTTCTGATATGCTTGCGGATACTGCCTCGAATCTTGCTCGTCGTCTTTGTTGTGGTCTTTGTTGTGGTCTTCGCCTTCGCTGACGCCTCTGTCATCATCTTCGCTGTCGTCTTTGTCATCGTCTTGTTCGTGATCTTGTTCGTCTTGCTGGTTGTGGTCGTTAAAGCTTCTGAAAACGTCTTCATCATCTCGCATGTCGTTTTCGTCAGCATCGTACTCAAGATTATTGCTGTGATGATCTGGTGAGTCTTGCTGCCTAGCACCTGGTTCTGTAGCTCTAGTATTCTGGCTGCAACCGGGTTGGGTCACATCCTGACCGTCACCATCAGTAACATATGGTGGCTTAAACCCAAACCTATCAGAATGGTGGGCAGTGCGCAGGAACGGATGTGGAGAGTGAGCACGTTGGCGCTCTGGCCATACAGCGCTGGCCTTCACAGATGTCTTTGCAGGAGCCTGGAATAATGTTCATTGTTAGCTGGGTAGCCTGAAAACAAAACACTGACTTTTTTCTTTGCTCTCGCAACTTGTGAAGGAGCCATTGGGTTTTCTTCTGAATCGCTGATTTCAACAGTGTTCTTCTTCCCTTGCCTTGTTGGGGCCGCCATCACCCTCTCACCAGCTTTTTGCAGCTGTGCTATGTGACCTCCGACACCTCGATTGGATTGTGCGCTTCATCATGCAGGCTCGGCATCCTTATTGCCTGGAGAACTGTGTCTGGCTTTCTTCCTGGGAGGCATTGGGTGAAGGGATTGGTGCTGAAGGTTGGCTGCCGGTGCATCATAAATATTTATTAATTACATAAGACAGTTTGAGCGGCTTCAGAAAATGGCTCACTGAGCGCTTGACTGGAATACTACAAAGAACTAAGAAAATCTAAGGATACAAAGTTATGAGACCTAAAGTCTAGGTGTTTTGCAATGATAATAAATCTCGAGCTCTGTGCATGTGAAGTGTATATAATGCATCGCAGTGCTTACATGGTAACGAGTTAGAGCGTGAAAACCTTGGGCTCCCTCTTTTTCCGCCGAGAACGACGAGGACGATTTGTCGAAACAGGCAGAGAAGGTGGAGGAGGAGGTGCTGAATGATGATGAAGGGCCAGATGGTACCGATGAATGTGCAGGGCGGCTTATCCGGCTTGAATGACGAGGAAGTGGACCCTGAGTTGCGGCTGGAGAAGAAACTGAGGTTCCCAAGGGAGCAGCAGACAACATCGGAAGTAGAGGGAGCGATATCTCAGGACTAGGAGAGCTGTCGATGTTATCCAGCCCCCATTGTATGATCTCATGAATGTGGTCGTGAGAGACTTCCTTATTGTTTAATAGTGTGTCTCTAATTGCCACGTGCCAGTCCTCAAGGATGGGACGGCAAGCCTGGAAGTACGGTGCAGGCTCGTACCTCGGGGATTTGTCCATTAGGAACTCTTTCTTGAGGCTTCCGCTAGTCCCAAGACCATCTCTGTCCATCATCATGTACACTTTATTCCATCTACAGGCATTTTCGGGGGGCACCCCCCTGTCTGTGATTAGACCGCCGGGCCCACCGTATATGGTCAGTAAATTCAAGGAGAATATAGAATAACAACTCGAGGTCATCAGATGCCCTGTGGTCAACTGACTCAGGAGTTGGAATGCCTCCCATCAACTTGAGAAGGCAACAGGATATGTATGGTATCGTTCCCTTCAAAAAATAAAAATAAGCACTACAGAAGATATCGAGATCAATTTTCAAACTTATGGTTCCACACAAATCTTTTGCCTGATTGTAAAGTTGGACGAATTTGGCGTGGTCGAAATCAATAAAGTATCCCTTTCCCTCGTGTATGATGAGATTGTTGGGACTGAGATCTCCATGAAGAACTTCCCGCTCAAATGTCAGCGTTTTATGGGCTACTGGCATCTGTCAAAAATTTTGATGAATACCAGGGGGACTCACCAGCAACAAGGTCAAAAAAAAACATTGACTAGCTCAGGTACAGACTTAAAGGTGGTCAGTGGGAGGCTGCAGGGAGTCAAAAGTATGCGTTGGTGAATATTGGTGAATCTGGGAGGTGATTGTGAAGATGGTTGCGAATATTGAATGTGCTGTTGACACATCCAGCATACTCGACATCCCAATACTTTACTAGCTGGACCACATTTGGAACACCATCGACTGCCTGAAGAAACTTGACCTCGTGATCTAGGGAGTCAACATCTACCCAACAGTCCTTCAATGCATACTCCTTCTTGGTATTCTTAGTGCTGGACGCAATAAAAAACGGTTCCACGTGAAAAAGCCTGCAGCTTTTCCACAAGATGGCCAAAATGCAGTATACCTCACCTACATCATCTATAGCCCAACCTATCGCTCTGGATGGCATGACATCGACTCCCCCTGGTATATTGTTGTGAGGAGTGCCTCGGCAAAGGGAGTTGCAAACATGAATAGTGGGATCGAGACCGAGCGCAGAGTGACTCACTAGCATCATCGTGTTCAAGACATCGATGAAATGCACAGGATCCAGATTGATTAAATAGGTGCTGATATTATTATCCAAGAATGGTCCAAGTAATGCACACAACACTTCTTGTTTGTGATACTGAAAAGGAGAATGAAATGGTGCCATGGTTGTTCACGCATAATTAGGTAGCCTTTGGTTGCAATCCATAAGAATATTGGTATGTCCTCCGCCAGTTCTGAGATGGTGATCTCTACTCCTGTCAGAACATCTGCCCAACTCTTCTCATTCCCGTTGTGCTTCTTCAGCCTATAGTCCATAAGGACTAAATCGGGTTTTCTGGAATTGGTGGCATCCGGTACGGGAATGGTAGAGAACTCTGAAGACCAGTATCGCGATTCTGGTAGAGTGTGGAAGGGCAGCAAGCTCGACTTGGCTTTGACCCTGCTACGCATGTTGTAGTAGATGGTCCTGAATAGGCGCTCCCAATTCTTCTCATCCGACGTCTTTACAGCCACAATTGGACATTTTGCTCCAATCTGATATGATTTCTGTGACCAACTGCCTATCCGTCTCCAGCGCACCTTTGCCTTCATCTTCATCATCTAAATCTGCATCTGAATCTGCATCCGCATCTGGCTCCACTTCCGTATCAGTCTGCGACTCCTGCTTTCTTTTCGTCTTCTTCAGTCGACCAGAGAAAGGAAGAGTAAGCCTCCATTGCGGGTGAGTGATACCCCGTGGATTTAACAATACAGATGACCCATGCAGGATTAAACGGCCCTTCTTCTTGACATACACAATGTCATTTATTTCTTGTATTCTGATACTGCATCGTTAGATAAGGTCGTCAAGGATGGATGATGTCCGGCCTTGTATGCCCTCCTCCCACAGAACTCGTTTACCCTCTGTAAAAGCCTATCTGGCCCCACCAGGAACTCATGTCTCATCAGTTGGTCCATGGAATTCTGCATCCAAGGTATAAAGTCACCGATGGTGGGGATGGAGCTAGTAACTGTTGCAAGGAGATGGTTGAGCACAAAGGATGATGATGCCGATGTCATGGTGATTAAGTGAGTGTGATGCCTTATACTATGACAAATGATGCTTTGGCCTCTTGTTAGTTTACTTTGGGTCACGGCACATTGATTCTTTCTGCATGGCATGATTTCGACCCAAATTAAGAACATAAATGCATGAAATTTCAACCTATCTCCATTTCTACCTATATACTCGCACCATGCAAGACAATGTACATACACTACTGCCCATGTGAAGCGTAATAAAGGGCATAATAGAAGTCTTTATTGAAGTACTTGTTTAAAAGAAACAATTGAGAATAGTGCATAGATGTTGCCTTCGTGAATTGTGAATCAGCCGCATCCCCTAACTGAGGGATGACGCTGATGAATGAACGAAGTTGACACAGGGGAACAATATTACCAATGGGAGTGCCATCTACATACCTGGTACGTTTCAGAATATTCATCTGAGTGGCAGGATCAACCGAACCAATGGTCAGACCCTGCACATAACACAGATATTGATCTCTCCAAGTGATGCGACCACCTCTTTGAGATATTGGACACATAATGAGGTGTAATTTACATATTGCGTGACCTTCAAAGCACCAAAGTTCATATGCTTTCATATCAATGAAAGAATTCTCACCTGTTAAACCTGACTCGAGCCAAACAAACCCTCCTTCAACATTGACGAGGACAGTGTCCTTTCGGCCTTTTGGCCACTCAGGGCCAGGAGGAGATGCATGTACGGTTTGAGCTGGTAATGTGACCCTGGAATTGTGGAAAGACATTTGCTGAAGGCAGACAGTATACCATAGTTGAACACAGTCAAATGGAAGGATCGGAGGACAGTCAATTAATGGCTTTCTTCTTGGACCTCCTACCATATAAATCGCTCCTCTCTCTCTCGTGTCATGTAGCAAAAATTCTGAAAGTGCTACGCGCAGATCCGGTAGATTGAAATCAGTAGCGACGTCATCAATGCTAACTCCAGTGCGAGAAGGAGTGTAGTTGAGGTGGATTGCAGTACCACCAGCGATAAACGTTCGAGGAGGGTGAGGAATAGCTCCATCCCTTACAGTTACTATTTGCTTTGCTTTGCTAAAGTAATCTATGGTGACACGTGTATGGTTCATTTCTTCTAAAAGTGTAGTCCGTGGATCGTCCTGTTCCTGCTTGTCGCAATCGATTGCCTCATTCTCCTCTGCCTCCTCCTCAGGAACTTCTCCAGACCTGTCATTGGGATCACGGTACATGTGATGACTCTTCAGCGTCGTGGCAATTGCAAAACGTCAGCAGCTTTTCATCTTGATCTAGATGTTGACAGATCTGGGGGTTGTAGTCATTGTTATTGGTACGGCGTGCAGGGTCCTTGATTTCTGAAATATGGGCATGCTCGGTTGCATCTGCAGACCACTGGATGAGAGCGCCAACGTTGCGCGTGCCAGAAGTGATGCTCTGGAGGAGTTCTAGCCTAGGAATGAAGCCAGTTATCAATAGGCCTCTTGGCTCCCATCCGCGCACCCGAAGTCAGAATGATGTCTTTATTGTCATGGAAGGTCGAAAGGGACTGGTCAATACTTGGCAATAAGTCATCATTGGGAGCAGGGCACTGCGCCAAATATCGAACATCCATGAGGGCACAAATTGTGATAACGAAATGACGAGGAGCTGCACCGGATATCAGGCCAATAATGTAGCGCTGGATATCACGGTGACCTCTGCCAGTGACTTGTTTGAGTTTTGAGATTCCACCAGCGAAATGATGGTAGCCTGTGACGGGCTGTAGGATCGAGAACCGGAAATCATGCTCTGAGGCACCCACAATTACTAAACACCACTGGCAGTCATGGTCAAAAAACTCCTTGTGCCAATGATGCAGTGGTTCTGACATCAGGAAGATCGAGGGATCAGCGAGCAGCCAGTCTATCCAGAATGGTGCAGAAACACCATTTAGCCTGGTATTCAGTGCAGGCGCCAAAATACGCCTTGAGATCGTTGGGATCGACAGTAATGCTGTCGAGCTGGCCAAGCGTGACAGAACGGGTACAAGGGGGATGCCAAAAACTATCACCAAACTGCAGATAAGAAGCCATAGTAAACAGAGAGGTCTTCCCGCGTACACAGGCAAGCATAGCTGCCTCTGGGGTGTCGACAATGAATGCTGTGAGAGGAGTAAAACAGTGCTGAGCATTTCCAACCGGATCAGACATCATGATGCCAACTTCCGCCACTTTCATCAACGGCTTAAGAACAATTGAAAGACATTGATGTATAAGGCAATCTTCAAGCATGCCTCGCATGCATTGATTAGGGTGTAGGTACTTTGGGATAGGAAGGAGGGCCATAAGTAAGAAAGCTTTTGATGAAAGTTTTGTATGAGTACACATGCATATGTTGGCGAGTCCCAGAAGAAGCGGATGAGTGATTCTAGCACCAGTCATTGTAGTTATGTTGGTTTTGTTGGAGGACAGCACAGCACCGAGAACTGTAGCACCTCTGGGAAACTGAGTCTACAGGAAGTGTGTTGAGATAACGAAAAAAATCAACTGCTGCACATACCTGCATTTCCCAAGCAGCATCACCCGTCATCCATTCCGAGTATACTCACATAAGATGTGCCGCCATTGTGTAAACATGACAAGGGACAAAATCAAGCTTATCGTGGAAGAGAGGGTTGGAGAAAAGACTCTCCAAGCATTCAATAGGGTCCCTCCAAAATAATCGAATTGGATATTTTGTAGGATGGGTCGAGGGGATGATCTGACACTTCCAGCTTGGTCTGCTAGGAAGCATCTCTGCATGGCTATGCAATTCTCTAGTGTTGCTGAATGAAAGTTGCAATTTTTGGATCTGAATGGGGGGTGTAAAAGTTAGAATCAATAATGTAGAGTGCGAAGACTGGTACTTACCAGGGGAAGCTTCAGAAATACATCAATTGCTGCCATACTAAGGGGTGAACGCAGAAGGAAATCACCGATTTCCCACTCTTCCTTGGATGCGAAAGGGTAGAAAAGATTCTCCTTCCTGTACTCTGCATATTCATCGGCATCGAATACATCTAAAAAGGTCAGACCATCCTCAGAGTAACACATCCCAGCACCCTCGTACCGCTCCTCCAATGACCCTTCAGCTACTCCAAAGCCATCTTTGATAAAATTAAAGTCGCCTTCAAAGTTCATATGCACCTGATTGTCTTCATCACGCATACTACCAGCCTGTTCCTCAGGATCAGCTTGAGGTGAAGTGTGGCGTGATGGCAGTTCTACCTCAGCAAACTGTGAGATATTGACAATGTCCCGAATGGAGCTATGACAGGATGTTCAGGGCTGACTGAGATGGCGAGTGACACTGCTGTCCTTGGTGAATGTCTTCCCGCAATTTGGACATGTTGGTACCGACATAGTCTTCAAGATTTCACACGGTTGTTATTGATTCTTGAAGTCACTGTACATAATACGTGTTCTCAGATTGTCATACTCGCTATATCTATCCCATGAATTCCACCAGCTACCCTCAATCTTTACGCGGTCATGCCCAAAAAACTCTTACCATAGCATCTCCAACTACTCCCATCGGATATATGGATCTGCAAGTGTTGGATGCAGCTCAGTCAATAAATATGGGAGTGGAAGACGATTTTCCTTCCACTACGCACCTCGTGAGATGCCCGTTTCATTTTTCTTGTTCTGCTTCATCGATCTTACCCTCTTCAATAGGAGGTCAACTACACTTTATTGCATGAGGTTGCAGAATGTGCAGCCGACCACTCTGACCTCATGCTCGCAGCAGCCAAAGCCAAATGAAAAGTGTGTGAAGCCGAGAAGCACCTGGCTGATTGCATCCTTGAACACCAAGCTACACTTATCGACTTCTGACGCCATCGTGCAGAGGCAGCAAATTCCCGGTTATTGACAGCAGACCTTGACATTGGGCGCATGCATATGGAATGAAAGAAGAATGGTATTGCGACATTCACGAGCTCAGAACCTGTGGCAGTAAGTCTTTCTCCCTTGTGTTTGCTATAATTCATTATCATTGAGATTGTTGCAGATGTCACACAGCCCGATTTTGCGATAACTGTCGGTGGTGTACTTGTCCTAATTCTGCGGCCACCTGTAGATTTGAAGGCTTGAAGTAAAGCCTTCGTTCATTGCACTAATTCTGCAGCCATCTGTAGATCTGAAGGCTTGAAGTATACCTTTCGTTCATTGTATTATATCGTTGAATTGGGGTGCTTTGTTTAAATATGAATAGATATATATTTGTTCATATACATATATATTGTGCTACCGTTATATGTACATATTTCTTTGTGTGCTTGCATGGCTTTGTATCACGCTGTCGAGTTCTACATAATGGACCCCGCACGATTTCGAAAGGTGTATGATCACTGACAGAATAACAATTAACAGCTCCTCAACAACTGAGGAGCCCGACTGATATTGATCACTAGCAATACAACTAACGGTTAAGTACTAGGCTGTGGCAAGCCCAAAAAGACTTAAAACCTGAGGGAAACGAACTTTGTTCATACATATATTTTGTGCTACTAGTATCATTATACTACATGTTTCTTTGTGTGCTTGTATGGCTTTGTATCATGCTGTCAAGTTTGTAAGACCTGGTGCCTTGTGTGTTTGTGCTGTTTGTAATCATTGTGTGGCTTTGTTATTGTTGTGGTACCTTGTCACCAATTTGGTAGTTTGCTGATGCTATACATCAGAACTATCCCAGTTCATAACAAAAGATTAAAGTTGCTTACCAAACCTCTCCACCACGAGAGGCCCCATTGCTAGATAGCAAAGACGACCCCTTGGGTTAGAAAGTATTGGTGGGAATGTGATCCTAACGAACCCGACTCACCAGAAGAATATCATGAGACCACAGGTCCAGATACAGAAGACAGAGAGAGACGAGAACTGTCCCCTGTAACCACCAAATCAGATCACCACTCTACAACTTCCACTGACGAATTCCCAGAAGAACAACCACCCCGAAACCTAACGGCCAACCCTAGTTTCAGAATGTCCACCACAACGTCCTCTGCTGAATTGAAAGCCGGAGCACCCACAGCTTATAACGGGAATCCAGACCGCGCTATCAGATGGTTATATTCGGTGAAAGCGTATTTTAGGGTTAAATCCTCAATCTATAACACCAAGGAAAAGAAAGTCATCACTGCACTCGCTTATATGACTGAAGGAAGCACAGAAGGATGGGCAACCACATTCTATGCGGAAGCTGATGATACCCTCCCAAACCCCTATGGAACCTTCGCAAACTTTGAAACAAAGTTCAAGGAAGCATTTGCCCCAGCCAATGCAAAAGTAGTCACTTTGAACAAGTTAAGAACCCTCAGACAAGGGAATGATCTTATGTCCTATATCACTGAATTCAAAACCCTTGCCTCACAAGCCAGCATTAAAGAATCCCAAGTTTTGATTACATTCTTTAATGACAGATTAAAACAAGGGCTCATAAACTCCATATTCCAAATGGAAACCATCCCCGATTCCTTCGACAAATATGTAACCACAGCCATCTGATTGGATAGTAACTGGCAATGAGGCGCAGCTCTATGCAACAACCGCCGTAACTTTACCAAGCCTTCCGGACAGCACTATACTCCAAGACCTACCATCAACCAAATCTGTGACCCCAATGCCATGGAGGTAGATCATCTTACTGAAGAAGAATGTAATGAACACTTCAAGAAAGGAAAGTGTTTTACCTGTCACACGATTGGACACCTCTCTAGAGCATGTCCTGACAAGAAGAATGGAAGAACCCCGATACACCACAAAGAAGTAGAAAGCAGCGATGAAGAAGAAGAAGCAGAAGTCCGCCATCTCAACGAGGATTTTTGATGTGGAAGACTGGATTGATGTCAATATCTTCCAATGTACCTATAAGACTTGTATGAAAAGTTGGTGAACGAAAGGAACTTTGAGTTCCACTTTCCCTTATCTCGAAAACTCGTCTGAAAACCGTTGAAACCACCGCAGTCATTCCAGAGCAGCCAGAACTTTCATTTCTGAAGACTTTGTCAAACAGCACCGAATCCGAACCCACCCCCTCAGTAAACCTTTCAAGGTCACTATCGGCAATGGAAGCTATTCCAAAAGCGGAGCAATACGCAGATATTGTGTTCTTACCGTCAAAATAGATGGATGATCCATGATCGGAAAGTTTGATGTCACATGCCTCGGGAGGAGGGACCAAATCCTTCTTGGAATTCCTTGGCTACGTGCTATGAATCCAGTCATTGATTGGACCACAGAAACCCTCATCCTCTCACAAACCACAAAGAGTGATCAAATAGAAGAAGAAGTTGACAAAGAAAGAAAGAGGAACGGTCTTTCACTTCTATTTCGACAAGAACTGATTGATCAAACTTGGAAACAATCCAAGCTTAAAAAAACGGAACCAATCACTGAAACTCCCATTGTCTATCCACGAGCAACCATAGAAGAAGTTATTAATGAAGAAGCACCATCTCCTCTTCCCATCCCTGATCTACTCCCCATCCCTGATGACGACGACGAAACCTTTGACACTAAAGAAGACGTTTGGACGCAAGAGAACTTTGCCACACCAGTGCGGAAAGTCTCTATGTACAATCTAGATGATGATGAATTCTTGGTAGAGTATTCCTTTAATGCATCTGAACTCCGAGTAATCACAAACACCTCCATGGATACACCCTTGACTTCCAATGGAACCAGTCATTCAGAACAGAAACCCACAGTCAAACCCCTGCCATGGCCTACAGAATATGCGAAAGTTAGTAACAAAGCTCAGCAGTTCGCTCTAGCTGCGGGCTTGGAACAAAAGAAGAAAACTTTCAAAGAACTCGTACCTTCCTATCTCCATGACTTCACCGACATCTTCACTAAAGATGGACTAAACCAACTACCCCCTGAATGACCTGGCATTGACCACCATATTGAAACGAAACCTGGATTCATCCCTAAAACGTCGACAATCTACCCTCTCTCCATTGCTGAATGAACTGCTGTTAAAGCATTTATTGATGAAAATGTGAAGAAAGGTTTTATCTCGGAATCCAAGTCACCACAAGCTAGTAGCTTCTTCTTTGTGGGAAAGAAAAGCGGAGACCTCCGACCCTGTCAAGATTACCGATACATCAATGATTGGACTATCAAGAATGCTTATCCCTTACCGCTTCCTTTGTCCCTTGTTGCAAGATTGCACAGGGCAAAGTATTTCACCAAGATGGATGTCCGCTCCGGTTATATCAATATCCGTATTTATCCCGATGATAGATGGAAAGCCGCGTTTACCACTGAATTTGGACTCTATGAACCAAATGTAATGTTCTTCAGACTTTGCAACTCACCCGCTGTCCTGCATAATTTGGGAATCATGCATGGACATGACTACCAGTCATCCCCCTAAAAGACAAAGTCTGTTAGCTTAGTCCTCAGACTAGTCAACCCATACCTTGGTATCAAACCTTGGTCCAATAGTTTCAGTTTTCCCTCAGTGATTCATGAATCCACCATGTTTCGAAGAAAAGTCATATGTGAGATGGGAATCACATAATGACCTAGTTGATATGAGAAGCAAAATAAAGGTTAAGGTATTGCCTTTCCTTTGGCTTATTCACTTTGGCTAGAGAAACCCATAGAGAAAAGTTCAAAGCCTAACAAAACCCAATCTAAAAAGCCCGCATATTGTGTACTATTATTTGTTCCATTATTTCTGAGTTGTTTTCTCTAGTGTTTCTTTACTTTACTTTTCTATTAGGATGCTCTGACTAATCAGATGCTTCATAAAATTGTACCTACAGGATATGATGTCATAATGATGTCATAGGACTTCTGTTAAGACCGTACTCGAGTAGTATCGGATCCGAAGGGCTTCGGCCTCAGCTCATGCGCTGTGCCCCTTTCCCAAGTCTTGCCCCTTATTTCAGAGTACTAGAGTATTGTGTATATTGAGACGGATAAGTCTCGTAACGGATCCGTTATGGCTTCCGGATATCGAACATATATAGTAACGGCTAATCCGGATCAGATCCGAACTAGAAACTAACGGGCAAGGACTGTCCAAAGACAGAGACGGATATATAGACTATAGGAATCAATCCTAAGTCTCAGAGTAGACAAGAGTATCGTACTCAAGTCCGGATGGATAACGGATGGACTCAGAGTCCAGACAGAATGAGTGCAATCTAAGATGATATTCGAACTGATCTACTACAGCGCATGTGCAAGGGTTTATATACTACAGATAACTAATGGAATGATCAATAAGCAACGGTGCGAGGCTATGTACAAAGTATAAGCAAAGTATGTGTACAGCGTACTGGTAAGTCGGACGGATAACGTATCATAACCGGGAATGAAGTCTAAGCTAAAGCAGATCAGTAAGTGTAGCGGATCAGTAAGCATAACGGAAGTAAAGGATAACCGGTATACCGGTGTACAGGAATGCCGAAAGGAGATGAACGATAGTTAGAGTTATATGAACAGGACATGAAATAAGGATTAGATCGGATCTGTGGACCGGACGACGGATATGTCCATCGGATCTGGATCGGATCTGAGATCCAGATCTTTGGATCTGTACCCGGGAATATGGTATATGACAGTATCCCCCCCTTAGGGCCGATCCCTAGAGGCACAAGAATCAGCGATCCAGAACGGATGGTATGAGTGCGAGACAATACAGAAGTTGATGGGAGAAGTTGCTGAGTTCGGATTTTCGACAGATATACGGATGCCAAAGCATCGCAGGTGTTCCTTCCTTTCCCCACTTTTTCACTACCACTAGCTTAACTCAAACATGGCTGATAACGGATCCGGCTCTATGAAGACCGCTAGGCAGACTCTGGCGGATGTACAGGCTGCACTGG